ACCCTGCGACGGTGTCGACGCTGTTGCCGATGCCGGACCACGACTTCTACTTGCTGAGTCGCACTGGCGTCAAGCCGGCGCACTTTGTGTCTGCGATCGACACGGGCTTCAAGACGAGGTTGAAGCAGGATCAAGGGGGTACTTGGAGGGCTTAGATGCAGTGCTGGAGCGCGACGAGCAGCGCCTGTTGATTCGGCAGGGCCTAGTGTCCGTCCGCTACAGTATGGTGGTGCACGAGCACATGGCATATCCTGGGAGGAATCAACAACTTGTGAAGGAGAGTGGTGCTATGCGGCAGCAATCGGTAATGAATTACGGGGGCAAGCATTCTTTGGCGTCAAGTCGAGTTTATTTCTTCTGGGGGTTTCCGCAGTTCTCGGATATGAAAACGATGTCGCGAACAAGATCAGGGTCCATTTGACGGCGCTTTGCAGTCACGACATTACCTGCAGTGGAGAAGGCTCTTTCAGAAGGCACGGAGGTAGCGACGCAGCCCAACCAGTTCCTGGCAAGCAGCATCAGCGATGGATACTTGTGACCGTTAACGGACCACCACGTGAGCGGATTTTGATCTCGTGCGACTGTCTTTGCCTCTTCCAGATATGCCACGAACTTGCTTGCGCAACTTAGCTGCACTTTTTAGAAAGTAGGGTCGGTGCGAGTGTTGACATCTTCGTCGTCCTACCCCAGCAGATCATCCGCAGTATCATCGCTTGGCGATGGGTTTGCCGGACGGACACGAGCGTCTGGAACAGGCGTAGCTGATTTTCCGGTGGAATTGCGTACAGCAAGTGCAGCAGCATCAACCAAACATTTCTTGGCTTCCTCGGTTTCGGATTGCGTCAGTAGTTTCATCTTGTGGAAGCGAGGGTCAAGGAACGTTATCCAGACCAGATCGAAGCTCATCCCTCTAAATCGCTGCGTGAAGAGGTGCAGAACGGCTTTGCGCACATTGCTCACCGGCTCGAGGACCTCACGCTGGAACTCCTGGCGTCCGACCAATGACGCTTGCTTCGAGAAGATGCCAGAGTCGCCCAGTACCGCTTTGATCCTGCGTAGCATGGGGAATACCAGTGCCAAAGTCGGATAGGAATCCCCACTGAGCACTTTCGTCACAGCTGCGATAGGATCCAGCACCGGCTACCAGGCACCTGATTGCAAACCATTCTCTCGGCTTTGGAAGTTTATCACGACTCAAGTATCTGAACTCCTCCTTGAACTCCGGTCTCTCTAGACGACTGAAGAAATCATCCAAGGGTGCCTGTAGCTCGATCAATCGGGCCAGCGTGTCGCGACATGAGTTCCACCGCGTGGGGCAATCGGTGATGAGATGCAGTGCCGAGCGCTTCCAGTCTTTGAGTTGAATCTGGTCAAGTCGGTTTGTCGCCTTGGGTGACTTGTGAAAATACGTGGCGAGGCTTCTAAAACGCTGAACAATATCCAGCATTTGCCCCAAGGCTGATTTTGCCGTTGGATCACGGCTTGAGAGCGACGTGGCTACAAAAATTTCAACAGCATTTACGGCAGCTTGTGGTTCCGCTTCTGGGGCTTGGACAACTTCGTCCTCTTGTTTGAGATGGCCAGTAGGGTGGATGACCGAGTGAGCCGCTGGGTGGACAGCGGACTCAGGAGTTGTGTTACCGACTGGAACCTCGCTGTCAGTTGCAGCCGCATCAACAACGGCCGTAACTTCTTTCTGTCGCGCTAAAGCAGCGCCAAGAACCAAGTGAAGCGAATGCGCAATACATGACATGTTGTTGACACCCATGAACTCAGCTGCAAGAACTGCGTTCGAGGCGCCATCACGAACCAGCAATGTACACAGTTCTGTCTTTAACTCCCAACGCTTCATCATATCCTCCAGGCCGTTGGCAATGGCGACACCGGTATGCATGCCAGGAAATGCCTCCACTTCGAGAACCCAGCTGCACAGAGTAAAGTCTTCCTCCACGTAATACAAAGTAAACGACATATAGCTCTGCGCCCGTTTGCTCGTTCAGATATCCGTCGTAATGCAAAAAAACTGGCAGCTGCTACGGATCCGAGACTTCAATGATGCACGAAGCTCCGCCGTCACACGGACAATATCCTCATGAATTTGCGTTGCTCCAGGAACGTCCAAGATAACGCCAGCCAGCTCCTGCGTAATAAATCGAATAAATTCCAGCAGCCATGGGTCTTCGAGAATTGATAATGGCCGCATACTTTGCGCTAACCACTTCGCAAGTAGCCCAATCACATACGTCTGTACGGCGTCCGAGTCTTCTGTGAGCTGCTTCTTCGACGACTCAGGTGCTTGGTCATACGCATTCTCGAGTTGACGCTTAGCCGACCTGACCCTCTCCTCTTGTTGCGCTTGCTTCGCACGTAGTAGAACTTCCATGTGGTACTTTTCCATGTGCATCTTCACAGCAGTAGTGGCTCCATGCGAGTACGTCACCTTACAACTGCATTCCGTACATTATGCAAATGCAGCTTGCTTAGAGATCAATTTGTCCTTCGGAACATAAGCAAACTGCTCGTGGGGAACAAGGAAAATGAATCCCCATCGTTCAGGGCGATGAGCACCGTCCATTTTTAACAGAACACTTGGCTCTGGGATGCGAGGGGGTAAGCGCTCAGCATGAACTGTCGTTGGGCGAGGAGGTTGAAGCCGAGGAGATCGTCTTGGTAGTGGGCGATCGCGTGGAGTTCTTGGTGTCGCCCGAGCTCGTGATACCGTTCCACGTGACGAGCACTGAACCGACGTTGAACTTCGAAGCTCCCGCATTGTTGCTTGACCTACAGGAGTGCGAAACGACTCGTTTGGTGGTCGTCTGCCGGGAGTCCCGGGAGCGGCGTCCATGGTACGATAGGTCTCCAAACACGATCTGAGCCCAGTTTCGCGAAACTGCTTCAAAATAAGATGTGCAATTCGATTGTCATCTACTGAATTGTATGATGCACATAAGTTTTTCTTGGACAGAGCAATTTGTGGTTGTGAAACGTATTACAACGTTGTCGTTTCCATCTGTTGGGAAACGTTGTGGTCCACAACGTTGGGGTGGTCAACGCACTCAGCTTGTGATTGGTCAAAAAACATTTGGCGCGTCCGATCGGACGAGCGAGAAAAAAGAATTAGTTGCTGCACTGAATGACTACCCCTATTATTTTCGCCAATAAAATGAGACCCTGGTTGCAAGACCGATCCGGGATCGCGAGTCGCCATGAAGTTACCAGCAAAAATGGGGGGGGGGGGGGGGCTCCAACTTGTGCTGTACAAGATCAGCGATCTTGAGTCGGTTTTGGATTTCGCTGGACAGCCGCCTCCGGGGGTCGCGGCCGTCCACGGCCGGATCGTCGCCAGCAGACACCCGAGTTGGGATCTTCGTGTGAGAGCCGCACGATCGCCTCCCGAGTGGTCGCACCCAACGGCCTCGTCCCCTCGAGCTCCCAGTTAACCCGGGCACTCCGCCATCTTCTACAGGACTCACTTGGCAATTTACCTTGCTAGCCTCAAGACACACCTGCTCCACCGAGCCCGTCAAGCCGAAGTCCTTCACTTCCTGCCCGACTATGCGCATCGCTGCTGTTCTGGCCGTAGCGGCCGCGTACGGCGTCTTCGTTGACGCGCTGAGTCAAGACGTTCCTGGTCACCCGATGCTGCGCGATCTCGCCTCGGCAGACGAGAACCAGTCGCACCTCGTGCCGGCGCTCTACCTCATGGCGGACGCCGGGAACACGTGCACCTCGTGGGGGACCGACCTGGCCTGCACCTTTGAGGAACCAACCAACAGCCTGAAGCTGGGAGGCAGCGGATGCCAACACGTCCCCATTCCAACGGATAACTACGTCTCGGACAAGCGCAAGAACAAGTTCGACGGCGCGCTGACCGATCCGTACACGGGTGAGCCGTCCATTGAGGTGACGGCCACCAAGCAGGGCACGTCGGACAAGAAGTCGACCGGGAGACAGACCTGGAAGGACTACAAGGCCAACGCGCTCGCGATCCAGCAGGGTGCGATCCAGTTCACGACCCCCGGTCTGTACGACACGTCCATCACGGCGAGTGACTACGGCGCCTCGGCTACTTGCCCCGGGTGCATCGCGATTCTTGACAAGTTCCGTCCGCTGTTTGGAGTGGAATGCCCCTTTCCTGCTGGCTCTTCACTCTCGACCTCACTCACTGGTGCCTCGCTTTCAGAGTTCGCACAGGCGGATGCTCTGTTCGACACTGTCACCGCCGGCTACGAGAACAACGCTGAAAGCGAAGGTCCACCTGCTGGGACGACGTGCGGGAGTTCCTCTGCGCAAGTGTCGTCCATCCAAACGAGCGATCTGGTTGACACCGTGACCTGTTACGCTGACGGCGACTGGCATGACCGTCTGAACGCGCTCAAGGACTTTGAAGCTGTCTTTGCCACGATCGTCACCCAGCAGAGCCTGCCCCTCGGTCCGTACTCGTGGAGGTGCGTGAAGCACAAGGAGATCACGGAGTGGTACGTCCCGTACGCGTGCTCCAACCCCACCGCCTCCGGGTCTTGCGTTGGTCGTGAGGACGAGTGGAGTGTCTGCAGTCTGGACCGTACCATCACGGTGACTGCCGCAGACGTCGCTAAAATCTCGGTGGCGCTCTCGCAGACTGCCAAGGACAACTCGGAGACGGTCATCACCTCGCTGGGATCACCTACTGGCGCTGACAAGGAGACGGACATCTACCGCACGATTCCGTGCACCGAGTTCGCCAGTGCGACCAACACGGACCCGGCCTGCGTGTACAACCAAAAGCTGTCCAAGCTGCTTGCCACCACGACCGATTTCGCCGACTATTTCCCAACCGACCACAACGGCGTCGATGCTACCGATGTGGTCTTTTGGCGCTACAAGCGCTCGGGTGATGACTGGGCCGTGTGGGACCCGACCGCCGACAGCGCGCTATCGTTCACTCTCCCGGAAACTTCAGTCAGCATCGAGGCTTGGACGGCAGTCGGCCAGGTCGGAGCTACGTTCGACTTCAAGGTGAAGCTCTACCTGCACACGTCGTTGGTGTGCGATAACTTCGCTGGTCTATGGACGGCTGTGAGCGGCGCTGAAAAGCCAGGAAGAACCTTCTGCAACGTCCCGGGCAGCGACTTCAGCGTCATGAAGTTCAAGTACGCCACGACCGACATTTTCCCGGTCGATGCACTCAAGTCCAAGGTAACCGGCACGGCCACGAGCGTGGTGTGCACGATGGCGGTCAAGGAGACGGGGGCAGGCGCCACGCAGCCGGTGACGATCCTGGATTCCACCGATGCTGCTATTGATAAGGACTTCTCCATCGAGCTCGTTCACGACCCCAACACTGCACCGTCCACCACTGTCGATGTCACGTGCACATTCACGCGTACGGCTCATACCAACGGCGAAGACGACGACGCGGTGATGCTCGCGGACACTGAGCCGTACACGAAGGACTGCTCGGACGCGTTTACTCTCATCGACTGCGACGAACCGGAGCTGCTGCCTGGTGTCGCGGAGGCCGATGTGTGTGCGGACAAGTGTGCAGGCAACTCGGCTCCCGGCCTGGGTGAGGCGTGTGGCGGCAACATTGTGACCGCCACTGACGCGGCAACGAGCCTCCTCGAGCGCATCAATCCGAACGATCAGACGTGCTGCGCTGACTGTAGCGCGATCAGGTGCCAAGCCGCGGGGGGTTCTTCAACGGCCAAGGCCTGTTTGCCGGACGGAGCCATTCCAATGCAGCCTTTGTTGGCTCAGTTGGCTGCCGCCGAGGAGAAGGTGTTCGCAAGTGAGACGACGACGGCGCTGCTGGGTGCAAGTGCCATGGTCGCTGTGGTGGCGTTGATTGTCGTGAAGCGCCGCGCTGATGCTGCAGCGCGCGAGAGGGAGGCGGAGGACGCGTACTACCCGCTGCTGGAGTAAGCTGTGCGCTCCATTGGTGCACGACGGCGCAATGCGGGGGTTGCAGGTGATCAGCGACTGAATGAGGGGTGCCCGTGGCCCAGGCAAGTGATGCGTGCGTCGACAGTTTGTATGAATTCGCTGGTGTTGGAATGCTTGGTTGCTCCGAGGGCGCCGTTGGCTACAGTATATGTAGCGGTAGCGAGTGAGATGGCTGGCGGTCGTAGCAGCTAACGAATACACCTGCTTGCATTTACGTTGAAGCTTTCCGACGGTAAGTCGGTTGTGTGTGCCATTAGTGTCTGTAGCTCCATCGTCACACTCGGAAGGACGCGTCGGCACGGAATCGTCGCTCGAAGTGGAGCTGCGAATTGAGCATACCCGTCCAGGAGCCTTCGCGCGGCCAACTACGCGTACGGAAAAGCCAGGGTAGCGTCGAACTTGTCCGAGACGTAGTTTATCGTCGAAATGAGGTCATGTTGACAGCCGCTGCCTCCAAGGTTGGGCTATTGGTCGGGGCGTCGAATCTCGGCTCAGGGCACCCGAAAAATATTCTCCATGCGTAGGCTGGGATAGCTGAAGAATTTTGTGTGAGCCGGTCGCGCCGCTTGCCATCGCCAAAGCGACAATTCTGCGAAAATTACGAAAAACAACAATTTTCCTAGCTGTGGGGTACGTTCAATCCTCTTAATATTATTGCGAACCAAGGGTCTGGCGATAGTGATAAGCGCTGCAGCGTGCTGTAAGAAACGAAGCGTTAACGTCCTGGCCGAGCTCGTGCAATTTAGGCACTGACCGGTAACACCAGCGAGAATTCAGCACGTTGTAGAAGGTCTATGTTGTTCACAAGGTCATTTTTCTACTAGTATTTGTTTTATCCTGAAAGTGCAAGTTCTGCATTGGTTGTTCTCAGACAGATAGTTTAGAAGAAAGATTCTCAGGTGCAGTATCCCGATGTGACACAATCTAAAACTGTAAGTAGTGTGGATGTGTGTGCCTCTAATACGCGTTTGTATAGTGTCCACGAGCTGCTTGTGCAACTTGCGCGTTGACAACTGTATGGACGGTTCTAATAGTCGAAGGCAGACAGATGCTGCGGCTGCGAAAAGATGGTGGTTTTGCCAGCACAAGGTTTGATATAGTATTTCAAACACCACCGTCACGGATCAATCAGGAACCGGACGATCTCATTCGATACTTTCGCTTCGCTCCTTGAGCTCAGAACGTCAGAGAGCATGTCTGTGTTTGCGCACAAGAGAAGCTAAAATGGTTAGTTTAAATCACTTGCTCTTGTACTGTAGATGGACGAGCTGCCACACCAGATCGACCAATAATTTTCATTTATGCTGTCTTTTGAGAGGCCAACCGTCGGCCTACCCGTTTCGGGGTCGGCTCGCTGCTGCTGGGGCACCTATCGGTGAGCTACGGCAACAAGCGTAAGCTAAGAACATCGCTCATCAGTGACGTGGTGCCGAAGACCGGCGAGCAGCGCTGATCTCGGCAACGATTCCTCACAGCACTCGTGTCCAAATGCAACGACTACGGAATTTTCGAAATGCTCTCCAGCTTGTCGGACTTGAGATTGATGGAGAGCATAGGCTATATTCAGTTAACTTCAGTTACCGGGGCCAGTTTTTCGGCTTCAGCTACCGAGGTGCCGCCTAATTAATCTGTGTTGGGCTGGCCACAGCGCTCCCGCCGGGTTACTGCTATCCCAGAAATACTTCGAATTTTATTCGCAGTTCGAAGAACTGTCGATTGGGAAAGGTTTTTGGATGACATCGAACGACATTCACGCTACATTCGTCACTTCACCCCGACATCAAACAACATTCACACAACATCATACAGCACTCAATAGAATCCGGTTTGAATTACACTTACAGCTTTTGATAGATGCCTATTCGCCTCGGAGCTTCTTTTCCTTCTAGATTGATGCCAGGCGCCACCAGAGGAGTGGAGCTCCAGCACAAACATTTTATTGTTCGAAAGAATGCAATTCTTGCTATTGCACAGATAACGTTATGTACATGTACGTTGTTCGTCGTAGTAATGGCGTCTGTGACAATTACAAACCTCGATGCTGACCTTGAGCACAACTGATGTCATTACCACATCACTGGAACTCTTCCAAAAACAACACAAAAATAAATGTGTCATGAGCACAAAAATAGGGCTGCATACCCAGTACAATATGCGAAGACGCAAATATCGTCTCCATAAATTGTGTCATGAAGAATTGTGTCAATTTTGGAAAGTTCCACTGCATCGTGTTAAACTGCATGCGGCTCCAGAGCACTCAACATAGTACTCACTCATTTCATTAGTGTTAAAGCTATCGATTCAATCTGTTCAGTCCTGGGTCATAAATTATACCCTCATCTTTCAGACACAGATTTTCTTCTGCATGCATAGAGATTTATTGAAAATCTTTTGGTCACCTGAGTTTGCCGTGACTTAAATTCTCGGCAGGCTGATATTCTGTGAATCCCCACACTCATTGGAATGTGTCTGGATGGATTAGATAAAACATTCCACTAAAACTTCGCATAAACTACTTAACCCCAGTGAAATTTATCCTACGAAAAAGGATCAAATCCTTTGTTGATGTGGCACACACAGGCCGTTTTATCCTAGCGAGGCCGCCGTAGGATAAAAAACGACTTGGCGTTTGTATTGGAGGCGTCTCCCATCTTATCGGTCGTGTCGCATTTGACAAAGCCACCGTTGGAAGCATAAAATTGTAGAGGTATTCAGACCAATACTCAGCTCAAGTCTAAATGCGATTTTTATCCGAGCAGATAGGATAAATCTGGATTTTTGATAAGCTGTTAGAGACACTTTTCATGCGGCAATTTCGCAATGATGGACAATGAGAGACACCAAGTGGACACTAGTATCGTGTGGAGGAAGGAAAAGGCTTTGTGTGTGTGGCTTCAGATACTCGTATTTCCCAGCAGTCGTTTCTGTAAAAAGCGCTAAACTTTTGGTTCTTTCTTTATCCTACGGCCAGGCTCACTGGGGTTAACGTTTTTAAGGTTATGCGATCCAAGATGGGAATTATAGCTTGATTATTTTTTCATTCAACATATTTTCATCCAAAGCCAAATCTATCCGCCGGCAATGCGGTGACATCCTATACGGTGGCAAACGAATTCATTCAGCGGAGATTCAAAAGAGCTGCACCTGGTGTTATGTATTCTCCGTAGAAAAGGCTAAAAGCTACAACAAAAATAATGACGACCGTGTATGAAATCGGGAGAAGTATAGGTCAAATCAATCGAGATATGAATGGCTCGTGTGGGGCCATTACAAATCGACACTCGCTTAGGCATTTTATCTACGAAGACTTTGGATGATTAAGCATGCCTTAACTACATTGCGACCCGCAGAGATCCACCGAGCCCATTTGCTAATGTAGAATAATTTTCTACTTTATCCTGTTCTTGTTAAAACAACTTAAAAGTACATTGTTACCAATATTAGTTCAGATCATCCTAATGCTACATGAATGCGGCACGTTCAGTTTAATACTAGATAAATGGCAATAACACACTTGGACGAATCGAAACTGGGAGTTTTTGTTGTTGTTAGATATTCAGGCGATCCGGAGAAAGTCTGTGTGCGACTGCGCCATGTTTTATCAAACAGAGTTTGAATGCTCCTACGTTTTCTGTACGCCCCGGATTCCTGTGAGAGAGGAAGCCTGGGTGGACATCGTCAACGCGAAGGACAAACACCCGGTGTATCCAACTCCTACACGCGATCGAGATCTGCTAGACCTCAGTCTTAACTTATCAAACTTGAAGCAAATTGCTGGCTTCATCGGGTTACCCTGCAAGTTTGGTTGGGCAGTTAGCCTGGAAGCTTTCGAGTCTTAAAATAAGACCACAATCTTAATGCCACCCATACGAAACTGAAGAGTCGCCGTATTTAAAAGATTACACCAAGACTGAATGCAATTTTCTCATGCGGGAATGGACTTATAAAACTCGCTTTAGAACTCACCGCTGGAAGTAAGTCGGTCTGCGCGGGTCTCAACTGTAAAATGGTGGTCTCAAAGACCCTGTTACGTCTTAGGATAAGACCCACCGCTGGAGATGCTCTAAGTGCTGTCGATGAAGGACTACCCTCAAAATATGCCACCGGTACTGAATAGACCCAAATAACATATCTTACCATGTCCAAGTTTATCTTTCATGAGCACGAGGATAGCGATGAGACCGGGAAGCACTGTACCGCTGCACAAGGCAAGCGTCTGGATTTTCGTGGAGAGACACAGGACGAGGGCGAAGGTGAATTAACCTTCCGTTCCCCTACTGAGCTTTAGCTGCGTTCTATGTAGGTCATAGACCAACACTTCAATACATTTGCTCATACATGTGTACCGGTAGTTTTGGGGGAACCGGGGTCCCGATGGGTACCCGGGTTCCCGCCAATTGTTTCAGTTGTTGATAACCGTTCTACTAACTACAAAATAACTAAAGTTAAAACTAAATCCGTGGAGTCCTAATCCAACGAGCAAGAGAAGGTAGAATCACCACGGTGGGTTTGTCAAACCCAATAGTTGAAGTATCAATTCGTTGGAAAGAACTGGCAATGCCTTTGAAAAGAAGCATCAAACTTGGTACACTTGGTTGTACAGTGGTAGATGCAGATGCTGCGGCTGCGAAGCAGGCGCAGGAGATGCCCGAGTACATCGTTTCCCTGTAAGGGCATCCGTACAAGCTAGCTTCGAACTGCGAGGCCCCCCCGGGTCCACCACCCGGGTCCCCAATTTCGTGTTTTCGTGTTGGGTCATCCGAAAAGCTACCGGCACATACTCTCTTTACAGTAGCTTGCCAACGGGTTTCTGGTCGGTCCGGCTATGTCGATGTCAACTTCAACATCGAGCATACAAATGCCAATACAAAATGGAAAGCAACTGCTGCCAGAGATCTGCCTCACCTTCAGCTCCACCGATAAAGCGATCCGGGTCGCTTCCTTGCGAAAGTGCGGTGGCCGTACAGTACCATATCGCGCGGCGACCGCGGACTTGACCACGCTATTGACGCAGCGTATCTGCCGCTGCTATTCCTCATACGACCACGGTGTCTAAGCTGTATAAATAGTTGAATGATTAATACTGGGATAGGAAGCAACGTTAGTGCTGCTATCGCAGACCAAATAGGACTATATCCGTGGTACGTCAAGTCAAAAGGTGACCCCTCTTGACACCTAACTGGTACATTGTCCTGAAACCGGTGTGACCCCGGTGCCGCACTGGGCCCTCCAAAAGGTTTACATGTATATGCGTGGGCAGATTGAACCGGTATGAGTCAGTAACATATATCGAATAGTAGGAGTGAAGTAAAGTGAATGATTGAAGCGGGCGAACTGCATACAAAGGTAAACATTTTCATTTTCTACAAGCTACAAACAGATCTCGAGCAAGGTTCGTTTTATCACTGTGTATAAGCACCGCCAAGGCATATCATGTATCTACAGTTTTGAGGTGAATTACCGGGCAGGCGCAGGAGATGCCCGTGGTTCGTAAAAAAAAACTCATAATAATAGAAAGCGATTATACCAAAAAACTCCTATCCCAGCCTTCGCGGAGCCCTAGTATCCGTGGTACATCAAGTCAAACGATGAACCCTCTTGACATTTACTGGTATATTTTCTTGAACCGGTACGACTACGGTGCCGCACTGGGAAGTTTTATTTGCGTGGGCAGATCGAATCGGTGTGCTACCGACGACACTGGTATGAAGCAGTAGAGGAACAAAATGAAGTGAAGAGACCAATTGAAGCAGACTGTACAATAGCACTAGTTTGTATTTCTTACAAGCTCCAAACAGATCTCAACCAAGGTTCGCATTTTTAAGTTTGTAAAGTGTTGCCGGTTGACAGTTTGAACTGGCAAATTCCCGGGCAGATGCTGCGGCTGCAAAGCAGGCGCAGGAGATGACCGTAGCCAATATTAAAAGTAATCAATAAAAATAAAGAGGGGGTTTATTCCAAAATCCTCCTATCCCAGCTATCGCGGAGCCCTAGTTTCTTGAACCTGCCGATTTTTTGTTAGAATTCTTATCAGCTCCTCGCAACTTAAGACTAAGAAATACAGGTTTAGCTAGCCTTCTGAGTCTTCTAGCTCACAGAAGGCATCAGAACGAAAGACTAACAGGATTCGCAGTTGGCCTTGGATAGTTATATAGAAACTTATTCTGGATTCACAAAAGATTTAATTATTAATTTCTGCTCGGAATAGAAAAGTATTAATCCAAGAATTGCATTCTCGGGTGCCCTGTCTCGTGGCGAGATTGCGCAGGATCGAGTGTCCAAGGACGTTCTGACGAAGACGCCGTACGTCGGCGAAGCGGCTTCGGCTTGACGGGCTTGGTGGGGGTCGAGGCGAGACGGGAAGAGGTGAAGCGGGTGTCTGTGACACATTCACAGAAATGGTAATACATAGTTCACAGAAATGGATCCAAACGCGACTCACTTGACTTTTGTATGGACGACGGCCCACCGGCCACGGCGGCCGACGCTCAGTATGCTCGCAAACGGCGTGGACGGCCGGCCGTCGGCAGAAGTACTATTCTGGGTACTGGCACTCAGTATCGGGGCCACGTATTACTTCAAGAAGTCTAGTATTATACTACTACTAGTATAGCGGTCAGGGTTGGTAGTAGTATCCCGAAGACTATTGTTAGTACATAAAATATCTATATTACTAGTATTGATACTAATATATCTCTGTTGTTGGAATCATTAGTACTATTATCTCGATAGTAGCCGAAAAAACATCGATAGTGCTATTATCACTACTAATGGACCATTGTTCAACCGACGGCGATTGCCACCAAAGAAGAAGAAGCTGCGTTCGATTACCGATTTATCTGACTTCTCAATTTATGTGAACTAATGTGCTACTTACTCGACAACATGTACAACTACACTTAACATTCCGCTCTGGTGTGGTGCGGAACACCACACCAGAGCGGAATGTTAAGTGTAGTTGTACATGCCGAAGCTTGAATCTGTTGTCATGTCTGCTGGTGAAATCGCCTAAATGTTTGGAATACCGAAGCCGTTGTAACAGAGACTTGAACTTGGTTTGATCTTCGGAGTTTGATAGTCTTCGGAGGCGTCGATAGTTGGAGCTGAATGTGCTGGAAATGCTTGATATCGCTGTTTCAAGGGGTTCCGGTCCTCCATCCTCGAAAGAAACTTTGTTCCTCACAGTCCATTGGCGGTGAAGCGCTGCAAATCTCACTACATTCCATAGGCAAAGCACTTCCCCCTGTGGTGGGACCATATTGACCGAATTTCATGCTTGTGCGGGAGTACCATGGAAGTCCAGCTGATGCCTCCTACGAAAAAGATACTCATGTCCTTCAAGAGGGCTTTCCAGATTTCGTTTGAGTGGTGGCACTCGAGGAAAAGGTTTTGCGCAGTTTCGCTTGCTTCGCAGCCGTAGTAAGGGCACCGCTGAACATTTGGTATTTGGTGCGCTAGAAACCAGAATCGAGACCTTACAGGCAACACTCGATATACAATTCGCATTTGCAAGTCATCCTGCACAGGTAGGAGTACTTGCCGTTGTTTCCGGACAAATTTGGTGACATCAGAGGCACTTGTACCTTGTAAGTCACGACAGATATGTGGAGTAGCGCCCTCGCAGAAATCTCGCGAATGCGATCTCGCACAAACTCGGCGCGTCTGGATAGCGGTCGCGCCGAGCGAATTATTCCCGGTTGTTGAAATAGCGTATCTTCAAAATACAGGCCCAAGTCTTCGCAGGCTTTAGAGTTGGGGGGTTCTTGTGTTGACGCTTGTTTCTTGTCCTAGGGCGTCGAGGCCTTGGGCGTGCGGCGTTATCGGGCCGGCGCTTTCTGGGGCTTGTGTGGCGCTAACGGGCCTACACGGGGGCCTTGTGCACGGCGATTATCAGGCCAGTGCGGTCCTTCGCCTAGGCAGCGCGTTATCGGGCGCCCACCTAAACGGTATGCGTTTAACGTGCCTTTGTTCCAGCACGGGTCTGTGGGGGGTGAGCACCCGAACCAGCAAACGAGGCAATATCGAGGCGGCTCTACTTGCCGGCGCTTGGTGGTTCCCCTGGAACCTCGGAGAAGACGGAGGTCTTTGTGGTTCAGAGAAATTTCGGGACTCCGTCCTTACCTTATCCTATGTCCTTGCTAGTGCTGTGAACGTTCAGCTTTACATGCCCTTTACATCCTGAACGTTTATGAGAGGTAATGTTCAGCTAAACCGCCTCTAAACAGCCGTGAACCTCTAACATGAATAAACTATCGAAATGTTTTGTGTGTAAATACACTGCGAAAGGAGATCTCACGACGCGCCCAAGCAGCGTGTTGGTGGCGGCTTCGGCATCGCGAGGACCCCGAGAAGCCCGTGGCGGACGTGCCGTGGCGGAGGAACCAGAAGCTGCTAAGTGAAGTAAGTAGCACCGGAGTGCGGAATTCCCAAGCTCTTGAGGAAGCTTCAGCATAGCCACAGGCACAGGAGGAGGATGCGTGTGAGCGCCGTCACGCTGCTGCTGGGCAACGAGGCGCGCGAGCTGCTACTGTACGCGGGTCTGCCGTTGCCGGAGTTGCTGCGGTGCGTCGCCTCGATCTTTCCGGCACTCCAGAGGACAGGCAATGCAGCAACGTCCGTGGCGCTGTGCCACGCTTCCGCGGGCGTCTTCTACCCGCTGTCGCTGCTCCGCCGTTCGCCGGAGCTGTTCGAGCACGAACCCTACTACCTCGTGCTGTACGGTGGGGAGGGCGGCGCGGACGACGTCGACACTTCCCCCGGTGGGTCGAGGTGGAGCTGGCAGCAGACGTTGAGGTTGTTGCTACCGTCACGAGCCTGGCCAAGGACGCGAAGATCAGCGGTGGACTCCGTCACGGGGAGCAAGACCAAGGAGCCCAAGCCGCCGGGCGCGGACTCGGACGCGCGTAAGCAGCGTTTGGTGGTGGCTGGTGTCGACAGCGCGAGGACCCCGAGAAACCCGTGGTGGACGTGCCGTGGCGGAGGAGCCTGCAATCCGAGAAGGTGTCGACCGGGTCGAGCTGGAGCTGGCAGCGTATACCGAGGTTGCACACGAGGAAGTCGAGCAGAAAATAGAGGTTATGCAGCTGGATTGAAACTATGTATGTATCATAGAGCAATGAAAACGAACTCACTACAAAAGCAAACATGCATGTGCAATCTGTTCGCAGGCTTAGGCCGATTGAGGCTTCAGGGCATTGATCCCTTTCCAGTTTTCAGCCATAAAAACTAGATCACGTACCATAGTCGGCTTCAACGAGCTACGCTTCACGGTGATGATATTCCCGCGTGTTGAAAACGCGCGCTCCGAAGGAACGCTGGTAGCTACAGCCCGCAGCCACTTTCGCGCGAGCTTACGAAGGTTTGGATAGTTGTCTCCATTCACCTTCCACCACCAGAAGGGGTTGGTGCCGCTTTTTACGGACGAGATAGACTCCAAGTAGCGCGCAAATTCCTTCTTGCACTCCGTAACGATGTCTGTTGTTTCTGTAGGTACCGTGTCGGGGCCAAACATGTGATGATGCATGAAGCTGCGGTGCTGCTCTGCTGACACTTGAACCGATGTTTGGCTTTGTCGTTCGGCTTGTTGCCCCGGTAGATTTGGCTGCGCCAGTTCTACCGTTGCATCGACAAGCTCGTTGCTGGCAGCGGGGGTGTCGGCAGCACTCAGGTGAGACTTCCATTTTCCAACTCGAGGGTCGAGGAAAGCCACCCACCTGAGCTCGCTCTTTTCCAGTTTATCAAACCGCGCCTTATACAAAGCCAGCATTATCGCGCGGCACTCATTCAGCATCAGAACTGTTTGAGTCACGTACGGTTCGTCGCCTGCTTCTGCTACGAGGCCAGCGAAAAGGTCGCTTCTCTCCAAATGCTTGCGAATTCCGGACAATGTGGGGAGTACAAGTGGCATAGTCGGATATTCTTGACCACTAAGCGTTTCCGAGGCGACAGCAAATGGGCCCAACAGCGTCTGAAGACACTTTATCGTCAGCCATTCTTCGGCCATCGGCGCAGCTTCTTAGCAACATCCTTGAACTCTTTGCGACCTTCCGGCTTCTTCAAATACGCGAAAAACTTCACTAGGGCCCCCTCTAATTCAATCATGCACACTAGCATTTGCCAGCAGCTATTCCAGCGTGTGGCACAGTCACCGGTCGGTTTTTTTACTTCATGCGCTTTAACGTTGAAGTTGTCAACCTGAAGAGCGCTCAGCCGATTATTTCTCTTCGGTGATATACGGAAGCAGACGGCGAGTGTACGAAAGCGCTGCACAACTGCGCGAACCGCATCCAGCTCGTTACGCCGCAGCGAGGCAATAGTTTCATCCAGATAGTGCTCCATGTCATCGATCGCAATGTCACGCATCCCTTCAAGTTGAGTCCTATCCTCGACTGTTAGTGGTGCTTCTTCATCGCGCTCAATAGGTACTTCGCTGCTTTCAGCGGCGACATCGGCTGCCAACTCTGGTTCATCGGCGCTCTCGCTTCTCCGTTTCTTCTTGATCATTGCACCGCCCACAACCAAATGCAAACAATGCGCGAGGCAAGCCATGTGCTTAACCCGTAATTTATTTCCCGCGGACAGCATGTTTGAGCCTCCATCTCTCACGAACCGAACACAGTAGCTCTTCAACAACGACCAATCCTCCAAAATCTGCTCAATCGTCGCCGCAATGATGGCACCATCGTGCATTCCAGGCAGCTCCATAACTTCGAGGGTCCAGCTTTGAGGACAAAATTCATTGTCAACGTAGTGAACAGTTACGGAGATGTAGCTTTTGGAGTTCCGCGCAGTCCAGATGTCGCAGGTAACCTTCATTGCGAGCTTTACGCGCTTTCGATACTCCACGGCCAAGGCTACGATCTCCTGGCTGATCTTGGTTCGCTCTGGTAGACTCACTTGGACGGCACTAATATCCTCCGTAATATATCGAATCACTGCAATAAACCCTTCATCCTCCACAATAATCATCGGGCGAAAATGGTGAGCGATCCACGCAGCGAGGAGCTTGTTCAGGTGCACTTGCTGTTGCGGCGTAATCTTGCGTAGCTTTTTCTTTCTCTCATCGACCACTCCACACCCCAACTTCGGCTGCACCCATTGCCTCGAGCGGCCTGCTCTGCTTGTGGAGCATAGGCTTTCAGTTCCACTGGGTGATACGTCTCCATATGCGGCGCCACCTTTGACTGGCCAACACTGAACTTGAACGTTGTATCACACAGGAGGCAATATACCTGCTCGGCATGGCTGTTGTTCAATTCATCACGCTGAAGGTACCGAAATGTGTCGCTTCGTATCAACCGGGCAAAATGCCATGCGTCTTTCCTCTTCTGGCGTTTCATGGTATACAGCACGAGATCACTCGCGACTTCAACTTGGTGCCGAAGCGCCTCAACGTCAACCATGAGAGCTGCTGCATCCGACGTTTGGAGTTGCTGGGTTTGCGATGGCAGCTCTTGTTGCTGCTGCTCTTGCGGACTAAGCTGGCCTTGTTGCTCTGTTCGCTCTTGTTGATGCTGCTCTCCTTCCGTTGGTTGTTGCTGCTGTTGCCAGAGTTCTGGTTGCGTGGTCTGAAGCGGATGTTGTTGGTCAGATTGCTGCTGTTGCGGCGGTGCCTGCGTGTACATATATCCCTCTTGTAGTTGCCACTGCTGCTGCTGCTGCTGGAGTAGTTGGCTGTGTGGCTGGGGCGACCCGAAGCTGTGAACGAGCAGCGATCTTGACGCTTGTGCAGGTACGGACGCAGTGCCGTAGTAAAGCGAACGTTGAGCCCGTGGAGGTGCTGGGGATACTAAAGCACGACTCAGCAGGCCATGTTGCGGCGTCTGGGGGAGGCTTGGTTGCCGCCGAGCTGGCATAGCGGAAAGTGACGCTAAGCTGGTCTTGATGGTTCCGCACTGCATCTATTGTATCAAAGGTACTTTATACTTGCAGAATCTATATACATAGTCAATTGCTGCTAAGCAAATCCGAGGTCGTAAAGCGGTAGTGAAGGGGATTTAGAGGGATTCAGAAACCGTAGAGCCAAACCGCCTGGAGTTCAGTAAATAGGACGTTCGCAAACGTTCAGAGGCTGAACGTTCACAGCACTAGTCTTTGCTACTGGCTACTCTGTACTACTGCTTGCTAAGCCTACCGTTCTGTACCTATCATTGCTTCTGTCGTGCTTGCACTACCGTGCTTCAACCTGATTTAAGTGGCGCAATCAAGATCTTACATCGGCGCGTTTTTGGTCGGTGGGGTTAGGGTCGGCGCGTTTTGCAAAACCGGGCGCGCTGGTCGACCCGTCAGATGATTACGCGTCGCACTGGATCCCGGCACCGTGTCTCACGGCCCATCACCCACGCCGACTTTCCCGTCGAGCTCGACCCTGCGTCGCGCCCATCAATCCACGTCGCGTTCCATCAACCGCGTCGAGGTACATCACTCGCGTCCCGCCGCCTTCTTCCTCCGGCGCCCGGCGCTTCTTCCGCGGAGTACTACACCACATTCGTCCCACTGTCACGCATGCGTACTCCCCTGGTGGGTGTTTCGTCGCAGAACCTGCCCCGCGCTCTTGCTTCTTCTCGACACCATCGCGTCTTTGGCCCTCGCGGTCTGCTTCGCAGTACTCCCAGCTCCATGGCTCGCCGCCACGACGTCGACGCCGACGACATCGACCTCGAGGATGAAGAGCTCGACACCGACGACCTCGAGGCCGCTGGCTGCGTGGTTTGCGCCCTCGGCGCGCATCGTCCTCGCCTCCCCGTCGCGCCCCAAGTCCCGGTTCCGGCTCCAGGCGCCCCCGTCCACTCGGTGACAGCTCTTGTCGCCGACGCGCACACTCTCCAGCGCGAGAACCAGGCGCTGCGCGCCCAGTACGAGTTCGTCTCAGCGCACAATGCGGGCTTGGCCACGTGCTGCACGACCGTAATCTTGCGATCTTGCATCGCGCCCGCGAGGGTTATCGCGCAGACATGATCCAGCTCGAGCAAGCGCTCCTCTCCCGGGAGCACGCCGAGCAGGACTACGCCGTCCTGGAGGTCCGAGTGGCCGACTTCTGCGCTCGGGCTGAGCGTGCCGACGCTGCCGAGGCTCTACTCCGCGCCGAGCGAGGCTCCTCGACTGAGCAATATCGTGACCTTCAAGCTCAGCTCCGGGCAGCGCAAGACCAGATCACTCGCGCACGCTCCTGCTACGCCGACTCCGACTACCGTGCCGCTAGCGCGGCTGTTTGCTGCATAAGGCGGGCGCGACGACGCGCGCGCCGAGCGCGACGACCTTCGCGTCGACCTCGCAGCCGCCCAAGCCGCCCTCGCTCCTGTCCAAGCGCGCGTGGCCGCCGCCGAAGCTGAACGAGATCAGGTGCGGCAGCTCGTGGCCACTGCCGAGCAGCAGCGCGACGCCGCTCTCGCCGAGCGTGACCGCGTGACCCGCGTTCTCGTGGTCGTCGAGCAAGAGCGCGACGGAGCTTTCGACATGCGGGATCAAGCGCGTCGAGCCTCCACGGCCCTGAGACGCGAGTGAGACGCTGTTGTCACCGAGAGGGACCAGGCACGTCAAGCCGTGACCGCCCTTGAGCAGCGGCGAGACGTTGCCGTTGCCGAGAGAGATCAGGCTCGTCAGGCCTTGACCACCCTGGAGCTGCAGCGCGCCCCGGTCGACGAAGAGCTCCGCGCGGCCCGTGCATCGCTCACTTAGAGCCGCGCGGAGACTGGGGCGGGGCCCAGAACCTGAACGTCCCGCTGCAGGACGACCTTCGGCGCGTCAACGCGCTCTTGGTGGCCCACGCCGAGGAGCTCCGCCGCGGCGCGACACGTATCCACGAGCTGGAGGAGTCAGTGGCCACTGCTACGACTCTCCGTTTGGCCGCCGAGTCCGAGATGGCGCGTGCTCAAGCTTGTGAGCTTTGTGCCTCGTCTCGCGCGGCGCAATATCGATCTGGGTGGCTATCCATGCGACAGTCGCCTCAGCAGCGTCGAGGAGCAGTCGGCGTCCAGACCCATCGTCTTAGCGCTCACGTCGTCGAGCTGGAGGAGGAGCGCGACTTGGCCATCCGAGAGCGCGCTGTGGCCTGGCGTCGGATGCTTCGAGACGCGCGTCGGGGCCGAGAGCTGGCGCGTCGGGTACGTGACGAGCTTGCCGACCGTCTCGCCGGCGTCGTAACGCGTGTAGGCGGGCAGATCGACACCGCCGACCTGGTCAGGCGACTCGAAGCCACCTTCACGGCGGAGATCAGTGGTGCGGTCCCCTCCCTCCTGCTATCCCGACGTCCGCAGCAGTTCCTGTGGCATCCGCTGTCCCTGCTCCTGCTTCAACTGCGTCGGGCTCTGGCGCCCGGGCGGGCTCGCCGGCTTGGACGGCGAGCTCGACAACTGGTGCTTCCCCTCCAGCGGGTCCTCCGGGCTCCCGCCCCGTTCCGACTTCGTCCTCCTCGTCGGGTTTTCGGCGACCTCGGCACAGCGCGTTGTGTCATTCGGGTTCTCAGTCGCGCGCGTCTAGGCTGTCCGGAGTGGCGTCCGCCACGTCATCCAATTCTTCGCCCCTTCGACGTAGTCAACGGCCCTCTACCGTGGCCGACACTGCGGCTTCCGACAACGCCGCTGCGCAGGTCTCATCTGCAGCTACGCCCTCTGCGGCCGCTGCGACTGCAGCGCGCACACGAGGGGACGCGTCGCTCTTCGGCTCCGAGTCTTCGGACAGCGAGGGCCAAGCGCGGCGAGCTCAGTCCCAGCGTCGCCGGCTGCATAGCCCCGGGTCTCGCTCACGGTCCCCGGCGCGTCCGCCTCCACGTTCGCAGTCGAGTTCCCGGACACCCCCGCGCTCCCGTTCTGCTTCGCGTTCGCGCTCACGTTCGGCCTCTCGTTCGCGCTCGCCTTCCTTGGCGTCGATATGTTCGGCCGGTTCAGCGCGTTCGGCGCACTCGGCGGGGTCGGCGGCCTCGCGTCGCTCTTCTCCTGCGCGGCCGGCGTACTCCTCGCCGAGGGGCCGTACGGCAGCCGGAGCGGGACCATGCCCTGGTCCGAGCGATTCGGGCGACTCCAGTGGCGACGACTCGTCCGCTTCCTCGTCGTCCCGCGCCTCGTCCTCGAGCACCGCCTCCAGCGGCTCGGCGGGGAGTGCTCCGGCGGCGCCATTCCTTGATCCTGTGATCCCGTCTGCCGAAACTCCGTCTGGCTGGCGGCAGCCTCGCTAAGCTCCGTGGTCCAAGCGGGTACGACGTCTCCGCCTTCATCTCATCACCGTGCAGGAGTTGCGAACGCTCTTCCTGCCACCACCCGGCTGGATCCTTCCGCGCCGTGTTCCCCGCGAGCCTGCGAACTGGAACCGCGCCCTCGTGACTCTGGCCAACGTCGAAGCGCTATACGCGACTCGGGCATGGCGGTACCTCGCTCAAGCCGCTGAGGCGCTTCTCTTCGCGCCCGGCGATGCGGCGTTCCGTCCGTTCCTACGTCGGCTCCGGCACCACATCGAGCCCTGGGCTCAGGCGTACTGAGAGTCCACTCATGAACTCTTCGTGCAGGGCGCGGCGTGGCAAAGGTGGCGCACGGCTCGCAACTCGCGTCGCTCACACGCGGGCAACCACCTCAACAGCCTGTTGCAGCTGGTGGTCGGGCTGTTCCAGCAAGGGCTCGCAGATATGGACCTCTTGCTGGACCCGATGATGCTTCACTTCCCGCCCGCGCACATGTCGATCAGACGGTGGTATACAGGCTTCCAGCACGCGACGTTGCAAGCCGCGCTCGACGACATCGACGCGCAGGAGCCCTGGCGTCGGTTCTATCGGACGCCGCTCACTGTGGCCGAGATGGAGGCCAACGTACGCTGTCGAGTGACGCGCGATCACCCCACCTTCCATGTGTCGCATCTTGCAGGTAAGTTCGCCCAGCAGGTTTGATTCCTGGCCTCTCGTCGTAGTTCGTCGCCTTTAGCTGTCGTAGCCGTAACTTCAACACGTAGCCTTGATCATTTCCCTTGTTTCTTTCCACTTCTCCACATCTTTTATGAGACGGCCCTCCGCCGTCCCATCTTCAGCCACGGGCTGGTCCTCCTCACTTCCCTCGTCCAATCCCTCGCTCCGGCCATTCCCAGAGTCGAGGCTTCCCACCAGTCCTCCCGTCGGCAGCCACCCTGCCGACTTAGTCGCACCCGTGGGCGCTCACCCACCAGGCCCCGCCGCCTCCGCGTTCTCGTGCGACTGCATCGCCTCGAACCGGTTGCGTCCCGTGCGCTGGCGCAGGAAGTCGTACAGCAACCCGCCGCAATTCAGGTCGAGCTCGTCGACCCACGTCGTGTCCGGGTAGCCCTTCCATTTGACCTCGAACTCACGTCGCGTGCGCCCATACCGGGTAGCCCGCCCCTCGCGCACGTTCACGATCTTCTCGACCTCGAAGACGTCTTCCTCTAGCTCGCGCGTGGCTTCCCAGCCGTCCTCCGGTAAGAGCTCTTCGTCGAAGTCGAAGCGCTCCTCGGTCGGCACCGTCAGACGCGTCGTGGGTCGCGACGGGAATTCCCGGACGGGCTTTAGCTTGGAGATGTGAACGACGGGGTACAGCTGATAGGGCGTACACGCCGTCACGAGGCGCACTGCGAACGCGCTGACCAGCTCTGCGACGCGGAAGGGCCCGTGCCACCTGTGCGCAAATTTGCGCGCATATCCCGGCTTCACCCGATCCAGGTACAGCCAAACTTGCGATCCCGTCGCGATCTCATGTTGCGTAGCGTTTTCAGTATGTCACCGCGCTCTCTCTTCGACGGCCTCTCGGACTAACTCCAACGCTTGTGCCCTTGCCACCTTCTAAAGTCGCTGGGTACGGAGCCTCCACCGCCTCGCCTCGGTGTCTCGGGTCGACGTGTTTCCAGCGGCCAGCGTCGATCGAGGATCCCAGCCGTGCAGTAAGAAGAACGGGGTTTCGTCCCTCGTCCGGTCGTGCGACGTGTTTAGCGCGAAGGTAATACGCTCGGCGTATTCATCCCAGTCGCGTTGGTCGACGTCCGCGATGTACAGCTTGATCGCTCTTGTAACCGGCTGCACCATCCGTTCCGCAGCACCGTGGGCTTGGGGACGATAAGCGAGCGTCGCTCGCTGTCTCTGACCCATGAGTTTGCTGAACGCCTTGAAGAAGTCGGACATGAAGCCCGGCTCGCGGTCGTGGCGGATAGCCTCGCTCGCGCCGAAGCGCCTGAACACCGCCTCCTCGTACGCCACGGCCACCGTCTGCGCGGTTCGTGACGCGTTCGCTTTGACTACGACGAACTCCGTGAAGAGGTAGACCCAAACTAACAGCTCTATGTTGCCTTTATAGGATGCCGGCAACGACGGAATATGGCCCATGGCGATGACCTGGAACGGGTACGTCGCGACGATGCTGCCCGGCGACTCGCCCTGGATGGTAGGCCGACCTTTTCCCGTCTCGCAGTCGGTGCACTCGCCGACGTAGCGCTGGACGCTTCTGAAGATCCCTGGCCAATGGAAGTGGCGCCTCACGCGTTGGTACGTGCGGCCAATACCCTGGTGTCCGCCTTCCAGACTCGCGTGATAGTGATGGAGTACATCCTCCCGAAGAGTCTCCGGGATCACCAGCTTCATCATCACATCGCGATCCTCGGCGGAATCGTCACCTCTCGGCTGGTAGTAGAGCAGCCTGCCTTCGACCTCTTCGTACTGAGGCGCCGGTTTTTGGCAGTTCTTCACCTAGCGCCGCGATAGGTCTCCGACGTCGCCGCGGATATACTTCTTGAGGTTGACGATCCAGACCTCTTCGTCTTGGGCGACGCGGATGCGGTCCAGTCGCAGTCGTTGCACCACCAGCTCCTCCAGGACTTCTGGAGGTCGGACCCCCGGCGGGGCCATTTGCGCCGCGCGTTTTCGCGTCGCGATTTTCCGCGTCGAGGCCTTCCGGGTCTCAACTGGCTGGAGCCGCCATCTCGAGACTCGATGCCAGTGGTCGGATAACTTCTTCTAAGCGATTCAGCGTCATCAGGTCTTGAATCTCCTCGGGGCTGTGCGCGTTGCGGCCTCCTTGGCGCTGCAGAGCTTGTCCAGCCAGCATGTCGGCACTCGCGTTCCAGTCTCGTCGTACGTGGAAGAGTTCGTGTCGCAGCCATGTCTGGAGTGCGGTTCCCGTCTTTTGTCGCAGTAGCTTCAGCCCCGGGGACTTGCAGTCCATCTCGTCCCGCATCTGCCTGATGACAAGGTTGGAGTCTCCGCATACGACGAATTGGGTGACGTCGTCGAGCTCCTCTAGAAGAAAACATCCGAGCAGCAGCCGCGGTATTCCGCCTCGTTGACTGTGAGGTCCGTCGCATATCCCGACGTGGCACGCACGATCTCCCAGTTCGGCAGCTGCCAAATGACGGCACTGTATGCTCCGCCTTCTCGCCTCGCCTTAGCCGATCCGTCGAAGCTCAAGAGGTGCAAGACCTCGTCGCGCGCCACGTCGGGGACTGGAATGGCTAAAATCCTGGACGCCCGTCTCCGTGGGCCGATCTCTTCTAGCGCCGCGTTGACGAAGGCTTGCGGGGTAATGCTCGCAGCCAGCGCGCCGAGGAGTTCTTCATCTCCCTTTATGGATCGGCATATTTCCAACTGACAGTCGTCCCTGTAGTCCCTTGGACCGGAACAACCAGGCGAGCGTCGTGTGACGTGACAAGACGCGAACCGGTCTCCCTGCTAGCATCGTGTAGCACTCGTTCAAGACGCGCAACAGGGCCAAGATCTACTTCTCGACGATGTCGTAGTTCAGCTCGTCGGGCTTCAGCGTACGACTGGTGAACTTCACCGGCATGTACACATCGTCGTGGACCTGCGTGAGCACCCCTGAGATGGCCCAGTCGCTAGCGTACACGATCACGACGGATTCTCGGTTCGCGTCGAAGTGCTTCAGCATCGGGGTCTCGGCGAGTTTCGCCTTGAGCGCGTCGAAGGCGCGCGTCGCGTGCGTCCACTTCTCATGTCCGCGGACTTCTGGACGCATAACGTACTCGTTAAAGTCGGTCTCCGTCTGCGAATACAGCGCGGTTGCGTACACCGCAAAGTCTGCAATGAATCGGTGGTAGTAATTGAGGCTACCCAAGAACGATAGCAGGCCCTTGAGCGTGTGCGGGAACTCGAGCGACGTCAGCGACTCCAGATTCTTCGGCTTTGCCTCGAGACCGCGTCCTGAGACTCGGTGGCCCAGGTAGTCGACCTTGGACATACCCCACTCGCTCTTCTTGACACTGATGGACAAGTACCACTGCTCCCAGACATCCAGCAAGCGTTCGACCTTCTCGCACAGGTCGTCCCACGACGTGCCCCCAATGAGGATGTCGTCGATGTACGACTTCCGTCCCAGAACGGAGTGAATACCCGGCTTCACCGGTTCGCCGTCTTCAAAGACGCCGAGGGTACGACTGAAGAGAAGCGCGAACACGTCGAGCATTTCATCCGGACGCTGAACACGCAGGAAGCCGAACTCGCCTCGCGTCTCACGCTAATGGAGGTCGCCGACTCCGAGGCGCTGGAGAAGAAGCTGCGTGCCCGACAACGTGGATTGGTCCACCAGAAAAAAGACTCTCTTCGGCTCGAACAAGTTCCGCCAAAAGGCGCCGACCCCGCCGGGAGAGCCGGCGCGTCGCAACTTTGATCCCGACGACTCGGGACGCGATCGTCCGCGTTGTCACCACTGTGGTTCTCGTCGCCATGCTGAGGGAGACTGCTGGAAGTTGTTGACGTGTCAGAAGTGTGGTGGCCAGCACCCGACGGAGCGATGCTTGAGAGTGTGTAAGGCCTGCGGTGACGTACACGAAGCCGGAGAATGCCCGATGGAGGAGTTCTTCAACCAATTGCGCCAGTGGTTTGACCCGAATAAGCACGCGGGAATGCTGCCGCTGACCGCCGAGAAGATGTTAAACTAGGACGCTCGCTGGATTGGAAACCAGTACGAGACGAGCGACCTGTTTCCGTCTATGCATATGCGACCAAGAAGTCGCGAGAGGTGGTTAGTGAGAACCCGACTTCCCTGAACGATAATACATGTGAATCCAACCTGGAACGTACCACGCGAGAACGCGCGCCGCGAATCTCGGCGGTCCGACGTACGACGGACGACGCGTTTGCACGTGAACCACCCCTGGACGAGGTCGACTTGCAACCAGGAGAGCGACGCGGATACTGGAAACATTACGCGCCGCACAAGTGGTACAAGCAGGCCAAAATGCATGGAAAGCTGAACAACCACCGTGCTGTGTTATTGCTCGACACAGGTGCCGAAGTGTCCATCCTGGACACTACCTTTGCTCGTGAGGTAGGCTGCCTGATCGACACGGAGATCACGCAAGAGTGTGTGGGAATTCTTGATGAGACATATTACACGGTGGGGAGAACCAGAGTCAAGATTACCTTGGCTGGGAACTTGGTGTACTACATGCACGTGTCGGCGACTTGGTCTGTGAACACGCAATCCTGGGAATGAACTTCATGGTGCCAGGTGGAGTGCGCATCGACACTGCGGACGGCACGGCGTGCCTCCCCGACGAGGTGCACATCCAGATGATCGGACGAAGACCACTTTACGGTGCACGGATGCACCCGGCCAACCTCAAGACGCCTGTGAGGCTCGAACCAGGGGACACGCATGAAGTCTGGCTGATGCCGGATCGAAACGCGCCGTTCCTGTGGGTAACGCGGGCAGAATCGTGGGTGACTACCTCTGTCAAGGGGAGAGTCGGAAGGAAGACGTACCTACGTGTCACGAACATCGGAGACGCAGCGATAACCCTCGGTGCACATGAAACGCTAGGGTGGTGGACGCCGTCTGACGGCCAGCCTCGGAGCCGTGGGTTTGTCCGACTGGGCTCCCCTCGGTACCAGCAGTGGCAGAATTTGGCGTACGGCGCGACGCGGAGGAGAACTGGATCCCAGCCGAGCTCGACGGACCGGTGACGGATCACCCCTCATACCCGACGCCTAAAGCCATCTTGCGCCCGGAGCCGAGACAACTCGGGATGCGACGCGCCGTGACCCCAGTGTTGGCGGCTGTCGCGGAAGCGCCGAAGGGAAGTGGGGTAGAGGTGCCGCCCGACGACCACAAGTAGAATACGGACGAGGAAGCGGTGGAAGTTGAACCCGATGGGCCTCCGAATGTGGCTGGAAGCGCTGTGATGGAGGAATCGCCTGAGTCAAAACTCGCCGAGCCAAAACTCGACGGACCAAAACCCGCCGAGCCGGAACTCGACGAGGCGGAGCCGGATGAGCAGGAGGAAGACGATGCGGTCCTCATCCACGAGGGGTCCGACCTCTTCGCCGAGGATCTCGAGTCAGAGATGGCAGTGCTGCCAGACCTCTCGCTGACCGCCGAGGTGAAGATCGAGGACTTGAAGGTCGGCATGCCGACTGGACTCCCACCCCAGGAAGCCGCGAGACAAGAAACGCGGCTACGCCAAATCATCTGGAAGCGACGGAAGTGGTTGATCGGCAAGGGCAACGCCTTGCCGCCAGCCGCCCTGGGGGTTGTCTGCGACATCGACGTGGGCGACGCAAAATCCGTCGCGCAACGCGTCCGGAAAATCCCGCCACAGTTCCGAGAGAAGGTCGCCGACTTGATCAAGGGGCTGCTGAGCGCGAGGATGATCCAGAAGTCGAAGTCACCGTGGGCGTCGCCCATTGTCGTGATCATAAAGAAGAACGGCGTCGATATCCGGCTCTGAATTGACTACAGGCTCATCAACGGGCTGACGCAGTTGATGGTTTACCCCATGCCGCTCGTCAACGACTTGCTCGAAGACTTGGACAAGTATCTGTGGTACTGCTCCCTCGACATGGCGAGCGGCTTCTGGGTCGTCCCCATGACAGACCGGGCCCGGCTCATCTCGGCCTTCATCACACCGATGGGACTGTACGAATGGCTGCGTATGCCGTTCGGCCTGTGCAACGCGCCGCAGATTTACCAACGCTTGAGCGACAACGCGCTCTACGGGTTCATGAAGCTGTTCCCGGATGGCAGCACTCGGGGCGTATGGGATGTTGGTCCTCAAGCCCTCGACGTTGAGCCGGTACAAGTAATCCAGAGGGGTCTCATCGGGGCGTTGAGCCGCGTGGTAGTAGCGGCTGGCCATTGACACGCCCTTGCCGCAGTACTGCACACGGAATTGTCCCATCAGCTCGGTCCATGATTTCTTGATCTTCTTGGGCAACTGGAGATATCCATTGGCGCGCAGGGCCGCTCATCAGATGGCTAAACTGCCCGCACACTTCTTCACCCGTCATCCCGTCGCGCCGCGCGGCGGAATTCAGACGGTTGAGCCAAAGTCTGGTTTTCTCTTCGCTGGCGTCCCGTCCTGAGAACTCTTTCAGCTCGGACGATGCTGAGACGCGTACGTGGGCAAGGCCTACGCCGCCGGCTGTCGCCGTCGAGATGGCGGCCGTGGTTCTCGGCGTCCCGATGTCCAAGTCAAACAGGTCGTCGGGGTCCTCGTCCGCGTCGCGTCGAGGTTTGGACCTCGTCGAAGAACGCGAACTGACCGACTCCATGGCTACATCCGCTGCCTCCTGGGGGCGAGCCACCGTGGGTGCGGGATTCGCGGGCGGCTTCGGCCCCGTCGGGATTGCGGCTGTGTCGGCGCGCGGGGTGCTCATTACTGTCGTCTGCAACAGCTTGATGATGGAATCTCTCAAGGCCTTGGGGAGCACTTCCTCGGTGGGTTTCATCACCTCTGTGCGTGCGGGCGCCGCGGATAGCTGCATGACGCGCGGCGGCCGGTTCATGGGCATGCGCTTGGACGACTCGAAACTGCTGTCGGAGTCCACGCTCGACTGGTATCGAGGTGGGGGCGAGGTCGTGGTCGTCAAAGTCTGGGCTGGGCCCGCCGAGGGACCCGGCGCGTCTTGGCCCGTCGCGGAACTCGTCGCGTCTTGTTTGACGGACCCGGCGAGAATCGTCAAGGGCTCCTGCACGACGCTAATCGCGCGCAGCCAAGACTTGAGGTCCCAATCGCACAGCCTCTCCATTTCGAAAGCTCCCAACACGAACCCCGAGTCACGCAGCATCTGGAAGAGAGTCGGCGCGGCGTGGGCGACGCTGGTGAGGCTATCGGAGTCCGGCGCCACGAAGGGACCCGTGAAGTTGCTCATCAGCATGGGCTTGAGGAAGACCAAGATTGGGTCTTGCTCTAGCAGACGGAAGATCTCCGTGCGCGCCACGACGTACCGTACCTCCTCGACGGTGTACTGACGTCCCGTGTCCTTGCCTTGCGGCTGGTACAGCGACTCCTCCGCCAAGTCCGGCGCGCGCAACTTGTTCTTCTTCCTCTTGAGCGACTTGCGCTTCGTGGCTGCCTTGGCGGTGGGTTGTTGTTGGTCGTCAGCCTTTGCAGGCTTCCGACCGGTAGGACCGCGACTTGCGTCGCGGCCCTTCGCGGCTCCCTCTGCGGGAGCCGCATCGGGAACGGCAAACTGTTCTTCGTAGCCCTCCTGGTCGTCCCTGGCCCCGTGGCCTGTCGTGAAGGTTCCCTCAGAGCTCCACGACGCGACAAGTCTTTCACTGTGCTCTCTTGCGGTCGGCGACCTTCCAGCCGACTGCGAACCTGCCTCCGATGCCTCTTGGATCGTTAGCCCGTCATTCGAAGTAGTACTCCCGGGTCGCGGCACCATTGTGGAGTAGCACCTTCGCAGAAATCTCACGAATGAGATCTCGCACAAACTCGGCGCGTCTGGATAGCGGTCGCGCCGAGCAAATTATTCCCGGTTGTTGGAGTAGCGTATCTTCGAAATACAGGCCCAAGTCTTCGCAGGCTTCAGAGTTGGGGGGTTCTTGTGTTGACGCTTGTTCCTTGTCGTAGGACGTCGAGCCTCGGGCGTGTAGCGTTATCGGGCCGGCGTTTCCTCGGCGTTCCCGTCGGGCGTGCGGCGTTATCAGGCCGGCGTTTCCTGGGGGTTGTGCAGCGTTATCGGGCCTACACGGGGTCTTGCGCACGGCGGTTATCAGGCCAGTGCGGTCCTTCGCTTAGGCAGCGCGTTATCGGGCGCCCACCTAAACGGTATACGTTTAACGTGCCTTTATTCCAGCACGGGTCTGTGGGGGGTGAGTACCCGAACCAGCAAACGACGGGGGGCCACGATATCGAGGCGGCTCTACTTGCCGGCGCTTGGTGGTTCCCCTGGAACCTCGGAGAAGACGGGAGGTCTTTGTGGTTCAGAGAAATTTCGGGACTGAGTCCTTACCCTATCCTATGTCCTTGCTACTGGCTACTCTGTACTACTGCTTGCTAAGCCTACCGTTCTGTGCCTATCCTTACTTCTGTCACGCTTGCACTACCGTGCTTCAACCTGATTTACGTGGCGCAATCAAGATCTTACATCGGCGCGTTTTTGGTCGGTGGGGTTAGGGTCGGCGCGTTTTGCAGAACCGGGCGCGCTGGTCGACCCGTCGGATGATTACGCGTCGTACTGGATTCTGGCACCGTGTCTCACGGCCCATGATCACCCACGCCGACTTTCCCGTCGAGCTCGGCCCTGCGTCGCGCCCATCAATCCGCGTCGCGTTCCATCAGCCGCGTCGAGGTCCATCACTCGCGTCCCGCCGCCTTCTTCCTCCGGCGCCCGGCGCGTCCACTTCTTCCGCGGGGTACTACACCACACAGTCCACCAAGGAGGTGAATCCCCTGTCGCGTGACAGGGCCTTGGTGCTGTTGGTGGTGCTCAGCAGGCGAGCTGGGCGCGCGGAGCGATACCTGCGCATGGAGCCCTCGACGGGCCGACCCCGTCAACTCGGCAGGCGACGTGACACCCGCCGCGCATCATGTCGAAGTCACTGGCAAGTGGGCCTGATACCCCACGACGTATGCCTTAACGGAGCTTGCGGAGCGACGACGGCCGTAGATCAAGCAAGAAGTCGGTGTCTACGGGCACGCGTCCTCGTGGCGCACCTCGGGTGCGAGGACTTGATACCCCTCGCGCGACGCCCTCAACGAAGCTCGTGGAGAGAAGACGGCCACGGATCAAGCAACAAGTCAATGGTGTGGGGAAGTGATGCCTCCATGTGAAGCCAACCATTCTACTCGCGGTTCGACACACGCGGATCAAGTAATGCAGTCAGCGCGGCCTGTGCCGCGTGGTGCGACAGTGTGAACCAGACAGTAGCCTCTGCCACGCAGACGCTAGCTCGTAGGGCTCGCTACCAGAGTACCGCACAACACAGCAGAGGCATCAGTGGATGCCAGGGGACGATGACGCTGGAGGAGCGTCGGGTTTAGAGGCCGGCCGACGACGTAAACGAGCGTAGGACGATCAAGGTGTTTTAGAATTCGTTAGTTTTTGTAAAAGCTAAGTGAATACATCTCTCCTTGCAGCCAAAAAAACAAAGATGCCATCATCCGTAGATATACGTAGTTGTAAGATCGGTAATTTATCTGGGCTATCCTGAAACAAAACCTTAAAACGCTTTCTTGATTACAGGATTAATAACTGATCTAGCATCCCTGACCTCCAGCGATAGACATACATGAGGTCGACGGGACCAACGTAAGCGCGGTGACAGTCAACGAATGGACGAATAGTATCAGAGCGAAGGCGACGATGGCGGCGCTGGTGTACTTTGTGTATCCACCGTAGCTTCTTAGCGGCTGGGTATAGAGCTTTTGCCACGATAATATTATTATCGTGGACCAGAGAAGTAGCCCATACTTCGCATATGGAGGCCAGTAGTAAGCACCATTGCGGTCATATTCGGGATGATGGTCAAATAGTCATATTAGTAGTACCTCCGATGCCTCACTACTAATAGTTATAGCCTTCTACTATTATTAAAATACCAGAATTTGGATATAGTAGTATCACTACCAGCCAGTGTACCATAGCCTGATGCAGCGGTTTTAGATCGTCCTGGAGGGGCACCAAACAGACCTTCGTCCACCGCCGGATCCACGCGAGCGGGCACCTTGAAGTGATCTTGACCCCTCGCTGCACGAAGGCCGCACGATGAGTCCCCAGTAGTGGTCCCCAACAGTCTCGTCCCCTCCAGGGCGCCGTTAACCCCGCGCTCCGCCAGCCACGAGTGCACTCATTCACTTTCCAACTCGCCTCGCAAGCATCAAGAGCCCTCTCTCCACCTCCACAAAGCTCATCGAAGCGGAATCCCTTCACCTCCTGCTCGACTATGCGCATCGCTGCTGTTCTGGCCGTGGCGGCCGCGTACGGCGTCTTCGTTGACGCGCTGAGTCAAGACGTTCCTGGTCACTCGATGCTGCGCAATCTCGTCACGGCGGACGAGAACCAGTCGCACCTCGTGCCGGCGCTCTACCTCATGGCGGACAACGCCAACACATGCACCTCGTGGGGTACCGACCTGGCCTGCGTCTTCGGCGACCGTGTCAACAGTTTGAAGCTGGGAGACAGCAGCTGCTTACACGTCCCCATTCCGACGGATAACTACGTCTCGGACAAGCGCAAGAACAAGTTCGACGGCGCCCTGACCGATCCGTACACGGGTGAGCCGTCCATTGAGGTGACGACCACCAAGCAGGGCACGTCGGACAAGAAGTCGACCGGGAGACAGACCTGGAAGGACTACAAGGCCAACGCGCTCGCGATCCAGCAGGGTGCGATCCAGTTCACGACCCCCGGTCTGTATGACACGTCAATCACGGCCAGCGACTACGGCGCTGAAGTCTCGTGCCCCGGGTGCATCGCGATTCTTGACAAGTTCCGTCCGCTGTTTGGAGTGGAATGCCCCTTTCCTGCTGGCTCTTCACTCTCGACCTCACTCACTGGTGCCTCGCTTTCAGAGTTCGCACAGGCGGATGCTCTGTTCGACACTGTCACCGCCGGCTACGAGAACAACGCTGAAAGCGAAGCTCCACCTGCTGGGACGACGTGCGGGAGTTCCTCTGCGCAAGTGTCGTCCATCCAAACGAGCGATCTGGTTGACACCGTGACCTGTTACGCTGACGGCGACTGGCATGACCGTCTGAACGCGCTCAAGGACTTTGAAGCTGTCTTTGCCACGATCGTCACCCAGCAGAGCCTGCCCCTCGGTCCGTACTCGTGGAGGTGCGTGAAGCACAAGGAGATCACGGAGTGGTACGTCCCGTACGCGTGCTCCAACCCCACCGCCTCCGGGTCTTGCGTTGGTCGTGAGGACGAGTGGAGTGTCTGCAGTCTGGACCGTACCATCACGGTGACTGCCGCAGACGTCGCTAAAATCTCGGTGGCGCTCTCGCAGACTGCCAAGGACAACTCGGAGACGGTCATCACCTCGCTGGGATCACCTACTGGCGCTGACAAGGAGACGGACATCTACCGCACGATTCCGTGCACCGAGTTCGCCAGTGCGACCAACACGGACCCGGCCTGCGTGTACAACCAAAAGCTGTCCAAGCTGCTTGCCACCACGACCGATTTCGCCGACTATTTCCCAACCGACCACAACGGCGTCGATGCTACCGATGTGGTCTTTTGGCGCTACAAGCGCTCGGGTGATGACTGGGCCGTGTGGGACCCGACCGCCGACAGCGCGCTATCGTTCACTCTCCCGGAAACTTCAGTCAGCATCGAGGCTTGGACGGCAGTCGGCCAGGTCGGAGCTACGTTCGACTTCAAGGTGAAGCTCTACCTGCACACGTCGTTGGTGTGCGATAACTTCGCTGGTCTATGGACGGCTGTGAGCGGCGCTGAAAAGCCAGGAAGAACCTTCTGCAACGTCCCGGGCAGCGACTTCAGCGTCATGAAGTTCAAGTACGCCACGACCGACATTTTCCCGGTCGATGCACTCAAGTCCAAGGTAACCGGCACGGCCACGAGCGTGGTGTGCACGATGGCGGTCAAGGAGACGGGGGCAGGCGCCACGCAGCCGGTGACGATCCTGGATTCCACCGATGCTGCTATTGATAAGGACTTCTCCATCGAGCTCGTTCACGACCCCAACACTGCACCGTCCACCACTGTCGATGTCACGTGCACATTCACGCGTACGGCTCATACCAACGGCGAAGACGACGACGCGGTGATGCTCGCGGACACTGAGCCGTACACGAAGGACTGCTCGGACGCGTTTACTCTCATCGACTGCGACGAACCGGAGCTGCTGCCTGGTGTCGCGGAGGCCGATGTGTGTGCGGACAAGTGTGCAGGCAACTCGGCTCCCGGCCTGGGTGAGGCGTGTGGCGGCAACATTGTGACCGCCACTGACGCGGCAACGAGCCTCCTCGAGCGCATCAATCCGAACGATCAGACGTGCTGCGCTGACTGTAGCGCGATCAGGTGCCAAGCCGCGGGGGGTTCTTCAACGGCCAAGGCCTGTTTGCCGGTAGCTGAGCGGACGAGTGCGCCGCCGCGGCTGCCGTCTGCTCCGCCGATGCCAATGCAGCCTCTGTTGGCTCAGTTGTCTGCCGCCGAGGAGAAGGTGTTCTCGAGCGAAACGGCGACAGCGCTGCTCGGTGCGAGTGCCATGGTGGCTGTCGTGGCGTTGATTGTCGTGAAGCGCCGCGCTGATGCTGCAGCGCGCGAGAGGGAGGCGGAGGACGCGTACTACCCGCTGCTGGAGTAAGGTGCTCCTGGTGACTTCATAGGTCGACGATACCGGTGACGGCGAGGTGCCTGTTTCGTTGCTGCTCTGTGGCCATGTCGACCTTGTATATGAGCTGAGCTTTTGTCCGATTGTTGGTACGACAATGAGGGCGGTTGTGCGACTTGGTCGAGCTTGTGTAGCAGCTGATCAAGGCAAATACATGTACTTCTTTGCATTCAGAAATGATGGGCTGTTCTTGTTTTGTTGTTGTTGTGAAGCTGATTGATCGTAGTGGAGTTTGTGTCTGTCGAAACCTTTGTCGAAAGGGCCTGGTTATTGCGATCTCGCAGTACCATATCCTAGTAGGGCTCACTTCCATAGCCATGGTCTACACGGGACTTCAGGCGGCCACATAAGAGAGTATAGTTGTTGCGGTAAAACTGCTCTGGCATTTCATTCAGCTCCGAACATGAGCAGGTTCAGCGGCTGACCCATTTGTTACCATCCAGCTTCTCCAGGACGTAGCTCGATTTGGGCGGCTGCTGATACATGTATGGATCCACTGCGACCTTGGTTTCCTTCTGCCCCTCATTCGAGATCACCTATAAAACAGGTATCGTACAAGCCCTATGAGTTCGTACCAAATGATAGGACCCATAGAGCTAACGAACCACTTACCTCTTCCTTGACTCGATATCGCGCAAACTGACGAAACTTCTCCTCCGTCAGTCTTTCGTCGTCACACCGCAACTCGAAATGATCGTCCCGTGGACGGTCAAGGCTGGCGTCTTCCAAGCTATCACCAATTCGGTAGTACAAGTTCCCCTGCACCTTCAGCACACTGTGGACGCTCTTTCCAACACGAAGGATTTCCTCCTCATCCGCCAAACATGGTAGAATTAAGCAGCACTTCAGAACTCCCAAAGGCGAAAGTCCAAGAGATGCGGCACGAGACGATGCAGCCGAGCTTTGGATATGGAGCAGTTCGTCAAAATCTTTCTTGCTAAACCTTACAATGGCAGCAACATCACCGGTTAATACCCTGAAAAAATCAATTCGTGGAAGAGGCTGCAGCGCTAGAACGTACGGCCCACTGCATGCGGTGTGGAATTCAATCGTCTCTCCAAACCGGCTTTTGAATAAATGGGCATGCATCACCGTGCGCCAGATCGTATCCAATTCCCCCACGGGGAAAAAGTAGGCCTGCCACGGTACGACACAAACAAGCAGTGAGATACCTTGCTGAGGCTGAACTAAAACTCCGACTAGTACGCACAAAGAAACCTTGACGCGGAGACTTGTCAGAATCATCAACCCTCTTTCGTTTTTGGCCAAGCGGCGCCTCCGGAGCTGGAGTTGTGGGTGATCCCGAGGAGCTCCAACTCTCTTGGCGAATGGCTGCGCGTGGGCTGCTTCGATTCAGGAGCCGCGATAGAGCAACGCCCTTTTCACTGCATCCACTCCGAGGTGACAGCGGGCTACCGTCGTCTGGCCTGCCGCCCATTTCACCCGAAGGCACTATCGATTGGAGTTTGACGATTGCCTCTGCCTATAAAGTAAGTAAGTAGCCACAATGATCAGATTAATCTCCACTCAACCACCATCGACCTCGCTTGCAACCCAACTCACCTCGTCCAGCTCCTTGGCAGGCTGATTCAACAGCACCACTTTACTATGCGCCAGCTTGCTCAGCGTCGTATTCAGCAGCTCTGCCCACCAAAAGCAAACAAACGTCAGCTCTCACACCACACACAGCCCCCTCTCAACTCAACGTACCGATCATGCTCTTCATCACCACTTGGTCATCAAACGCGATCCAAAAGTCGTCGACTCCAGCTTTCCTCCCCTCGCCCTTACTGATCTTCACCCTCTTCACCAGAGGCGGCGCGACGCCCACTCTAGCCCCCATATCATCCCCAGAGTCGTCGTACATCTCGTCCTCATCTTCATCCTCGTCTTCTTCCTCCTCCGCCGCTTCGTCCTCCTCTTCTTCGTCAAACTGCTGCTCGAACCCAAAGGCCCCGGCGGATCGTCGCACCAGGAACGGAGGGGGCTGAGCAGCACTTTGGTCCGCATTGGCCTCGTCAGTTGCTGCAACGTTGCCTGCAGATGCAGGTGCAGCAGGAGCGGCAACCTCTATAACTTGATCGTCGTCGCCTTCTTCTTCCTGTCGTTGCTCCCCCTGTTCTTCCTCTTCGTGTTCTTCGTCGAGCATGAGCTCCTGCCAGTCGTTCTCCAGCAGCCACGTTGACGCCACCGCCACGCTCTGGTCGCAGACCTCCAGCTGCAACAGACAGGCAAGAAGAGTGTTTAGCTAGGTGTTGAGGGGGCTGTCATAGCGCATCGAGAGGAGCGCTACGCACCACGCGTAGCAGCGCCTCCGTCGGCACAGTCGGGAACACGCCTCGTAGAGTCTCCATGCCTCTTGGATCAAAGTCTTACTGAATGACTGCTTGAAGAGTTCTGCATCCTTTTGGATAGGACCTTGTACAAATGATATTATGTATCTATATCATATTAAGCAGGTCTTTCTATTGTCGCTTTCAAGGATTTTGCGCACTCTATTCGTCTTATCTTCGCGGTGTCACAAATCGTTGTGCATTGCGATCAAATCGTTGCTCAAAGCGCGAATTAGCTGTCACGTCCACAACTTACCTAGCCAAACTGCTGAATGCTGAAGTACTTGACGCTTCGAGAGTAAAAACTATTCCCCATAGTGCAGCGCATAGCGCAGGATTTTCTCGTTGCTGCATTCAAATACTCCATTGAAAAGCTAACTAAAACGCAAGCTTGGCGAGTTGCAAAAACGAATGGCGGATGGTTCAACCGCCATTCGTTGTTTTTCATCGATACCTAACTCGTTGCGCTTCTGGCTATTCGTCCTTCAAATCACTGAACCGTGATCCCGCATAAGTCGTCCTCTAAATCGTCAATATTTAAGCCTCTCCGCCAAAATACATGAAACGCACAATAATTAATGGCAAACATTTTTCTTCTCAAACATCCTCCAGAGCTGAATGGCTAATACAGTAGTGACGTTTGTTTTTTCGTGCTCCAAATTGGCATTAGCCGTCGGACACCCGCTGGAAATGTTGTTGAAAGTCGAAGCAGCAGTCGCGCCGCGGTATTTACCAACAATTTGTTGTTGGATAGATACACCCCGCATTTGTCGGCAACAAGAATACCAGCGCCGGCGCCGGAGCTTCTGTCTACCGCCCGCGGACACGTAGCATGCTACGTGGCCCAAAGCGCGGCGATACATAAGTACATGTATTCAAATACAGCAAGACTGCGACTGGCACTGTGGAAGCTGCGCCCGCAACACCAGCACGAGCCAGTTCGCGACGTGCTTTCGGCAAGTCGAGAACTCGCACGTGAAGAAGCAACCCTAAGTTACGTCGCCACGAGTCGCGTGCGTACTTCCTGCAGCGACACCAGGACTTGGTCAAACACAAAAGCTGAGCTGCATCGTGTCCAGCACAGTCCCCAATGTACCAGCTTCATCGCCGCGAAAGAAATCCTTCACAAGCGTCGAAAGCCTCCGCGTACACAAGCCCCCATTATTTATCGCCAAGGGCATCGTTCGCCGAACACTCCTTTGACCAGCTTGTCAGCAGCAATGTTCATCATCGAGTAAAAAAGCACTGGAAAACGGCCCTTTATCCAGATAGAAACGGGCCGTCCCAGCTGCTGCACTCACAGAGACAGAGTCCCTCTCGCCCGCATACACAGACACGGTCTCAATTCATTCCCTCGGAATACGGCGATGAAGTCGAAGCAGCCCAAGTGGAAGAAGTTCCACTGCCCGCCGCTGTCGGCCTCTCGCCAGGAGCAGATCACGCACGAGGCCAACCGCGCGTGCGACGATCTGCTGCGCTTCTCGGCGGGCGAGGCCTTCAGCAGTCATGACTCGACGCTGGACAGCGACGAGGAGCAGTTCCAGGACGGCCTCAAGTGGGAGTACACGGAGCAGATGGAGAGCGTGCGCGTCGAGAAGGTCAAGGTCAAGTCCGAGAGCAAGAGGGGCGTGTTCTACTTCCGCGGCATCACGCAGGTCGAGGCCGCGCTCGAGGAGATCATGGAGCTCTACGAGGTGGACATGGCGCACTCCAACATGCAGCTCGAGAAGAAGCTGTCGCCCGACATCCTGCACTCGGTCGTGCTCTACCAGATCCTGCCCTACCGCCCCGAGGAGAGCACCGTCTTCATCGGCATCCGCTGGTCGGCCGTGCGCTCGCCCTACGTGCTCGTGCGCAACCGCGACTTCTGCTACCTCGAGATCCAGCGCCGCTTCACGCTGCCCGACGGCCGCCGCGGCTTCGCGCGCTGCCTGCACTCGGTCAAGATCAAGAGCTGCCCCGACATGGAGAAGTCGCACGGCTTCGTGCGCGGCAGCATGTACCGCTCGGGCATCGTCTTCGTCGAGAGCAAGCGCGACCGCAAGACGCTCGACCTCGTGCAGGCCGTGTACACGGACCTCAAGGGCAACGTGCCGCAGTGGGTGGCGGCCAAGGGCCTGCGCCAGCGGCTCATGAGCCTCGAGCACCTCAAGAAGTACGTCAGCATGAAGCGCGTGGCCAACCAGACGTTCGCGCGCCGCAGCCAGCTCATGGCCCCGGGGAAGGTCAAGACGTGCTTTGTTTGCGTGGACGACATTGGCACGTTCAAGAGGAGATACAACTGTCAGAAATGCGGCGAGGTACGAAGACGACGGAGACGGAGGAGGAGGAGGAGGAGGAGAGTGGCGGTGTCGAGCGAGGAGGACGGCTACAGCGCGGTGGCGACAGCTGAGGCGACGCAACTTCGGCTGGGCTTGTTGTTGCTGCTGCTGTGCCTCCTCACGGCTCTGAGCTTGTTTGGGGCGTTGGGTCTTTATTAACGCAACGCTTTGTGTGTTTGCTCTTTGCTGCCTTGTCTTTTGTGTGCGTGCAGGTCATTTGCGGCCGCTGTAAACTAACTATCAACGCGGACATCCCCGTGGTGGGCAAGATGAAGCTCACAATCTGCAGCTTGTGCTCGCTGGCCATCAACCGCAGCGCGCTGCCGGACAACAACAGCAGCGACGACAGCGGAGGCCTGGGGCATCGCCCCTTCTCGGCCACGCAGCAGCCGACGTACCAGCACCGCGACTGCGACGACGAGGCGCCCGTGCGCAAGCGCGCGCTGAGCCTCAACTCGTTCCACACAGCCAACTTTGACCACACCTCGCTGCAGAGTTCAGTACTGGCGCGCGAGTTCTAGTGGTGGCTGTCTGGCCATGTAGGCCAGTTCAGCAGAGCTGAGGCGCCGAGATTCGATGCGCGGTGTAGGGTCCAGAAATCGCGCCCCGGTGTTCAGCGCGCCATTGGACTCGAATCGACTCGGCTACCACGTCAAATTGAAGTCTCCGCATAGCAGGTTGAGTACGGTAATGGGACAGTTTTGCCACTCATATCTCGCGTCGACGTAGCTCGGACCTCTGCAGCATGTAATCCAAGCATGTACGAAGGATGTTGCAGCTCCATCAAGAGCGGTACAGACAACGACTTACAAAGCCGGCATGCTTACAGTAATGCCATCCTCCTATATAAAAACAACGATAAATTCCCTCCCGTCAAATCTGTAAAAACTGTCATAAAACACACGGTGTGTTGCATAAAGTACACAAAGAAAGCATATAAAGTACACAAAACCAGATGGTATACAAAGATGAAGTCATTTGATTGAATCTGATTGGCTGGTTTGCTCATGCTAAGCTTTGCTTGACTTCGTCTGCCGGCTTTTCGTGTCTGCCGGCTTTGTAAGTCGTTGTCTGTAATGCGATTGAAAATACACACCGATAGTTTGTACAAATACTGAAGTGAGTTCCAGTGCGCCGGTAGATAAGGATAAAACGTTGGAGACCCAGGCCACTGCTGGCTGTGTACCTATTTTGACGAAAAAGTGAGTTTTGGATTATGTGTGTGAAGATCTGCATTGAAGCACAAGTAGTAACACGACTATCATAGCAGGAACTACTGAAGCAAAGGGAAAGGAAATGAACACGCCAAAGTGAGCGGGGGTTCCTGGTCTCAGCCGAGGAGCGGGTAGTAGGCATCGTCCACGACCGGAGCACGCGCGTTCCGGCGCTTGACGACCACCAGCGTCACGCCAGCGACCAGAGCCGTCACGCCCAAGAACGCCACAAGCACCGACGGCGTCGATGTGGCCTGTTTCCACTCGGTCTCGCCCCGCAACGCCATCACCAGAAGCTCACGCGCGGTCGCCGGCACACAGCGCTGCACGCCATCAGTCTCGCTTGATTCAGGCAGCGGCTCGCAGGCCAGCGTCGTGCTGCACTCGGCACAGCACTCGCCTGCCAGTGTCTTCTCCTGGGTCACCGAGTTCACAGTCGTGAAGACGCTTCCCAGGCAGGCCTCGAACGGCCCGGGCGTTCCCGAGGGCGACAGACACTCGCCAGCCTTGCACACCTCCTCTTCGCCGTAGGTCTCGACCACCGGCCGATCGCACGCGGTGATCGTGAACGAGTGCGGGCACGTCTCGACCTTCTCGGAGCCATCGAAGAACGTGAAGGTGAAGTCGCACTTGACCTGGACGTCCGTGTTTTCAGAGGTCTCCGCGTCGTGCACCAGCTCGAGCGCCAGCTCCTTGGACACTTGGAAGTGGCCATTAGCTCCCGGGGTCCATGACAACGGCACTTGACCCTCTGTGACGGATTTCACAGCTCCCGACTCGGCCAGCGTCACGTAGCACTTGACGTCCGTGTACTTGCCCTGAACCGTGCCCTCGTCGTGGGTCAGACCCGAGTGAAGCTCGTTGTCGTACGCGAACTGCATCAGCACGAAGTCGCTGTCGGGGTACGCGCAGATGTGCGACTCGACAGTACGTGGGTACGCAGTGAGCTCCGACCACAAGCCGTTGAAGCCCGAGCAGATATTGCGCAGGCTGTGAGGGTGCAGCACCACCGTGAAGGAGTCTGCGAGCACCCGGCCGCAGTGCGTCCAGGCCTCCACATACACCTCCGTCGAGGGCTCAGTGAATGTCAGCACCGCGCTATCGTCCCACGAGGTCCAGGACTCGATGCCCACAGTGTAACGCCAGAACACGTAGTCGTCGACGTCGTAGGTGTCGGGCACCGACACGCCCCAGTCGGACGAGTGTTCGTAGAGCTCTCCCAGCGTCGGAGTGTACTCGCAGCCCTGGCTGAACGACGTGCACGTAATGCTGTGGTGAATGTCCTTGGGGCCAGGCGTAATGGCGGTGGGAAGTCCAGCGATGGTCGCCGTCGTCTTCTCATTGGCGACCTCCGTGATGCCGGCCGTGACCGTGACGAGACTCGAAGCGGGCATCTGGAGGCAGTAGCTGAACGCGCACGAGTCCGACGTGGCGGTCTTCTTCTCGGTCTCTTCGGCAGCCGTGCCGCACTGGTAGGCGTAGTAGTATTCCTGAAGCGTGATCGACTTGGAGCAGCAACGAGTGCACTGCAGCGTGTTCCTCTCCAGGTCCGTGAGCGAGAGCGGGCTCGCGCTCGGCACACCATCCAGCAGATTGGTCACGAAGTCGTTGTCGAAGCACGTGGTACCGACAGACGCCAACTGCGACGGAGACGACGCGAAGAAGTCCTGCATTGAGGCGGAGCTCTCGTCGCAACGCTCGTTCGCACCCGTGACGGCGTCATACTCACCATTGTTAACGACATTGTCAGCGCTGTGGAAGGCCGCGAACGTTGCCTCCTCCGCAATCGCCGCCTCAAGGTTGTCCGTGGAGTACAGCGCCGGCGTGTCTTGCTCATCAGTCGTCTTGCACTGGTCCTTGGCGGTGGGCGGGAAGTCGTCGACAATGGCGATGCAGCCCGTGCATGAAGCAGGGTAGCGGTAGTTCGTCGCAGTCAGCGACAAGTCAAAGACACCGAATGAGCTGAAGGTGACCTCGTTCTCGAGATTCTCAGGGGTGAGCGCGAAGTCCTTCCACGACGCCTTGTGGGTCACGCCGACGAGATCGCCCTCTCTGGTTGCGGTGATCGACACCACCGGGTCAACCTTAGTTGCGTCGTTCTCGTTGTTGCGTCCGTCGTTTACGTAGCTGTCCTTGGGCACGGGGGCGTGGACCTTGCAGTCCTCCTTGAGCGTCAGGTAGTCCTTCTCTGGGTCGGTCCATGCGCATGCGATACCGGCGTTGTTCTCCTTCCAGTAGCACGTAGGCACACACACGCCGTCCTCAGCGTGCTCTCCCTCGGGGCACGAGCAGACACCGTTCACGAGCGACTGGTACGGCGGGCACTTGCATTCACCATCGACGAGCTCCTGGCCACCGATGCATTGGCACACACCAGCAGAGACTTCCGTTCGACCACCGTCGCAAGTGCAAACTCCATTCACGAGTGACATCAGCGCCGGACATGTGCACTCGCCATCCTCAAGGGTCTGTCCACCGGTGCAAGCACAGACGTCGCCCACGATCGACTGACCGCCGGTGCACTGGCAGTCACCAGGGGCGACTTCAGTTCGACCTCCATCGCAGGAGCACACGTTGTCGGCAAACGACATGAAGGATGGGCATACGCATTCGCTGTCGAGAAGATGCTGCCCACCGACGCATGCACAAACGCCGTCCACGACTGCCTGGCCGCCGGTACACGCACACTCGCCAGGTCTGACTTCCGTCCGGCCGCCGTCACAAGTGCAAACGCCGCCCACGAGCGACATATACGCCGGACATGTGCACGCATCATCGACAAACAACTGGCCGCCGGTGCACGCGCATTCTCCATCCACGAGTTCCTTGCCACCGGTGCATTCACACACACCAGCAGAGACTTCGGTTCTGCCGCCGTCGCAAGTGCACACACCATTGACGAGCGACATCAAGGCCGGGCATGTGCATGCTCCGTTCTCAAACACCTGGCCGCCGGTGCACGCACATTCTCCAGCCACGATCTCCTTGCCACCAGTGCACTCGCAGATACCGGGGTCTACTTCAGTTCGTTTGCCGTCGCAAGTACAAGTGCCGCCAACCAGCGACATCAACGACGGACAGGTGCACGCGCCATTCTCAAACAACTGCCCACCAGTGCACGCACACTCTCCCTCCACGAGTTCCTTACCGCCAGTGCACTCGCAGATACCGGGTTTTACTTCAGTTCGTCCGCCGTCGCAAGTACAAGTGCCGCCAACCAGCGACATCAGCGTCGGGCACGTACACGCGCCGTTCACGAGCAATTGCCCACCGGTGCAAGCACACACATCATCCACGATCTCTTGGCCGCCGTTGCACTCGCACACACCGGTATCAACCTCGGCCCGGCCACCGGTGCAAACGCAGACTCCGTCCACGAGCGCCATATACTGAGGGCATGTGCACACACCGTCTTCGAGAGACTGGCCGCCAGTGCACTCACACTCACCAGGTCGGACCTCCGTTTGCCCACCAGTGCAAACACAGGTATCATCGTCCAGCACCTGCTGAGTCGGGCACGAGCAAACGCCGTCGACCAGAATCTGGTTGGTGGGGCACGTACACTCTCCGTTGGTAAGTGACTGGCCACCAGTGCATGTGCAGGAACCATCGACGATCTCTTGGCCACCAGTGCACTCGCACACCCCAGTAGACACTTCAGTCCGACCACCGTCACAGCTGCAGGCGCCGCCCACCAGCGACATATACTGAGGACATGTGCACGCGCCATTCTCGAACAACTGCCCACCGGTGCAAGCACAAGATCCATCCACGATTTCCTTACCGCCGGTGCACTCGCACACACCAGTAGATACTTCACTTCGCCCGCCGTCGCAGGTACAAACACCGCCCACGAGAGACATTAAGGACGGGCATGTGCACGCACCGTTCTCAAACACTTGGCCACCGGTACACGCGCACTCCCCGGCGACGATCTCCTTGCCGCCAGTGCACTCGCATACACCGGCAGACACTTCAGTTCGACCGCCATCACAAGTGCAGACGCCGCTCACTAGTGACATAAGCGAGGGACATGCGCACTCTCCGTTCACAACCACTTGTCCACCGGTGCACGCGCACTCTCCGTCCACGATTTCCTTGCCACCAGTGCACTCACACACGCCAGTAGACACCTCGGTTCTACCGCCGTCGCAAGTGCAGACGCCGTTGACAAGCGACATCAAGGCCGGGCACGTACATGCTCCGTTCTCGAACAACTGCCCACCGGTGCACGCGCACTCTCCGTCCACGATCTCCTTGCCGCCAGTGCACTCGCAGATACCGGGGTTAACTTCCGTTCTGCCGCCGTCACACGTGCAGACGCCGTCTACGAGTGACATAAGCGAGGGACAAGTGCATGCACCGTTCTCAAATACTTGACCACCAGTACACGCGCACTCTCCGTTGACGATTTCCTTGCCACCAGTGCACTCGCACACACCAGCAGATACTTCACTTCGACCGCCCTCACACGTGCACACGCCACCGATAAGAGACATCAGCGTCGGGCATGCACAAGCGCCGTTCTCGAACACTTGTCCACCGGTGCAAGCGCACACGTCGTTCACGATCTCCTTGCCGCCGGTACATTCGCACACTCCGGTTTGGACCTCAACTCGGTCACCGGTGCAGACGCAGACTCCGTCCACGAGCGCCATATACTGAGGGCATGTGCAGACGCCGTCTTCGAGAGACTGGCCGCCAGTGCACTCACACTCACCAGGTCGGACTTCCGTTTGGCCACCAGTGCAAACACAAACGTCACCATCCAGCGCCTGCTGACTGTGGCACGAGCAAACGCCGTCGACCAGAATCTGGTTGGTGGGGCACGTACACTCTCCGTTGGTCAGTGACTGGCCACCCGTGCACGTGCAGGCACCATCGACGATCTCTTGGCCACCAGTGCACTCGCACACGCCCGTACTAACTTCAGTCCGGCCACCGTCGCAGGTGCAGGAGCCGCCCACTAGTGACATCAACGCTGGACACGAGCACTCGCCGTCCTCGAACAATTGTCCTCCAGTGCACGCGCACTCTCCGTCCACGATCTCTTGGCCGCCGGTGCACTCACACACGCCAGTGCTAACTTCGGTCCGTCCGCCGTCGCACGTGCAAACGCCGTGCTCGAGCGACATGAGCGACGGACATCTGCACACGCCGTCGACGAGCGTCTGTCCTCCAGTGCACGCGCACTCTCCGTTGGCGATCTCTTGGCCACCCGTGCACTCACAGACATCGGGCCTCACCTCAGCTCGGCCTCCATCGCAGGAGCACTCGCCGTTCTTGAGCGACATGAGCGCGGGGCACGCGCACACGTCGTTGGCGAACAACTGCCCGCCAGTGCACGCACACACGCCGTCCACCAGTGAGCGGCCGCCGGTACAAGTGCAAACGCCGTCCACGAGCTTTTGGCCGCCGGTACACGCGCACACTCCGTCCACGAGGGTTTGACCCCCAGTGCACGCGCATACGTCGTTGACCATTGTCTGGCCGCCAGTGCACATGCACTTGTCCCCGACGAGCTTTTGGCCGCCAGGACACGTGCAGACGCCGTTCACGAGCTCCTGGCCGCACGTGCAGGCACACGAGCCGCCGACGAGCTCCTGGCCGCCCGTGCACTTGCAGACTCCGTTGACGAGCTGTCGGCCGCCGGAGCAGCCGCACACGCCTGGGGCAATCTCAACTTGGAAGCCGGGGCACTTGCACTCGCCGTCCTCGAGCGTCATACCGGTCGGGCACGAGCACACACCGTTGATGTTCGAGAGCCCCTCGGGGCACAAGCACTGGCACTGGTTCTTCTCGCGGCACGAGACGCCGTGCACGGGCGTGGGGCAGTCCACGCGGTTGCGCACGGATTGAGTCAGCGCCGAGCTCATCTTGTTGATGTTGGTGATGACGATGTCCGAGTCCAGCACGGCGCAGTCCCGGGCCGCACACACGCGGATCACGATGGCTCCGGCCACGGAGGACTTGGTCTTGCCCTTGAGGATCTCGATCTGAGGCGGGCGCGCGAGCGGCGCGGCCACCGCCGGGGCCGCTTCGTCGTCATCGTCGCCGTAGCTGGAGGGGCACGACTCGAACTTGATGGAGAACTTGCTCGAGTCGAACTTGGCGTTGGACACGGGCCACGTGGCCGAGTAGAGCTTGGACAGCTCCGTGGTCGTGAAGCACTTGGACGCGGTCACCGTGAGCTTGTAAGACTCCGACACGGCGCACGGCCAGTGGTCGGAGGTGGCGAGGGTCATGAGGTCACCGCGGCCGCCAATCGTCGCGTTGCCATGATGGCGCTTGGAAGCCGCCGGCGCCGCCAGCACGGCCGCGAACGCGCTCAGCAGGGCGAAGGCGCGCATGATTCGGAACCAAGGACGAGACTAACTGGAGTGGAATGCAGGTAGGCAGGGGCTTGGTCGAAGAGTGAGGGGCAGAGCACGCTCGAGGCAAATTGCGGAATGGAGATATGAGTGAGCGCTACGACGGCGGAACCCGGGAGACTTAGAGACGCGAGCGATCTTCATGGCCGACGGGTAGGAGGAGGCGCGTCGCTTTGCCTGCCTTCCAGCGTGGAAACGCCTCAGATATCGGAGTCTGAGAGGCATTAGAAAGCGATCTTCTCCTCTTCATGACCGTCTAAGGGGGCGCGTTGGAGACGAGAAAAGAGAAACTGCTCGATTATTTTTATTTACCCCTAGTTAGTAGTGATTGGAAGGTACAATGTACCGATTTGGGCGCTGAACCGCTTATTGAGGGTTGGAGGAGGGGAATGGCGATCCACTGTTTCAAAGTCGAAACCCCTAAAGATTTCGCCATGCACAGGCGTCGTTCACTAGTCGCTTGTGTGCCGATGCTATTGCTACAAGTTAACCTGGATGACAACTTAGGTGCCGAAGTTCTCGGAAATGGTCTTCAAGTCTGCGTTGGTAGCACGCGGTTTTGCCGGTGCAGCAGCATGCGCTGCAAGATGCTGGGGCTGTTCTGTACAATGGTGTGGCTAGTAGCAGCAGCACTTGGCTGCGTCTCGCCTCCGCGTTCGTGCTGTCTCTTGGAGTTTTTGCGACCGGATCCTGCTGCTGCTGAAGTCCCTCCGCACTCCTTCAGGACGAGACGCTCGAGGTCGGGGGGCAAGTGCGTTCGTAGTACGGACTCAAAATCGCGCCTCTGAGCGTATTTAATAGACCAGTAAGGTTAGCACCAACGAAAGGATTTGCGCAGAGTATCAAGCTGGAAACTCACCCCGAGTTCATCGCGTAGATGCCTGAAAGTTTTCTGCGCCGATAGCCGCACGGGCGCCGTCTTGGACGTTACCATCTTGGCCAGCAGTGTGAGCAACTGAGTCGACGACTGCGACGAGTGGGTCGATAGACTGCTGAACTCGGACTTGCTCCAGTTGCGGACGCACTTTTCCACGTAGATGGACGCCTGAGTGGAAGCAAATAGACGCTTGTCAGGGAAGTTTGTCAGCGAATTGAGTAATAATCAACCATTCACTTACCAAGTTGTACAGACGCAGGTCTTCGTGCTTGCTATAATCGTCTCCCAGCTGCAGGAACAGTAGCGCGAGCTTCCATCCACTGCAGTGCAGGATGATGGCGTCCAGGACTTCGGTCGCCGTCTCACACAAAAACCGTTTTTCTGAGTGGAAGACGGTGGGCATAACGACGGGTACGATGGTATCTGAGCAAACACAGTCGATAGTGTGAGGGGGATATCGAGTTTGTACGAGTCACCAACGCACGCTGAGTCATGACGCACCAAAGAAGGGAGCCAGGCGTTGCTGTAACAAAAAAGCCAAATCTTTTATCAGCAGCAACGACCCCCGCGCCTGGCCAGCTCCCGAATGCGCGGAGGTGTTTCTTGATCTCGGAGAGCGCGGCTTCCTGGGGCTTGTGCTTGCTAGAGGGCCTTCCAGCTCTCGAAGCTGAGTCTCACTATTGGTAAATGCGGGTAAGTTGTTAGTTCTTATAGTAGAAAAAAAACATCCATTGGTTGCCAAAGCTTACATGTGGGCACGGAGGACATCCGGGTGTTGGGCTGCAAACCGTTTTAGGGACTGGATCGTGGCAAACTCCTCACCCCACGGCACTTTGATGCTCTCGATGCTCCCTGTTTGAGTCTGGAATAATCGACGTTTGCGGTTTAAGAGCAAGTCGACGTTTTTCCACTCGGCCACGTCCTCGGAGGTGACGGCGTCGGCGGTACGACACCGAGAGCGCTGAGAAGCGAAAGACAAGCCCCTGTCGCGTGAACTCCTTCCCGATGCCGCTGATGCAAGTCGGATCTCGTTCATAATTTCTTTCCCGGATATCGTTGGGGCTGTACTCGGCACAATGACGCTGGGGATCTCAGGTAAATGCTCAACCTCCACGACATTATCCTCGATCTCCTGATGATCAGTTTCCGATACTGACGACCCACTATGTGCAATTGAAGCTGGTGTCGAAACAGCAAAGCCATGACTTGCGTTGGGCTCAGGTCCTAGCATTTTGTCAACGATTCTAGTAGGCTCGTCATCACCGGGCGAATTCAGTGCTTGCTTTAGTTGTGCACCTTGACACTGCCGATCGAAACCTGATTCACCGCTGAAATTTGATCCGTCTTGCTCAACTTTATCATTGCTGCCATCGTCTGCATTCAGTTGGTAGTTCACAGCACTGGTTGTCGGGATCACGGCGGAGCTGCTGCCTTCATCGTCTCCTTTACAAGTACTGTGTTCAAGAGAGTCATCATTGGGCGAGGCTGGCTCGGACGCTCCGTCGACATCTACTAGCATGTCATGTATTACAGCCTCTGGATCTGCCGCGCTGTCTTCCTCCACATTGGAATCGTTAGGTTGTTTTTGCGAAGATTCGACCAGCTGAATCAGCTCGCGAGCTACGCAGGTTTCTTCCTCTCCATCTTCATACACGATATCGTAGACGCCGCTTGCGTGGCAAAAAATGACGACACCTGGGAACAAGAAGGGCCTCCCTTTGTAGTGAACCTCCACTCGATCTCCCTCGTGTAGAGGGGCTGAAGAGGTGACATCGAGATCAGAGCTCTCCGAGGTTTCAGCGGCGCGCTCTACCCACTGAACCGGGCAAATTATTGTGCTTCGAGTAGGACTCGCCACGGGGGTTCGGACTGGAGAAGTAACAACCTCGGACTTAAATCGTCGAGATCGAGCGGCAGGGGTTTCCGTATCCTTGTCAGCTCCCCGAGAGTAGGTCGGTTCTAGCTTATCGCTAGTTGTCTCGAGTTCCATAGTAGTGCCCTGAAGCTCGGGCGCTGGGATCAATATCGAAGGCGGGAACACTGGAATGGGCGAGCTTTCAAGAACCGGTGCTTCTGTCTCTCCAAAGATGCCGCATGGACTATCGACCGAATCTGAGCGATTACCCTGATCTATCGGCAAATTGTCGCCAGTCACATCAGTGGCTGCTTGTGATACGACACCTTCATCGATCACAGCGGTATCGGTGGTGCCAGCGGGGCTCTCGCAAGGAACAATTTCTCGGTCATCAGAGCTCTGTCTCTCAGCCAAGGCAACGCCTTCCTCGCTGCCAACTCGACTCATTGGTATGCTTTCACCAACAATAGTAGATACGGCTTTAAAACTCTCAGCTTCAGGGGTTTCGACGGCGGCATCCTCGTTCGGTGGCTCGCCGCCAACAACATCGCTCACATCGGGAGTGATCGCTGGCTGATATGCACTCTCGTCACGGGTAAGCAAGGGCTCACTCTGTTTTGCTGACCAAGTGTCAGTCTGCTCCTTTGCCTCATGGTGCATCGCCGCCAGCCCTTCACTCATCACAAGATCGACAGTGTTGCTGGAAAATTGACGCAGTAAAACCATTTTTGCTGCGAGCTGAGTGTCACCAGAAGATTGTAGACCCGTCAAAGTGTCATCTGCCTCCACTTCCTGGGCTTCCGTGGAATGCCCCAACAATTCATCCTTCGTCTCTGCTGCTGTATCAACCTCCGCAGAATGATCCAATACATTGTCCTCGGTACGCTCCGCAGCTATCTCCTCGTCGTTAGTGGAATAACGTAGCATACCGTCATGGGCAGTGGCTACTGCAGATTGCGTTGCTGTAGCTATCATCTGCTCCATTTCCTTGAAGCTTGTTGCGCGTACTGCCATCCACTTTTCTGCTGAAGGAGCGTCTGAGGAGACTTCAGGTAAAATGGTAGCATCATCGCCATCCCCACCAGTTGGGTCTTGGTATCCAGTCTGGAGCTGCTCGCCGCTGTCTGCCTGGGCCACCGCGTGTGGTTCACCGTCAATCGAGTCGTCAGGGCAGGACGAGCCATTTAGTTTATCGTCTTTTTCCTCGTCTTCCTCCTCACGTTCTCCTCCTTCTTCTCCACCTTCCTGGTCAGGTAGAATGATAGCATCTTCGCCATCGTCGCTGTTGGGGTCTTTCTGGAGTTGCTCTACCGCGGGTGATTCATCATTGATCAAGTCATCTGGGCTGGGTGAGTTGTCTAGCTCGTAGTCTTCTCCCTCTTCATTTTCGCCTTCCTCCTCATTGTCTTCTCCTTCCTGTTCAACGTTCAGATCCGTCATCTTCTGCAGTGGCGTCGAGATAATCTCAACCAGTTCTGAGTTTCCAGCATCCCGAGCTGTCTCCAACGCTGCTTCAAGAGCCTCAGAACTAAAGCCCACGTGATTCACCAAGAATTTCACCAGGGTCGTGTTCCCCGACGAGACTCCGCGCGCCAGTGCCGCTGCATCCCACATAATCAAGTCGCCCATGTCGTCGTCGGTCTCCTCTCCTACAACAACCGACAGCATCCCCGACGTCGTCGCAGCTTCTGCTTCTGCCGGTTTATCTTGTGCAGACTGTGCCACTTCCTCCCGCAGAGTATCGATGAGCTCCATCATGTTGCAAAGCGTGCCTCGCGGGTCGCATTCGAGCAACATTTCCACTATCTCAAAGTGCCAATTCGACAATGCTAACCGGAGGAGGCGGGGGTGGTGCACCCCGCAAGACGAGATGACCGAGCAGTACGACAGGTAGTGCGGCAGTAAAATGTCCGTGATGTCAGCGGCTCTATTAGCGCAGGACACCTCCAGCGCCTGAACTACCGCGTCCCAGCGCGTCTCGTTCCTGTTCGAGAACCTCCCGCCGGCCAGAAGCTCCTTCACAATCTGGAAATGCTGATTGACTGCTGCTTCAATCAGGCACTCTGCTTCCACCGCATCGATGTTAGGGGCTGGATCGTCGTCGGTAGCGATGTCCCTTAGCAGCAGCGTCACCATGGGGGTGTGGCCGATAATCGACGCTGCCAGAAGGAGCTGCGGCCGCAAAGCTCGTGGAGACGTGGTGAAGCTCGCAACGATCCTGGTTAGCCACTCGATCCGCTCTTCGTCCTCCTCCTGGTCTGACTCATTGGACGGGATCTCTGAGGCCAGCAAGAGGAAGCTCCTGGCTCGATCCTCTGCAGAGAGCTCGGTTAAGTGGTTGAGGAACTCGTTTACTACCGGTCTGGGGCTTTGGGCTTCCAGCGCATCCACTAGTCGAACACTTCGGTCGCGAAGGTCCTTGTAAATGTCGTCCCGGTAGAGCAGGCGGACGAAACTCGGGTGCGTGTAGACGTTTGCGGGATCCTCAGTCAGAGTCACGACGTCCTCGTACGTCGGTGCGCAGAGTTGCGAGATCCATGTGATGTATTCCGATGTCTTGACGTCGCCTTCGACCGCGTCGAGATAATACTGGACACGCTCTAGAAACCCAACGAAGCATTTGATGCGCTCCTCCGCCCTACGGGGCAACTCGGTGCTGCTCATATCGACTCGAAGTGCACTATACGAACACTCACGCGCTCGTCTCCCCAAAAGGCGATAGCAGTCTAAAACCATTTGAGCTAAACATAGTTTTTTTTTTATTTGTTGGGGGGGGGTCAAGCACTTGCATCATTCCACTATTCCTTCGCCTTTGCGCTAACACACACTTAACCATTGTCCTGGACATTTGAGTCGCGTCTAGTGCAGCAACGGGTAGTAGGCGTCGTCGGCCATCTGCGCAGAGTGCGAAGCCACCGCTCGGCGACGCACGACCACAAGCGCCACCACAGCGATCAGCGTCGTGGCGCCCAGCAGGGCCACAGCTGCCGGGTGCTCCTGGGCCGTCTCCTGCAGTAGCACAGCCGCGTAGTACCCGTAGTCACTCGAGTAGGCGCCCTCGGAGTTCGGCTCGCAACGCATGATGTCGGCCTTGTCGTTGGGCAGGTCGAGCAGCGCCGTGCACGTGACCTCCGTGTCACCGCAGCCCTGGCAGCACGGCTTCTCGCCCGTCTCGACGATCGTGCACTTGTCGTCGGCCTTGACAACGATCCCTCCGCACGCTTCGTACAGTCCGGCCTGGTCGTCGCCAGCGCACGCGTCGTACTCGCACTTGGAGTCGGGGGTGTCGAACGTCGGGCCCTTGCAGTCCGAAATGGAGAAGTCGCGCATGCACGTCTCCGTGCGGTCATTTCCGCTGAACAGCTTGTAAGTGAACGCGCACTCCACGTGGAAGCCCGTGGCAGCTTCGGTGTTGGCCTTGTTGAGCATCGTGACGGCGAACCGAGTGACGATTTCGGGAGACTTCTCCGTCACACTCAGGATCGTCGCGGGGGTGCGGCCTTCCAGCGCACCCGTGCACTCGACCTTCGAGACCTTCATGCGCAGCTCGTCGCGAGAATAGAGCAGGCCGGCGTTCGGGTGGAAGTCGAAGGTCAGCTCGGCAAAATCGCTGCCCGGGTACGCGCACATGCCGGGGCCGATCGGCAGCCTGGACACGGACGTCTGGTACCACATGTCGTTGAACTTCTCGCACACGCTCACGGGACTGTTGACGTGTAGGTGGACGTAGAAGAAGAAGCGACGCACCAGGCCGCACTGCGTCCACGCCTCCAGCACGATCTTGGTCTCCGGGTTGGAGAAGGTCAGCATGGCGTCGTTGTCGTGCACGACCTCGTCGTAGTGCGTGTGCTTGTCGGTCTTCCAGAGCTGCCACGACTCGTCCTTCGCGACGACCTTGAAGCGCCAGAACACGTAGTCGCTGGCGTCTACATCACCGTACGAAGGTGCAAAGTTGAGCTGCTCCGTTGTGTCGATGAGCTCCGACAGACGAGCTCTGAACTCGCACTCGCCGTCGTCTTTACCGAACGCAGTGCAGTCAAGGGAGCGGTGGATTTGAGTCACGGTCTGGTAGGCCTCGTTCTCCACTTGTCCGAGCACCAATTCAGATTCGGCCTTGGCCTCCTCAGTGATGGATGCAGTCACGGTCGCTAACGTGTCGCCGTTCATGACGAGGCACTGCTTGAACGAGCACTTCTGATCGATGTCGCCGTCACAGGAGCGCACGTCAAAGTCCGAGCCGCAGCGGTAGTCCGTCCACCACTCCTTGAGCGCCGTCTCCATCTTGCAGCACCTCGTGCACTGGCCAGCGGGCACAGGCTCAGCCGTGTTGTCGCATTCGTCGTTGTCATTGTTGGTGGTGGTTCCCCTACGAGTGTTTCTGCGGTTGTTGCCCTTCACCAACGGGTTCTTCTTCACCTTGTCGTTGTTCAGTAGATCGTCCAGCACTTTGCTCTTGTCGAAGCACTCGCTGGCCTGGCCACAGCCCCGGTTCTTGTAGTCCTTGTCGAAGAAGTCGCGTCGGCTGAACGACTCGGAGTCGCACCGGTTGTCCACACTGCACGCGTCGTTGGTAGCCTTCTTGGCGAAGTCGAAGTACTGCGAGGCGAGCTCGTTGGCCTTGTCCAGGTTTGCTTCGGTGAGCTCGGCCGAGTCCGAGCAATGAACGGGGTCAGCAACATCGTCGCAGAAGCTCTGCGGGCAGGGCGTCGTGGCCTTCGGGCGGTTGTAGTCCGCAATAACGAGACAGCCCGAGCACGTCGCGCTGGAGAAGTAGTCGTACGCGCTCACCTCGAGGCTGTACTTGCCGAAGGATGTGAACTCCATGTCGTCAATCTTGGCTGCACCTTCCGTCTGGTAGTCCTTCCACGTGCTCACCTTCTCGTAAACGGCCGAGTCAGGCAGACCCGCCACCAACGGAGTAAACCTCGACGCCTTGGAGTCGATACCCACGAGCTCAGCGAACGTTAGCGGTAACGAAGCACCGTAGCTGAGGACAGTGCGAATATCGCGCCCCTTGTACTCCGGCTGGTGCTCTCGCTCGGCCGATAGCTCGATACGCGGGTTCAAATTCCCCTCCACGATGTTGTCGCGCTTGTCCGCGACGTAGCCGTCGCTTGGGAACGGCACGGGCAGCCCCCACTTGGTGACCACGCCTTTGAACGAGCACACCTCCTCGTCGGTCTCCATCTCGTGCTTGAAGCCGTCAACCTGAGCCCAGACGCAGGGACAAGTCTCTTCGTCAACCTTGTGGCACGCAGGACGGCCGTAGTCGTTCTCGCCAAGCTCGTAGCCAGCGGGACAGTTGCAGAAGCACTGTCGGCCGCCGTATGCATCGAGGTACGTCACAGGGATGCCCCCGTCCAGGTTCGCGCAGTGCAGGGATCGAGTCACCGTGAACGGGTTGTACATGAAGAGATCCACCGTCTCCTCCAGGTGGATGCAGTTCTCGAACGTGCCCTCGCAGTTGGTGCCGCCATTGCAGATCTGGAAGTTGAACGTGTTGAACACGTGCGCGTTCCTCTCGAACTGCATCACCTCGCCGTACGACACCTCTTCCGTCACGAAGGAGATAACAGCGATGGGCAAAAGAGTCACGTCCTCATCCGCCAAGTTAACGGCAGCGCCGAGACCGGGGAATGCCTGCAGACGCTGGAGGTCGTTTGGCTGCACCTGGTTGGCGAGCAGCAGTGGTGCCGTGGTCTCTGGTGCGGTCGTGTCTGGAGCGGTCGTGTCTGGAGCGGTCGTGTCGAGTTCGTCCGACGGTTCGGGCCCGCCTTGGTTCTCCATGGCCGGGTCTTCAATGCCCCGCTTGTTCTTCTCGCTGCGCTCCTCGCACGCGCCGGGCACCATCGTCGACTGGAAGGTGATCGCGAGGTCCCCTCCGTTGCTTGTGGTAGCAATGTTGGACTTGATTTGATCCACCCATTGCTCCACGATGCCTAAAGACGTATCGTCCAAGCACTTGGAGAAGGCCAGCACCACCGTGACTTCGCCGTCGTTCTCGACGGATTCGGACTCGGTGCACGCGATGTGGCCGTCAGGGCCGAGGATGTCCGCGTAGTCGTCGTTCTTCAGAGCGTGAGCTGCCAGCCCCTCGGAGATCAGCATGGGACCCGGGAGGTCGAAGGACGCTGCGGCGAACGACACGCTGCGTTCTCTGCTCTCAGCCAGCAACGATTGCTTGACGCCCAAGGACGCGCGCATGGCCGATATCCCGAGCGGGAGCTGGAGAGCGCCCGAGGCGAGCACCCCCAGTAGTAACTTCATGACAAACGGATCGAACCGATAGCGATGGGGTGTGACCGCTCACTTCTTGAAGCTCTTTCGAATGTGAAAGTGGCGGGCAAGATGCATGGGCAGCCCACAAGCGACACCAAGCCATGGCGTCCCTCCCAAAGGACTCATTGCCAGGGGTCTCTGGAGACCCCTGGCATGAAGATGGCGGTCGTTTTAGATCGCAAATGCCAGCGGTCGCCAAGATTTTGCGTTTCGCGTTGTCAACTTTAGTGCGTATTGCCCCGCCCCACACTCGATAGAACTGACATGACGAACCCGTTCATGGGTTCACCGTAGTTGAAATATTGTAGCCCACCCAACCTCTTCTCCAAGCGAGTAAACCAACATCGCCAACGCGAGAACAGTGGACCAGTGGAGCTGCAATGTCAAACCCGTCTACTCCTCCCTCATTGGGGACGAAGTCCCCACTTACATTGAGTTGATCCCTCAGGGGTAGGGGAGACATCTGCACTGGGGCTCGCTTTAAAACGAAATCAAATTTTACTTGGGTTTAAGAGACATTTGCCCCTCTATACCAAGGGATTCAATTTATACGATCCACAAGTTGTCCTACTGTAGTACAAAATTCGACATCAGTACCGGTTTAATACTGATCACCTTGAAATTACCGGTATGTCCAAATCAAGGTGCGGAGCTGCGAGCGCTGATTCAACAAGATGTGGGGCAATGCAATGCAATGATTTACGTGTTCGCGTAGCCAAATTACACCTGCGCTAGTCTCAGTTTAAAGATGTGGGGTATGAACAGTTATTAATAAGTATAGTAGAGAATAACCAAGGCGCGACTGGTGTGCCGAATGTGCGGCGCGCCTAAGTCGCTTCCGGAAACAGTCTTCTACTACGCTTGAATTTAGATCGACTCCGGGTCGTGGGGACGTCGTACCGTAGTGGTTGATCTAACCACTACGGCGCGTCGCCCCTATTAGCAGCTGTACAGATGCTGAGCTAGTATAGCGTACGATCATCTGCAATGCCGAGCGGTACATTGTTTTAAACTTTCGCCGTGTAACAGGTGGGCTCGGCAGGAGGACCCATCTGAGCGTGGGGACGTGGTGACGGACGGCGACGCGACGCAGATGTTGGAGGCGGGCGACTGCGCGAAGATCGGCGGCACGACGGAGACCAAGTACCTCGAAGCGGCGGCGCTGGACGCGCCGTGAGTGGGAGAAATGCCGCTCAGTGGCACGCACAACGGCAGGTATCCAGCGGCAACGTCGAGTCGACGTTGAGGGACGGAAGCAGGACGGCGAGCGGGCGGCTGAGAGGAACGGACACTCTAAGATTCGACGACTTTGGCACAAGTGGTCAGGGTGTGCGTGCTGGAGAGCACGTAGGAGAAGGTGAACAGGACGTGCTGCACGAGCGCGGCCGAGAACGTGTACGGAGAGAGCGATACGGAGCCGAAACGCTCTGTTGCTACGACTGAGGGCGGCATTGGCACGAACGAGCGGGTCGCAGGCGGTACTCGACGCTATCGTGAGCACTCGGACAGAGGGTCTGAGCTGTTCCTAGGCGCGTAGTGCGGGATCTGTGGACGGTCAGTAGTGTTGGTGCACGTGCAGTAGTAGTTCGGGCGGTAGAGTAGCTGCTGGTGAAAACTGGTGTCTATTCGTTGGTATTAGGAGTAGTTCAGGCTATTCCTCGTAATAAAATAGGAGCGGACACGACGGTGGACGTTCCGGCAGGGAGTCTTCTCCGCTTTCTTTACTTTACTAAAGAACACCATAATCTTTGGTGAAAAGGGGTATACTCCCCTATCACATACACCATTTTTCCTGTTGGTTTAGAGGAGTTCCCAGTGTGGATATTTATTATCAATATCAAAAAGGTTAAAGCACGATCTCACTCGCCAAGAGAGATCAAGTGATCTCTGACGGCCAGTACGGTGTTGAGAAGTAGACGACTCACGTGCGAACTCGCAGCGTGAGCATACGACCTGCCCAGCGGCTCGGGCAAGACAAGTGAGCCCGCTTCAGCCGAAAGGCAGAACACCACAATTTCACGGCTCAACATGCAATCCCCCGAAAACGATATCGCACAACAACTTGGCTGCGGATGGATATCGGATCTCAATCAATCACGGAAGCACCATCAAAGCTTGGTAACATGATTACGCTTGGCAAGCACAGAGCTTGTTGTCATCGCTCATAGCTGACCTGGATGCACAATACACGCACCCGTTTTTTTTTTTTTGCATGCACGGAAGCTGCCAGTGTTTCATTTCAAGGGCTTGGTCGCCGCCTCCACCAACTTGAAATTCTCCACTATCGCCCCCTTCAACTGGTCCAGCAGCAACTTCATTTTGGCTTTCCCATTTCGATGGTCATTCTCCAGGTCGGCGACGTACTCTTCAGTTTGTTGAGCTTGGCTCTCCAGGAAGCAGACCCGCCTCTGTAAACTTAGCACTTGGACCTCGTGCTCTCCACGAAGCAGCAATGCCGCTTAGCAATCTGCACTCAGGGCGTCGACTTTCTCCTCCAAGGCTTCCACCTTGCACACCAGAGAGGCACGCTCGATCTTGTCTTGCTCATGCTGACGTGCCAGCTCGGTAGTAGTCGCGAAGAATCCCGCCAATTCCTGCTGCAGTTGGGCGGCACCAACTGTGCCACCAAGCTTCGTTTTCCCTGCTATCTTGTCGACGCCACAGTCCTCCTTCCATCGCCTCAGCGCCTTGAGCTCGCGGCATTTTTTTTCCGTTGGCGCAGATAGAAATCATCGAGCTTTGTCTCAACGCCAGCTCGGGGAAGTTGGCCTTCATCTCGGCCTCGATCGCTTTCCACTTCACTCCGTGGCGCAGCTCCGCCGGTTCGGTGGAGCGCCGCGTGGGTCAGTCGGAGAATGCTGACTCCAGCAGCAGGAGCAGCTCGTGCTGCGCTGGCTTCAGCTTGAACGACTTCACATTGCTGTCCTTGTATAGGTTCTGCCTTGTCTTGCCAGAGGCGGGGTCGGGCGAAGGACGCTCGTGCAGAACGCTGCTTTCAGCTTCATTGTGGTCGCCTACCGTCGACACGACTTGGCTTGAAGGAGTGCTGAGCTCCATCGTGGTCAATGGTAAATGATGAACAAACTGCCAGCTTCGAATCCTAATGGTTGAAGAACTCCGCATGATAGCAGGGTCCCAAGACCCAGAACTTCAAATTCCTCAACTGTGAAGTCTAAATTTGTTAAGTTTCAACTATCTGCTAATTTCTTTTCGGCGTTCACGCGTTCTTCGAAGCTTTCCTCAGACTACTTGCGCTTTTGGCGTTCTGGTAAACCTTGATTATGATTTTGGTGCTCGACACTTTCTGACAAATATTGGATATAGCTGCTTCAAATTTCTACATGTAGTGTGACGATAACTTTCGCAAGCGTCAAGATGATCACGAAACCAGCCTTGATGCCCAGCGCCAGATTGTCAAAGGTCGTGTGCTTCACGTCATGCCTCGCCGCAGTTGCCCAGCATCTCGCTTATCCAGTGCTCGCAGTTCATCTGATCTCGCTGAGCACCGACATGTTGCAGATGTAGTCAATCAACTCGGTCAGATCCTTGTGGATGATACCGCGAAATACTCGGTTGCATCTCCGTTGCGCACTTTAGACAGATCGAGCTGCTGTCTCGAACGCTGCAGTACTCAAGTACTCCGACCAGTGCTCAGCTACAGCCACGCCGATAGCCCGGCCACTCAGGACTACCCGAGCACGAAGACACCGGCGATCGAGGCTTACCCAACCACCGAGGCGCCGGCCAACGAGAACTACACCACCACCGAGGCCCCGGCCACGTAGATTATTGAAAGTGGCCACAAATACATCAAACTTTTTCATACTGGCCCAAAAACTGGCAGATGGAAATCTGGGACAGGAGAAAACAATGCGATACTGAGCAGCATTTCACAACTTGATTCTCGACTGAAGGCCCCAAACGCAGATGTCCGCCGTCATGTACAGCGAGGTGGGTTTGCTTCGGCTTGCTAGTGCTTCCATGTACTCCCCATCACGAGGCTTAACTATTAAGCGTCTGTATCTGAATGTATTGCGTGTTTCGCGTAACCCAATAACACTAAGCTAGACTCTATACTGCTAGTCGAAGCGTAAAATGAGTGAGGCAACTGGTACTGTACCCACAAATGGGTACGGTGTACCAGTGTACCTATTCCGCATACGCCAGGAAATGTGAAGCTCTCCGTGCCCCCCCTCCCTCCCTCCTCCTCGTCCTCGGTGAAAATAGCGCTCGCCGCGTCGCTCTCCTTCACAGGTCTCTTCGTCAACGTCTGGAGGCCGTCGGTCCTGCCGTCGATCGATGCCCACCGCTTCTTGTGCCTTGATCTGTAGTATCTGTTCTGTTCCTTGCACGTCCGCTCATCGATCTTCAGCATGTCCAGCGTAGCCTCGCGCCTTGATCTGTAGTATCTGATCTTGTGCCTTGCGCTCCTCCTGCCGAATCCTTCGCCCGCCGTCGTGTTGAGTACAAAGTCCCGTTCGGGAGTCCGCCCTACGCCTTGGTCTTGTCGCGCGTCCAGTGCATCTTCCTGGGTCATGCCGTTAACAGCCCGCCAGCTACGGCGAACCCGGTCATAGCGGGCAGCGAAGCCTTCTGCGTGGCGAGTCCTTGGCCCCAGCTTGCCGCCATCTCACCACCTTGCCCACAGAGACGTCCTCACATGTCCCGCAGTGGACTGGACGCTGTCCGAAGGCAGCGCCCGCAGAGCGGCGCCGAGACTCAGCTCGGCGCTGTCTACCGGGAGGGAGTCACCCCAACCCGACCAAAAAGTGCTATACCTGGGTTTACTTAATTCGACCATCTAAGTTGAGATGAGAAAGTGCAAGTGCATCCTACCCGTCTCTCAAGTTGCTGTATTATAACGTTTGATTCCTGCAAATAAATACGGCACGACGGTCCTCTACACCACGTTGCGTGCTGCACGCACATGCTCAGAACCGTTTTTCATTTCATGTATGTGCAGCGTCAGGTTATAATTGCGCCGTTCACACACTTGCTATTGAGCACCAGTCTACCCCTAATTCCGTACGCTATAAACCCTCGACTGCCCTGAAGGTATCGGTTATTCCAACAGGCCGAACTCCCGAACCCGTAAAGTAGTTTATACTGAGATAGCATGTGTATACCGTAAGGAATGCTGCTACACAGCCGGCATAGGATTAATTCGGTGTCGCATGAAGCCGTGCGTGTAACGCACGCGTTTAAGTATCCATCATATACTGAAATATTATCAAAGTCAACTTAATAGGTCATCTAATTAATTATCTAATCGGTCTCTATCGATGAGAAAACATCAATCGCATCATCAAGTTTCATTCGAATCATTTTCCATTTTCACGTCCAACCTGAAGACGCTACACCAGGACGAAGTTAGAGCACGAAGGTGCTGCTAACTAATTGCTTGCTCGTATTTGGTTATTAACCAGGGATGGGAAGTTTGAAATAAAGATGTAGATAGATGTGGATTTTGTAATTTAATTTATTTATCTTTTGATCCACAACTCAAAAGCGAATTATGGAGAAGTGGCTGCTTGACGGTCGTCGACTCTGCCAGCGCCGGCGCCACTTGCTACAGTGCCTACAGTAATTAGTCTGGGCTCAAAATTAGTCTGGGCCAGACTCGTGTCGAGCAAAAATTGACGTCTTCGTTATTAGTCTGGCTAAAAATGTTCATAATTAGTCTGACGTGGTGACCACGATTCTAGTCCACCCCCACCTACTTTAAGGCACCGCTTGCTGAAAAACTCCTTTGACAGCAGCCAATTTACTAGATCTCGTACAATATCTGCAAGATATAATATGGGTATCCAACCCATCGTGGATCCAGACGCGCTGACGGACACATTCGACACTGGAGCAATTGTCGACAACGCGACGACCACGGTGGAGCAGCAGATCGATCTCATGGGGGCCACCGGTCCCGCCGTTCTGTGTACGACGAGTAACTCGTACACGCTGCAGGTGACGGTGTCCATGTGCCTGCCGAGCAGCGAGTACCAGAAGTTGTGGACGCTGTCGCTCTCGTCCATCTCGAGCGCCAAACTCCGCGCAGTGTCATTCTCATACGTAGATTGCTGGGCTGCTGTTGGGGCACCGACACAAGTCACTGCTATCTCTGGACCTCCTAGGATCGAGGTGATGCTGGGGAGAACGACTCCCACCGTGGGCGGGGCGGTAGCCGTCCGCGTTTGTCCTAATCTCGACTGCGCGGTGCTGCCGACAGACATCGTTCTTGCGGCGCTGCCCACCGTCTCTTTGATCGTACCAGCTTCGCTAACCAACCTGGTGGACTGTTCGGGTGTACTAAGTAACGGGGTTTCGTACAACGAGGGCGTGTCGGGCGTGTGCAAGTGCGAATGCCCTGGTACCTCCACAACCACTGGAAACTCAAACTCCTGCTCGTGTACAGGAGGGAAGGGATTGCTGAGTGGAGACTGCCAAACATGCCCGACCAGTTCGACCGTCGTATCTGGAGTGTGCACGTGTTCAGGGACAAAAGGTTTCATTGGCAACGTGTGCTCGACGTGTCCAACTGGTTCAAGTATCATCAATGGGGTCTGCACGTGCTCAGGAGGACGATCAATTGTCAACGGCGTTTGCACTTGCCCGTCGTCTTCCACGTTCATTGATAATGAATGCGTGTGCTCTGGAGGCCGAACACTGGTCAACAACGTCTGCACCTGTCCGTCGACGTCGACGCTCGTGGGTACCGGCGACAGCGCGGTGTGTCGATGCTCCGGATCACAAGGGTTCATCAATGGTGTGTGCTCGACCTGTCCGTCTGGCTCCAGCGTTGTGAACGGTGTGTGCACGTGCTCCGGAGGCCGGTCGCTCGTCAATGGCGTCTGCACATGCCCGTCGACCTCCACGTTCGATGGTAGCGCGTGCGTGTGCTCGGGAGGCCAAACGCTCGTCAACAACGTCTACACCTGTCCGTCGACGTCCTCGCTAGTGGGTACCGGGACCAGCGCCGTGTGCCGCTGCGCCGGAACGGAGGGGTTCATCAACGGAGTGTGTTCTACGTGTCCGTCTGGCTCCAGCGTTGTGAACGGTGTGTGCACGTGCTCCGGAGGCCGGTCGCTCGTCAATGGCGTCTGCACATGCCCGTCGACCTCCACGTTCGATGGTAGCGCGTGCGTGTGCTCGGGAGGCCAAACGCTCGCCAACAACGTCTGCACCTGTCCGTCGACATCGGCGCTAGTGGGTTCGGGGTCCAGCGCGGTGTGCCACTGCTCCGAATCGGAGGGGTTCATCGATGGCGAGTGCTCAACGTGTCCGCCCGGTTCAAGTGCTGTGGATGCCGTGTGCACGTGCTCACCAGGGCTTGAAATCGTCAACGGGCAGTGCACGTGCCCATGCGGCCAGGAATTTACGAGTGGTAAGTGTGTTTCGAAGTGTTTCTGGACGACCAGCAACGTGGGGTATGATTGTCCGTGGACTGATCCAAAGAAAAGCGTGCTCGCGCTGAACGAAGACTGCAAGATCACTGCTCCTGCGGTGCTGGATAATTATGTCGCAGACGAGCGTACGAACAAGTATGATGGAGCTCTGGAGGACCCTGTAATCTCGATCAGCGCCACTAAGGAAGGCGGATCAGTCGGTGTGACGGCGAAGGCGACTTGGAAGGAGTATTTCCTGACTCCGACGACGCTCGAGAATAAGGTCACGTTCGAGACGTTCGGCGTCTTCGATCTCGAGATGAAAGCGACCGATTACGGCTGGCTCGCCAAGTGCTCAGGCTGTGTCGCGATCGTCGATAAGTACCCACCCACGGCCGAAATCAAATGCCAAGCGACAGTGACGACGACACTGGCCGCCCCCGCATCGTACGCGGATGGAAAACTCGCCGAAGCGATCGCACAAGAAGAAAAATTTACCGCTTTTTACAGCACCGACAACGTCAAGAACAATGACGGCGCGTCTGGAGCCAACGAACGCTGCGACGACGTTACTGCAGAAATGCAGGACTTCTTTGCATCCTCCGCGTCGAATCTGGCATCGCTTGACACTCAGTGCTTTGACACTGACTTCGGGGAGAAGGTACTAGCCAAGGCACCAGGAACCAGCCTCTTAACGTCGGCCACACAGAGCGAATTGGACGAATTGCAGTGCACGCGCTGCTGTTCCAAGTCTCTCACGCTCCAGGAGTACTACTACGACTACAAGTGTGGCACCGATCCCGCGGACGCTGAGAAGAAGATCGCCACGTCGGACCAATGCGCCTTCAATTACTGCCTCAACATACCAGGTGACGCTCTGGTTGAAGCGAGTGCTGCCGTCACGGAGAGCGTTGCAGAGGAGACGACCACGGTTTTAGGCGGACTGCCTACATCCGTCGCGCCTGCTCTCAATGTGATCCATCGCAGCATCACGTGCACTGCGGTCAACAAAGGCTGCTCTTACACGCCAACGCTGGGCGATCTGCTCACGCACAAGTCTTCGTGGGGTCCGGGTGGCCTGGAAGAATACGATGTCGAGGACTTCGTATACTGGGGCTACGCGGTTGACACGGAGAACCGGCACCAATGGAGTGATTCGGCGGTGTTGACGTTCACTAACACTCAGACTGTTGTGTACGTGGAGACGTGGACTGGCTGTGCGAGCGTATCGCGAGACCTTCACGGTCGTCCTTCACCCTCACAGTCCGCACAACGTGTGCGCCTCGTTCAGACAAATGTGGACTGAAAACTCCCCCACTCCGCGCACCGACGACGAGTCGCACATGTGCGCGTACCCAGGAAGCGACTTTGTGATGATGACGTTCGCCTACGACAGCGACTCGGACTCGACTCACGACGCCGACACTGTCAAGGGCACGTACACTGACGTGAAATGCTACGTGACGCTGGCAGAAGGAGGCCCAGGCAATAACCTGGACAAGGTGCAGGAGGCCGAGCTGCCACTGACGTGGCCTTCAGCTGCCTCTGGCCGCATCCAGATCTCCAAGCAGCTAGCGCTCGAGTTGGTGAACGACCCCGAGACGGCCGAAACGACGGACGTCAAGGTGCGCTGTGACTTCACGTTCAAGTACTTCAACTCGGAGGACACGGAGGACGAGAAGTGCGCGTACCCCTTCACTATCAAGGACTGTGACGTCCCCGAGCTGGAGCTTATTGCCCCTGCTGAGTGCGCTCTTGGGTCCCCGACTGGCGTCCCAGGTCCCTATGAAGCGTGCATGGGAGCGTCTTGACGACGGTCAGCGGCGCGACACAACTGCTGACGGAGCTGAAGGCAGTGACCGGCGAGTGCTGCGCGTCCAGCCCGGTGCTGACTTGCGCTGCACTAGCGGAGTCTACATCGGAGAGTGGCGTCAAGCGGTGCGAGCCGGTGACTGTGCCTTTGCCTGCACAAATGGCGGCGATGGAGCTGCGTGTCGACGATGAAGACCGTGACGACTCGAAGCTTGAGGCCTCAGCCTCCCCATCTGCGATGGAGGTGTTGGCAGCGAGTGCCCTGGTCGCTATTGTGGCGCTGATAGCGGTGAAGCAGCGGGTGGCGGGCACAGCGCGGCTAGCGAGAGAAACGGACGACGTGTACGTCACGCTGTTGGATTGATGTGGCGATATGAGCTCAGTGGCGATATGAGCCTCATATCCTAGCTTAAAGCTAGTCCATTCGACTACGTGTATACTTGTCTTTCGGCTTTACATTGACAGCAGCCAGTTGGTTACATTTTAAACGGGTCTTTTGCGGGTCTGGTAAGGTAGTTGGTCTGGTATGTATATTTGGCTGGTCAGTATGACCGTCAGCCTGATCCGTAAAATACCTGAAAGATACCGTGAACGTGGTAACAAGGTCATGTGTATCATGCTTTAAGGGGGCGGACACTCGGCCAGGCGCGGTGTCTAGAAAAAAAAATATCGGGTTGCAGCGCTCGCTCGCACAGACACACCCCCGCCTGTTCGGCGGGTGTTGGTGATCAGTGAACGCATTGAGTGAGCCTCACGCTCGCATTCGCTCGCCCTCGTCCATGAATTGATACCAGTACTTGCGTAGGCTACACGGCCTCGCCTACACTACCACAGTTTATCTACTGCTAGATCGATATGTACTTCAAGTATTAGGAACACCTAGGTCGCTGAGTGGTATTTCTCAGGTATGGATATGGGTCGGGCATGAAAACAATTTTATTTTTCCTGTAAAATATTCATAGGTCTGGATAGGGTCTTACTGACCCGAAGCCTTACCAGACCCGCAAAAGACCTGTTTAATAATCTTCCCAGCCAGCTAACGCGATAATACATGTCTGCATTGCCTGTACAGAGTAATACATCGGCCTCTGACCTACCGGTAGTCGATACCAAGGCTGTCGGCAACACGCTCATAACCGCCTCTGGGCGCTGAGCGTTTAGACCGTAAGATCGCTGGCCAGGATTTGGAAGAGCCACCGCCGTCCTATGGTCGAGATCTTCGTCCGGTCCGCACGATAATCCGCCAGCGGTCGCTCGACCCCAAAGGTCAAGCCCAACGCCCCCAACACATCGCGATTCGCCTTTCAACGTCCACTACGTCTCTTGTGGGGGAGGGGGGCTCACCACGGCGATCATGCGCGTCACCGCTCCGTTTGTCGTAGCTGCGGGCGCTTACGCCGCGTGCGCCAACGCACTGAGTGAGGAGAACAGCACGCAGCAGCATCTCGTGCTCGCCGCCGCGGACGAGGCCTGCTACTGGCAGCAGGATCTGTCCTGCGACCTCGAGGACGCGGCCAACACGCTGCGCCTCGGCGTGGAGAACGAGTGCGACGTGCCGATCCCCGTCCCAGTGGACAACTACGTGGAGGACCTCCGAATCAACAAGTACGACGTCCCCGCCGAGGGCAGGGCGACCCAGCAGCCCTTCGTGCAGATCTCGGGCAGCAACGGCAAGCTGGCCGTGGCGACGAGGAAGGCCACCTGGTACAAGTACGTGACCGACGCGGCCTCGGTGCAGAGCGACATCCGGTTCAACGGCCCCGGCATGTACGACATGGTGATCCTCGCCAACGACTACAACGGCGAGGCCTCGTGCCTCGGCTGTATCGCCGTGCTGGACAAGTTCCGCCCGCGTTACGGCACTGCCGGCACCTGTCCGGACGCGTCGAGCGACGCGCAGAAGGTGACCAAGCCTCTGACTCAAGCAGCGTTCAATGAGCTCAAGACTCTCGAGACCGGGTACCAGACGTACACTGCGAGCAGCAACGTCGTCAACAACCCCAACAGCGGCGGGACGTGCTACCTGGACGAGGACACGGCGCCCGTCAAGAAGTCCTTCTACGGGAGGGAGAAGGAGTGCGACGACCTCAGTGATCTGTGCTACAGCAGCACCATGCTGTCGTCCAACCTGGTGAGTCTCAAGACGGCGCCCTTCACGGCGACCAGCACGTCACTTCAGACGGCCTACGCGACGTTGGAGTCGACGCTGAACCAGCAGTGCACTTGGTGCTGCCGGAAGAAGTCCGTGCTCCGAGAATACTACACCAAATACTACTGCCCCGCCGACTACAGCCCGCCGTCCAGCTTCAGGACCGTGTGTGCCTACGACAACACTCTCCCGAACAAGTGCACCTTCAATACGTGCATTGAGGGCAAGGGGGCGGACATTGTCACGGCTTCCGTCGTCGTCAAGTCCACCGTCCAGACAGCGTCCACTAACGTGCTCAACGCGCTGCCCAAGAAGCCCGACGGCAGCGACGTTACCAAGCACGTCTACTACAGCATCCCCTGCACCAGCTTCAGCGCCACGGACACCAACTGCCGCTACACGGCCAAGCTCTCGCAGCTGCTCGACGTCCGGAGGGCCTTCACCACGACGCTCCCGACCCCGCCCACGACCCTCGACGTCAAGGACTTCGTCTTCTGGCGCTACAACGTCAACGGCAAGAGCTTCGTCAGGTGGGACCCGCTCGCCGACACCGCCATCACGTTCACGGACCCGACCACGACCATCGTGCTGGAGGCCTGGACGGCGTGCGGCATGGCCTACACCACCACCTTCACCGTCAACCTGTATCTGCACAGCACGCTGGCGTGCTCCAAGTTCCCTGCGATGTGGAAGGTGGTGGAGAAGCCCGGCGTGCAGGGCTCCGAGGGAACCTACTGCGCGTACGGAGGCAGCGACTTCGCCGTCCTGAAGCTCGACATGGTCGTCGCGGACGTGCTGCAGCAGAGCGACACCACCGTCACGGGATCGTACACGGGCGTCACGTGCAGCATGATGGTCAAGCCGACGGGCGGCACCGACACGAGCGTCGTCAAGGTGCTGGAGGACTCGTCGGCCGCCACTATCAGCAAGTACTACGGCGTGGAGCTCGTGAACAATCCCAGCACGGCGCAGAAGACGACGGGGGTCGTCCGCTGCACGTTTACGCGTACTCCGCGCACGAACCTTCTCGCTTTGGCGTTGGAAGCTGTTGGTACGGACGCCAACTCGATCGAGTGCAGTCACACGTTCACGATCACCGACTGCGATAAACCCCATTTTTTATTGGGAAACGATGTGTGTGCGAATAAGTGCGCGGGAGACGCATCGCCAGGGATGTATGAGGCGTGCGGTGGCTCCATTGTGACGTCCACATCGACGGATACGCTGCTGAAGCCGTCGACTACACCGACGTGCTGCACGAAATGCTCGCAGGCGCTGGCGTGCAACGCTGTCGGATCGACGGATGTCAAGCGCTGCGAGCCTCCATGGACCCCGGTGCTTCTTACGGAGGCGACGGACTTGGAGCCGTTTGATGCAACGATAGCCGTGCTCGTTGGTGCAAGTGCTGCGGTCGCTGTCGCAGTGTTAAGCGTTTTCAAGCACCGTGCACATGTCGGTGCACCACAACCGGACGACAGTCAAGGCGGATATTACACGTTGATCGACTAACTGCCGTAGAACTCATGCGTGAACGAATAAGCTGCATTTGTTGGTTCCCCCAACGTTCTGTCCATATTGTCGTGTAGGATTTTCGTGAAGTACTAATAGCAGCTTTTGTAGGTTAATAGGAATGCCAGAATGCCCTAGCACTGGAGTGTATAAGCTTGCTCGTCCAACCCCAATGTTTGCTTCACTAGAACTTTGCACGTAGTATATCAATGCACTAACTTTCAACGCAAGCAACCCAACCATAGCACGCTTCAAGCACGATCAGTCAATGTATTCGTTTGCCTAGCCACTCAAAAGGGTCAAACCACTCAAAAAGGTGATAACAGTCTCGAATGATGCTCGTGACAGACAAGCGAGCCTAGCGCAGCAACGGGTAGTAGGCGTCATCGACCAGCTGAGAAGACTGCGAGGCCACCACGCGACGACGAACCACAACGAGCGCCACCACGGCAACCAACGCCGTGACACCGAGCAAGGCCGTGGCGGCCGGGTGCTCCTGGGCAGTCGCAGTGAGCAGCACCGCCGCGTCGTAGCCGTAGTCGCTGCTTGAGTAGGCGCCCTCGGAGTTCGGCTCGCAACGCATGATGTCGGCCTTGTCGTTGGGCAGGTCGAGCAGCGCCGTGCACGTGACCTCCGTGTCACCGCAGCCCTGGCAGCACGGCTTCTCGCCCGTCTCGACGATCGTGCACTTGTCGTCGGCCTTGACAACGATCCCTCCGCACGCTTCGTACAGTCCGGCCTGGTCGTCGCCAGCGCACGCGTCGTACTCGCACTTGGAGTCGGGGGTGTCGAACGTCGGGCCCTTGCAGTCCGAAATGGAGAAGTCGCGCATGCACGTCTCCGTGCGGTCATTTCCGCTGAACAGCTTGTAAGTGAACGCGCACTCCACGTGGAAGCCCGTGGCAGCTTCGGTGTTGGCCTTGTTGAGCATCGTGACGGCGAACCGAGTGACGATTTCGGGAGACTTCTCCGTCACACTCAGGATCGTCGCGGGGGTGCGGCCTTCCAGCGCACCCGTGCACTCGACCTTCGAGACCTTCATGCGCAGCTCGTCGCGAGAATAGAGCAGGCCGGCGTTCGGGTGGAAGTCGAAGGTCAGCTCGGCAAAATCGCTGCCCGGGTACGCGCACATGCCGGGGCCGATCGGCAGCCTGGACACGGACGTCTGGTACCACATGTCGTTGAACTTCTCGCACACGCTCACGGGACTGTTGACGTGTAGGTGGACGTAGAAGAAGAAGCGACGCACCAGGCCGCACTGCGTCCACGCCTCCAGCACGATCTTGGTCTCCGGGTTGGAGAAGGTCAAGACGTCGTCGTTCTCGTACTCGATCTCGCCATAGGACGAGTGCCTGTCGGTCTTCCAGAGCTGCCACGACTCGCCCTCCGAGACGATCTTGAAGCGCCAGTACACGTAGTCCGTGGCCTCGGCGTTGCCGTACGAGGGCGCAACGTTGAGCTGCTCCGTCGTTTCGATGAGCTCCGAGAGCTTGGAGCGGAACTCGCAGTCGCCGTCGGTCGCACCGAACGCAGTACAGTCGAGCGAGCGGTGGATTTGGGTCACGGTCTGGTACGCCTGGTCCTCCACTTCAGCGAGCACCGATTCGGACTCGGCCTTGGCAGCCTCGGTGATACAGGCAGTTACGGTCGCCATCGTGTCGCCGTTCATGACGAGGCACTGCTTGAACGAGCACTTCTGGTCGATGTCGCCGTCACAGGAGCGCACGTCAAAGTCCGAGCCGCAGCGGTAGTCCGTCCACCACTCCTTGAGCGCCGTCTCCATCTTGCAGCACCTCGTGCACTGACCAGCGGGCACAGGCTCCGCCGTGTTGTCGCATTCCGCGTGGTCATTGTTGGCGCCTCTGGGGCCACCTCGGCGGTCGCCGCCCTTCACCAACGGGTTCTTCTTCACTTTGTCGTTGTTCAGTAGATCGTCCAGCACTTTGCTCTTGTCGAAGCACTCGCTGGCCTGGCCACAGCCCCGGTTCTTGTAGTCCTTGTCGAAGAAGTCGCGTCGGCTGAACGACTCGGAGTCGCACCGGTTGTCCACACTGCACGCGTCGTTGGTAGCCTTCTTGGCGAAGTCGAAGTACTGCGTGGCGAGCGCGCTGGCCTTGTCCAGGTTCGCGTCCGTGAGCTCGGCCGAGTCCGAGCAGTGAACGGGGTCAGCGAGGTCGTCACAGAAACTCTCGGGGCACGGCGTCGTGGCCTTGGGGCGGTTGTAGTCCACGATGACGAGACAGCCCGAGCATGTCGCGCTCGAAAAGTAGTCGTACGCGCTCACCTCGAGGCTGTACTTGCCGAAGGATGAGAACTTAATGTCGTCGATCTTTGCGTCGCGGTTCATCTGGTAGTCCTTCCACGTGATCACCTTGTCGTACGTTGTCGTGGCCGGCCCAGCCGCCACCACCGGATTCGAGTTGGAGGCCTTGGGGTTCGTGCGCACCAGCTCCGCAAACGTTGGCGGGAAAGTCATGCCATTGCCCTGGATATCGTGCGCGCTGAACTCGCGCTTGTGCTCTCGCTCGGCAGTCAACTCGATGCGCGGGTTCAGGTATCCCTCGACGATGTTGTCGCGCTTATCGGCGACGTAGCCGTCGCTTGGGAACGGCACTGGCAGCCCCCAGTTGGTGGCCACGCCCTTGAACAAGCACACCTCCTCGTCGGTCTGCACCTTGTGCTTGAACCCGTTGCACTCGGCCCAGACGCAGGGGCACGGCTCCTCCACCACCTTCTTGCACGCGGGGTTGCCGTACTCGTTCTCGCCGAGCTCGTAGCCGGCAGGGCAGTTGCAGAAGCACTGACGGCCGCCGGTCGAGTTCAGGTACGTCACGGGGACGCCCCCGTCCAGGTTGGAGCAGTGCAGGGATCGAGTCACCGTGAACGGGTTGTACATGAAGAGATCCACCGTCTCCTCCAGGTGGATGCAGTTCTCGAACGTGCCCTCGCAGTTAGCGCCGGTGTTACAGATCTGGAAGTTGAACGTCTTGGACACGTGCGCGCTGGACTCAAACTGCATCACCTCGCCGTACGACACCTCCCCCGTCACGAAGGAGACGACCGCAATGGGCTTCGAGGTCAGGGTCACGTCTTCGTCGGCCAAGTTGATGACGGGGCCGAAGCCAGGGAACGCCTCCAGACGCTGGAGGTCGCTCGGCTGCACCTGGCTGGCCAGCAGCATGGGTGGCTGGCTCATTTGCCCGCTTGGGTATCCCCCAGCAGCCCCGCCTTGGTTCTCCATGGCCGGGTCTTCAACGCCCCGCTTGTTCTTCTCGCTGCGCTCCTCGCACGCGCCGGGCACCATCGTCGACTGGAACGTGATGGAGAGGTCGCCCCCGTAGGGACTCGTGGTGAGGCTCGTCTTGACTTGGTTCACCCACTGCTCCACGATGTCGAGGGCCGTGTCGTTCAGACACTTGGAGAAGGCCAGCACCACGGTGACTTGGCCGTTGCCATCCGTGGTTTCCTCCGACTCCGTGCACGCGATGTGACCGTCGTCCGAGTAGTAGTCGCTGTTCCTCAGAGCTTGAGCGGCCACCCCCTCGGAGATCAGCATGGAGCTCGGCAGGTCGAAGGGCAGCGCATCGAACGACACGGTGCGCTCTCTGCTCTCGGCCAGCAGCGATTCCTTGACGCCCAAGGACGCGCGCATGGCCACTGCGAGCGGCAGCTGGAGCGCGCCAAAGGCGAGCACCCCCAGTAACTTCATGGCGACTGCTGCTCTTGCTGGAGTGGGGAGAGACTTGAGGCTCGAGCGGTGGAAGTGGTCGGCCAGCGGCAAATTCGCGAATGACAAGCGTCTTTGCCTTTCAAAAGCGCGCGGGTCATCGTCCCGAGAGCAAAGATATCCTTCCTGCGCGGGCCGAAGCGTCACGATCGACTGCAACGAGGGCCTCGCGTCCGCTGATTCCCAAAGATTTCGCGCGGGGAGGAGCCGTTGTACCCGCTTCTGGCCGAGATTGACAACCATAACGGCTTTTTGATTTGGATACGGCTTTGATTTGGATACGATTTGGTTGAAGGCATGGCGCTTGATTGGCATGAGGGGTCGCCTAGGTGGGGGGGGGGGGGGGGGCTTGGATCCAAGATTGGATGTCTTCTGCTGCTGCCCCAGAAGTCCTCACCGCCACCACGGAAGGATCTCTTCTGACCGTGTGGGCGCTCAGCAAGTGAGCACGTAGTCAATCGGCTTTACAGAGTCTTCTCAGTTGAACTCGTTGGTCTGCTGCAGTCCATGTCGACAGGCATAATAGACAGGTAAGCAACCTTCCATTCCCACACGAATGCGTCCGCGGAAGTTCTGAGGACCAGCCTAACAACGAAGCTGGAAAGCATTGCAGCAAGAAGCATTGCCTGCGAGACTTCGTGCCATTGCCCTTGGATCCGCGCGAAGGGTCGGTCTTCTTCTTGGATGACCAGCATTGCAAACGGGTGGCTGCGGACGCCCCGAGAAAGATCGTGGGGACCGAGACCCCAAGTTAGACCAACGACCTCGCCAACGGTGAGCGGAGTGCTTTGGTCGCTGAGGTGGGTCAGCATTCGTCATTAGCGCCTCCGCATATGGCCGGCCATGCGCTCCCAGCAACGTGAACAGGCAGCGTCACCTCCAGGACGCGCGGCATATGCCGAGGCGAAGCAGGTTCGGGTTGCCGTTCAGGCGGAGCGTCCACAACGTCCAGGTGGTGCGGGCCAGATAGCAGATCTATTTTGGCAAGTTGGCATCAACTTGGCACTGTCTGCTCTAACAATGCTCTATTACACAGAGGATAGAGGAAACTGCATTCATAATCTGCAGCATGGCGCTGCAGAGCCTGCTCAGATAGGGAAGTGCAGATGCTTGCCTGCTCTCCATTCCACGAATACCAGTTCTTCGAGATTTACTACCCGCAAGAGCGCTACGCGGCGTTCACAATGTGTCTCGTTATTGCTGCGGCAACTATGCATACAGCACCGGCTTGCTGTGGCCTCGAAAATGCTCTGCCCGAGTAGCTACTAGCTAGGCACGTCGTGTCTATATACAGTGTAGTAAGCAAGAGGGAGCCCCGCATTCGCTACGATCTTACCCCGCACGGTAAGATAGACAGCCTCGAGCTCATCAGCAGCCCAGCCCAGCAAAGCACGGTCCGCCCACGGCGGCAACCTTCACTGGTCGCCAAGTTGAAGTTGTCGACGACGGCCTGGTGGGGTCCACACCACCGGCACCGCGATCCACTCCCCCCCATCAAGCTGATGATCAGCAGCACCATCAGCAGCTCTTCGCTCAGGCCGATGGTGTGAACTCTCAGACTCACTGTGGACATCGCAAGCAGCATCACTGCCGTCACTAACAACCGGCCTTCGGCCTCACACAACATTCAATCGCGATCGCAGCAGCACCGCAGACGGTTTGCGTCGTTTCGAAATATTGGATTGGTCGACTAGAAACGGCCTGAGTTTCTGGCGAAAAAATCAACGACGGTGCCGCACGCGGCGGCAGCGAGCTCGTGGTGGCGGGCGACAAATGAGGCCGCCAAGGCCTTGCCAGCTCTCGCTGCGGGCCATGATCGCGCTTGGGCTGCTCGCAGTCGCGAGGACTGGCGTCGCGGAAGCCACGTCTGGGTCAGAGGCGTGTGTGCCATGTTACTTCGTGCTGTCGCGGCCAATCGCGGGCCGCTCGCATTTTTCGCAGGCCCTCTATTAGGGGCCCTCTCGGCGACAGGCGGCAGATAGGCGGCCGCTTAGTAAAGTCAAGACGCCCGAATAGAGGGCGGTGCCGTCCGTTCTATGGCGCGACGATAAGATTCCAGTATAAGGAGTCAGTTGTATGGAAACTGAACGCTCGCTCTCTCTCCCCCTCTCGGCGTTCTCTTGCTGGAAAGCCCGCGACAAAACGGCCCGCGCCGCATAAAGGAAAGAAGGCAGCAGCGACCGAACGCGCGTGGAGCAGGAGGCCGATCCGTCCGGCAGCCCTCTCGTCAGCGCAGCACCAGCACACCCGCACCCGCAGCAGCAGCAGGCCCTCCTCGGCCCGCTCAGTCCGGAAGTTAAGTCCTCAGAAGAGAAGAAAGAGAACAAAAAAGCAGCGGCCAGCAGCAGCGCAGCCCCCCCCCCTCCGCAGCTCAGTCCACCCGCCCCCTCCTTCCTTCCGCACCGCACAATGAGCGCCAACTCTGACCGGAGGTGGAGCCTCGCGCGCGCCACCGAGTTCTTCAGTGGCGACGGCAAGCCCGACATGTAAATACCCATCTCTGCGTCGTCCTCCTCGCGATATAACGCTCATATCGATATGACTGGTTTATTGATATGATATGACGTTCTTCGTGTCTGCAGGCTGGACATCCGCGGCATGACGGCCGTCACCAAGGGCGCGGCCGGCAAGCGCGACAAGTTCCGCAAGAGCGTGTCGCGCTGCGGCGTGTCCATCTACGGGCCCAAGCACTCGGCGTCGGCCTCGGCCACGGACGGCGCGGCCAACCGCGAGAAGATCTTCATCGAGGACCCGCGCGCGCCCTGCCTCAACATCGACTACTCGAACGACGCGTACCGGCTGCTGCCGTCCTCGGAGAAGTTCTCGGCCCACACGGGCGTGTGCCAGATCCTCGGCACCAAGTGCATCCGTGGCGGCAAGCACCGCGTGCGCGTCGGGGACATCATCCGCTTCGGCAGCGTCGGCCTGCTGGTCACGGAGATCGACACGGGTGGCGTGGGCCCGAACGACGCCACGCTTAGCCCCTCGGAGGTCAACAGCCTCATCCAGCGCGTGGTGTGCCACGACGAGGCCCTGGCCGACGTGGACAGCGGCATGGACACGGACGACGAGAACGGCGACGCCTCGGGCAACGACGAGTCCAAGCCGCGCTCGTCGCTGCAGCGCCAGAGCACGAGCGCCATCTGCTACGTGTGCTACGACGAGACCGAGGACGACAACCCGCTCATCGCGCCCTGCAAGTGCTCGGGCGACACCAAGTACATCCACCTCAACTGCCTCAAGCGCTGGAACACGAACGGCGAGAAGAACGAGATCTGCACGGTGCTGGACGAGAGCAACGCGCGCACGTGCTCCATCTGCAAGGCCCCGTACCCGAGCAAGACGCGCCTGCCGAACGGCAAGGTGCTGTCGCTGCTGCCGGACCGCCTCAACCCGCCCTGCATCATGTTCCAGGTCGTGACCAAGCACTCGTCGTCCACGCTCAACCTGTCGACGCGCTACCAGCTGAGCTACAAGATGCTCATGGACAACGACATCCACCGTCCGCTCATGGTGGGCCGCTCGTCGCAGTGCGACCTGGTGCTCAAGTACCGCACGGTGTCCACGATCCACGCCGAGATCCACTACTCGAAGGGCGAGTTCTTCCTTAAGGACGCCGGCAGTTCGAACGGCACGCTGCGGTACATCTACCGCCCGCTGACGCTGCACAACAACCAGTCGCTGCACGTCAAGTTCGGCCGCACGGTATTATCCATCAAGCCGACCAAGAAGATCCGGCTGCCGCACTTCTTCGGCACGGCGGGCCACCTCCACGGCAGCGGTTCACGGCTCGATGATGGGGGCGTGCAGGACGACGACGAGCTGTCCAACTCGTCCACCCCCCGAAACAATAGAATCCGATACTACGCGGCGCAGCAGCAGGTGCCGACGTCGCAGCAGCAGCAACAGCAGCACGCACGCCAGAACTTGCAGACGCAGATGCAGAACTTAGATCTGTAACGTCTCGTAATGTGCGCGCTCGTTGGCTTGGACCGGATCCCGTTGCGTGTGACCTCCCGCCCCCGCCGCCATCGGCCGAGCCGCTCTTGTACCATCATCATCAAGAGCCGATGCTTGGGATATCGACCACCTCGACACCGTATCGACTCGACTTCCCGCGCCTCTGTTAATTACTTATTCGACCCAGAGATCAAGAGAGAGAAAACACCAGAAAACGGCAGAAACAGGAGAAAAAGAGGCCGGTAGCAGCGCAGAGTTTGGTCTGCCTGCACATGAAGTGACCACGTCGTCTGAATGAAGAAATGCAAACAAAAACAACAGAAAAACAAGTGAGCTGTACTGTGGTGAGAGGGAGTTGTAGGACAGACTGCCTAGGGTGCTGCAAGATGTGAAGGCGGGTTTGTCCAGGTAGGTAAGGCAGAGCAGATCGTGGAGCCGAAGATGATTAAGGAAGCGCTCAGTGCATTCATATCTTACATTGTAATACAAGTATGCGAAATGGCCATGCAGATCTCCTTCATGACTTTGCTTTAGTGACGAAACTACAATAAGGCAAACAACATCTATTCAGCAAATTGGTCGAATCTTTGGTTTGCTATCCTCGCTTCACACTGGCTGTGCGCTCAATCGTCCGTCAGGTTCGACTCGAGCACACCAATGGCCATGGACTGCAGCATGGCCTGCTGGAAGCGCGCGGCCAATGTAGGGTGCGCCTTCTGCATCCGCGCGTAGTGCGACTTGCTCAGGAAAAAGATGGAGCTGGGCGCCCGGGCCTGCGCTGTGAACTGGTGTCGCTTGTGCAGGATCATCTCGGACGCGCCCACCAGACCTCCCTGGCACACGCGCGTGATGCGCTTGCGGCCGCGGAAGCCTGGGCCCAGACCTTCGTGGATCTTGGACGGCATGAACACGTCCACCTTGCCGTACCCGATGAAGTAGACACCGTTAACGAGCCCACCAGCACGGTACAGCGTCTCGCCCTCCTGTTTAAGTAAGTGCGTCACGTACATCTCGCCGAGCTCCCGGGTAAGCACGGCGGCAGCTTCAGGCTGCGTTCCATCGCTGTTGGTCAGAGTGTCGTCCTTGCGGTGTGAACCATCGGGGCGAGGCAGCAGCTCGTCCAGCAACTGCCAATGTTGGCCTTCGTTGCTGCCGTTCACCGCCAACGCCGGTGCCGACTCACTAAGCGGCAGCACGCCCTCAGACACCAGCAGCTCGTCCTCGCACCACTCCAATGCCTTGTCCAACGTATCGAACACCAGCGACCCCGTGCCAGATCCGTCCTCCTTCTCGATCACATCGTGGACGCGCAGCAACCGCTCTGCATCACTCGGAACGCTCGCGAAAATGAGAGCAATGCCGTGCTGCGCCAGCAATTCCTTGGTGGCGTTGAAGCAACTCCGCACAGCCGTAGCATCCACACCGCTCACCTTTTCGAAGTCCAGGATAAAGTACCGAGTGCGAGCGGCGTGAAGTGCCGCCGGTCCGCTCTTGCCAACAGCCTTGGGCGTGGACGAGTAGCCGTGAATCTCGTGGTCGTCGAAAACCGAGTCCAGCGTGGCGAGGTCGTCGTTGAAAGTGTCCTCCAGCGACCGGGCCACGTACGGCGAGGGCGCGTGACGCCGGGTTAGCAGCGGGGACGCACCGGAAAGCGTGCTGGTTTGGGCCTCCTGCTTTTCAGTCGTGGTCACCAGTACGTGACGACGTACTTCGTCCATGACCTTCACACTCGAGCCGAAGAAAATGTAGCCTTCCAGCTCCAGCGTCACGATGGACATCCTCATGTTCTGCAGCAGCACTCGCTCACGCAGGTCACGCTCCACACGCGAGCGCTTCATCACACGGTTGATGCGTGACGTCGCAATGTACGAGTAGATGAAGTTGAAGCCCGCAGCAACGATGCCTATGGCGATACCCAATTCCAAATTGACGAAGACCATGGACAGGAACGTGAACCAAACGATGCCGTACTCGCGCGGGAGGAGCTTGTTGCGCGCGTGGTAGAGCCACTCCAGCATCAGATCAAGACACACGAGCATCTGCAGCGCACCGAAGAATACCTTGGGCACATACGCTATGATGGAGAACGGGCTCAGCACGATGGCAATCTCCAGGAAGAAGACAATGAGACCGACGTAGCGGGTATCGAGCTTGCCACGCAGTGTGAAGATGGTCTGTGAGAAGAGGTACGAGCCCGTGAAGCCGCCACCGAGACCCGACAGCAAGTTGCTGATGCCGACAGTCTGCAGCTCGTGGTTGTGGTCCAGTGGCTTGCCCAGCGCCGTCTCGACAGCGGCCACGTCCAGCGACGACGAGAAGGCCACCACAAAGTACATGGCGATCCAGGTCGGGATCTGGTCAGTCAGGTGAGAGAAGTTGATCTTGGAGAAGTCGTAGAACCCGTAGATCTGCGTAATACTGCGCGGCGACGGAGGCGGCTCGGCCACCCATCCGGCCGCACGCGCTTCATCCAGAGACGTCCCCGTGACCAGCAGCAAGCCGTAGAAGGTGATCAGCATGGCGGCCAGGCAGCAGGGCATCACGGCCATGTGGTCGTAGCGCGAGTTGACCCAGAAGATGATGGTACCAGCAATGACGCCGGGCACGGACAGCACCAACGCGTTCCAGTCGGCGAGCTTGACCCAGTCGGTGGGCTCCTTGATGCTCTCCGTGGTCATCATCGACAGGCCAGCCTCCATGGCGTAGAAGCCGATGAAGGCCAGGTACCCGCCGACCACGGGCATAGGCAGGTACTGCACGAAGCTGGCCAGGCGCAGCTTGCCCGTGACGATGAGCGCCGCGCCCAGCACGGCCGTGGACACGGCCATGGTGAAGAGCGTGGTGGCCAGCACCTCCTCCATGGAGAAGTCGTCGCCCCTCAGCTCGTGCAGCGTCTTGATGATGGACGAGCACATAGCCGAGAGGAAGATGAGGCCCGCGTCCTGCACCTGGCCCATGGCGAAGGGCAGCGAGCTGACGCACGAGAAGCAGATCTGGTGCACGGCCGCCGACACGAGCACGAGCTTGACCAGGTCGTTCATGTAGGGCTGGAACTCCGGGTCTCGGAAGATGATTTGCGCGAAGCTGATCATGAGCGGCACGAGGATCACCGTGTTGAGCACGCCGTAGACGCCGATCTTGATCTTGCGCTGCGTCGGGGTCAGCACGGGCCCGTCCTTGGGGTGCAGCAGCGACGTGTTCTCCTGCACGTCCACGACGATGTCATCCATGGAGGCGGCGGCTACGCCCGCGCGGCGCGGGTGATACGAGTGGCGCGGCGTCTTCATGTGGCCGCCGGCCACGGGCGGCACGCCTCGCATGGAGAGCGGCGTGCTGCCATCGTACGTGCGGCTGAGCGTCCCGGCCGGAGACTCCGGCTGCAGCAGACTTCCGAAGTCGCGCCGGCCCGGAAGAGGCGAGCGGCGCATCCGCGGCGTGCGCGCTGTCGCTCCGGTGGAATCCATCAGCGGAGGCCCTCGAGGTGGCGAGTCCCAGACAGGAGGAGAATCGAAAAGTGTGACGCGGAGCCAGCCGACCACGCACGAGGCCCCGTCTATTGGCGGCAGGGGATGCTCAGCGGCAACAGCAGCTCCGGACGTATGTATGAGAGCAGCACAGCACAGCAGGGCTGGTAAAAGCGGTCGCTGTGACCAGGCCGAGGTATGTTTTGCTCGAGTGTTGATTGCTGAAGTGCAGGCAGGCCGCGCGGTCCGGTCAGCTGGCCGCGGACGCAGAGAGCGACCACGGCGGTGCATTATCCGGGCCCCGGACTCTGCAGCTTCGAGCAGCGTTTGCCTATCGGCCAGCTTGCAAATTTGAAAAATTTATGTGGACTCACTTGTCGGCCATCATGGAGCTCCACGGTCAAATCCTCGAGAGCTCGAGTGGAGCTGCGCTCGCTCGCTCGCTGGGTGGCTGGCTGGCTACTGTACAGACAAGATGTACAGCAGGATAGGGCGGCGATGCACTTCCGGTTCTATCGGACATGGTCTCCGCTCAGCGTGTCCGCCCAAAAAGTCTCGGCCGGCAGCGGACTCCGCTGCCGGCCGAGACTTTTTGGGCGGGGATGCTCCGGTCTCCCTCGAGCTTGGGCTTGGCAGCACCAGGCCTGATCTCATGGAGGCTTTGTCATAGCTGGGGTCACCACGGTGCCCGCGGTTTTGCACTCATCGGCGGAATGGAGGACGTCGTCCATATTGTGCTCTTCAAGATCGATCTGGGCTGCTGGAAGCTCGCAGTCGAGTTTAGTTTGGCCAGTTATCGCTGTGCTTGGAAGACCACAGGGCAACCGCGCGGCTGGGACAGCGGTGCTCGCAATATTTCGTCAGACGGTGAACACCCACGCGATCGGAGAGATGTTCCGCCCTGCTTTTCCGACACTGGAGCTGGAGCTCGCCAACGAATGGCTCGGAGAGCGACAGCAAAAATTCTCGGCGCGCGTGGCGAGGTGATTTGTCTTGCCTGGGACAGTCTCGAGGCCAGCAGCCAGCAACACTCGCGGCGTGCTCGACCGAAGGGGGCGTGCCGACAGCGCCGACGTGGCCGTCAACACACCGGCGCCAAAACACTCTTCCTGATCGTGTTTAACCCCATGGAGAAAATGGAGAGCGGAGCAATAGAGATCGTCGCTATGGTGGTCAACTCGGCCGTTCTCGACCGTTGATTCAGGCAGAAGATCGATCTAAGATCCAAGGGTCGCGGATCCGTGTCAAGTTTGACAAGCATCAGTCTCCGATAGAGTCGCCTCGAGGACATCGAGGCAATGCGTCTTGCACCCTCGGCGCTGGGGCTGCTGATCTTCATGACCACACTCCAACAGATTGAGCCGGCCACGCTGAAATTCAACAGCCACTTGGCAGTGTCGCTCTCCGGCAACGGCACGTCCTTCATCGCGTCGGCGGGGGAGCTGCCCAGCGAGCTGCTCCTGACGCAGTTCGCCGACAAGAGAACCACCAAGAAGAAGGTCAAGAAGAGCGCCGACAGCAACGTGATAGTCGAGGAGGACATGGTCATGTGCTCGCAGGACCCCGCGGCAGTCTACGACGGAGAAATTGACGTCCTCCTGCTGTTCTCCAAGTGCGTCGAGAGCTCAACGCTGGCCACGGTCGAAACGTGGGCACTGGACATGCACAAGATTGTGGAGGACACTGTCAGGTCGTACGATGGCGTGACCCTAACGTTCAAGGCCACGATGGTGTCTGGGAGCTGCTCGAAGTCGGCGTACGGCACTGCGGCCGAGGTCACTGGAGACGACTTGGATCGGGCCGCTGCACTCCCGGGTCTGGGCGACGTCTACCCCCTCGACTCGGTAACAAGCGCAACTGACGGCTTCACTGCGGTCATCTCCTTCGCGACGGACGAAACTTCGTACAACGAGATCTTGTCGTTCGAGAACGTCAACCAGATCGCCAACGTGGTCAACTTTCAGCTGAGCGGCAGCAGCGAGAACTGCGAAGGCGGGTCGGAGAGCTGCATCGAGCTGAAAGAGGACGACGACCTCTTCATGTACAACCCGTTCACTGTCACCCAGTCGCTCAACTGCGCGGACCTCGAGAACGGCGTCCCGGTCACACTCGTCGGCGACGATGGCACCCGCCAGTGCTTCTGTGGCTGTCCTGCTGGCTACGAAATGAAGACGAAGGGGAGCGATAAAGCGTGTGTAAAAGTCGGGAGTGCCTCGACCTGTGTGTGGAGCAAGGTGAGCGGCTTCAAGCACCAGGTGAACACCAAGTCCAGCGTCTGCACATTCGACCACGTCGTGGACAAGTGGGGGATCCCGCTGCCCCTCCCGACCAGCGGGTATGGTTCCAGTAAGCTGTTGCTGCTTGCGGATGCCTCGCTGGACCCACGCATCCGCGTGTCTGCAGTGAAGAAGCAAGACCCAGAGTACTACGCAGGCTTCCTCATCCCTATCCTCAGCAGCGTTCAATCGTCTTGGCCCCTAAAGTTTTCAGAGGTAGTGGCAAAAACTCCGAGCGCAGCAAAGTTTGACCCAATGTATTCAAGCGGGGACGATCTCCCCATACACGACGCTGCCAAGACTTGGAAAGACTACCAGTCCAACCGAGCTGAAGCCGTGAACAGTATCGTTTTCAAGGACTACGGCAAGTACCGACTGGAGATGGATGCGTACGACTACTACTCCAGCGCTTCATGCGCTGGGTGTATCGCTATCCTAGATAACTATCGGCCTCGAGCTGCCACGAAGTGTCCGTCTAGCTTCTGTGACTCGGTGTCAGGTACCGCTGATTGTGGATGCACGGCCGAGCTAACGCTCGACAACATGGCCAAGGCAAACGGACTGATCCAACAGTACATCGACTTCGGGGAGCAAGCCGAGAACGACGGCTGCAGCGGGAACAACCGCTGCGACTTGCACCAGTTCACCAAGAAGAATTTCTTCGAATCCAAGTACACTCGCTATTCGCACGACGAGAGTATCTCGTGCTTCGACCCGGACTTGGTCCTCGGCGATATCCTGTATCACGAGAAGATGGCCGTAAATCCGCTGAAAAAGACTGACGGCACATGCCACGACGTCGTGAAGCCCGTGCCGGCGGGTCAATGCACGCGCTGCTGCAAAATGTCGACTGCGCTGCGGGAGTTCTGGACGGATTATCGGTGTGGATCTGACTACGATGCGCGGTATTGCGAGGGTGACAGCGATCAGACGTGTACATTTGAGCAGTGCCTGGTGGTTAATGGCGACACGCTGGCAACTGTCACCGCTCGGATCAAACCCGGTATCGCTGACGAGTCCAAGAAAGTTTTGCAGCAGCTGCACGAGGAAGACTACCAGACTGTGACCCAAGTGCACCGTGCACTCGAGTGTACGTCGTACTACGGCGACGACGGCCAATGCGTGTACATGGCGAAGCTTTCCGAGCTTATCGAGACGACGCAGACTTTGAACTTCGAGGGAGATCTCGATCTCAACAGCTTCGTCCATTGGCGCTTCAAAGTGAACGGCGACTCGGAGAAGTGGCAGCTGTGGAAGACCAGGCGCCAAACGAGCGCTGAAACCGGGTGCCACTGGGCGACCTGCGAAGCTGTGTACGACAACGATGCGGTGCTGACGTTCTCCGACCCCGAGACGAAGATATCGATCGAGGCGTGGACGCAGTGTGGACTGGTGCGCAGTTTCTTCTTCTACGTGCATCTACACGTGAACAGTGCCGTGGATGTGTGCAAACACTTCGACGAGATGTGGTACCAGACGTCCGTCTCACGACTCCCGATCGCAGCGCAAATGTGCGCGTACCCTGGCAGCGACTTCGCTGAGTTGACGTTTGATTTTCACCCGAACGTTGGCCTCCAATACTCGCGCACTCAGTTGGGGATGAAGGTGTCCGAGGTTGTTTGTACCGGAACGTTGGAGAACCGCACTCCAGTTGAAATCCTCAAGGTGACGAAAGACTCGCCTGAGATCGTAACGCGCTTCGGCGTGGAGATACTGCACGCTCCGAGTACCGAGGCGCTCACGAACTTCGATGTATCGTGCGACTTCACGTACCTGGATTACTCAGGGACTGCTCATGCGAAGACGTGCGGTCGGTCGTTCTCTATTGCCGACTGCAAAGGCCCGCAGTTCGATTTACCGAACGCAGAGTGCGAGTTCGACGCATGCGCGGGCAAAGCCAATGCTGGCTTGTACGAGGCATGCGGTGGGAAGATCATCAGGAGCACGGAGACCAGCACCTACGTGGATTCGGGCGAGAAAGAGTGCTGCCAAGGCTGCGCACATACGAAGGTTGTGTGCACGGGGCTGATGGATGTACCCGAGACGGATGCCGAGCTCATGCGTTGTGAACCTGCGGGTGTCAACGGGGCTTACGGAAACTATTACTTCCCCGTCTCCTTGCTCGCCCAGGTCACACATAACCACGCTGTCGCCATGTTGCTGCTGAGCGGTGGGGCGGTGGCTGTTGCGACCACACTCGTAGCTCTTCGCCGCCGCAGAACTGCTATAAGTTCTGCGCAGTTTGACTACGACGCGTACCTGCCGCTGCTGTCCTAGGGTACATCAATTTGAAGAGAGAGATTGCTTCAGAATGGACAACTATATCGTGAATCACGACCTGCACTACAGTACAAAAAAACTATCAAGCTCGTACTTGCGAGTTATTTGGAACGCCCACTTCAAGCTCAGTTCAGGGCCGGGTAGATGTACTCGTCGTACACGGGTGCCCATTTGCAGTACTTCTCGTCGAGGCACCAGCAGCTGTGAGTGACATTGGGAGCGACGTGCAGGAAGAGTCCTCCGCGCTCATCCATCGTGCGCCGTCCTCTTGGTACTCCAGCGTCTCAGTCATGTTGACAGCGGTCATGTTCATGAAGCTCGTCTCGATCTCGTCGATTGTGTCCACCTCGGAGTAGCGACCGAAGATGCAGCTCTCCCACGGCATGATGGCGTCGTCAACTGGCGAGGCGAAGAAGTGCGCCTCCTCCAGCTTGAGGAAGTTGGCCCGACGGCGCTGCTGGTCGCTGATGCACTGGTCGTTGCCCGGAAGGCACGGGTTCACGTTGTTGTACACGGGCAAGAACTTGTTCGTGGTGGACCAACTGCCGAACTGCGGCCAGCGCTGGACGTTGAACTGCGCGTACTCGTACTGCGTGTCCGGGTTTTCGATCGAGAAGAGGGTGAAGTCCTTCTGCATCTTGCCGTAGTAGTCTTCCGGTGTGTACGCGGAGTAGTTGAACACCCGCTCCGGGACGATACTGGTCAGAGAGGGAGCACCTTTTTCAATGGCGATGTCGATGGCGTGGGGGCCGATGAACTGGCCGTTCTGGAGGCCGGCGAGACTGATGAAGCGCTTGGCCTTGTGGTCGTCCATTTCCTCGATCGTGGCTCGGGCGATAGGACCACCGAGCGAGTGGCCGATGATGATGTAGCCGTCGTCGAAGGCCGGATTGGTCGCCACAACTTCGCGCACAGCCTTCACGGCCGCAGGAACTTGCGTCAGGAGCGACTCGATGGAGCACTGACCGTCACAAAATGACAGCGCCACGTACTCTCGGCCTTCAGCGGTCAGATTCGCCTCGAAGTTGTGGCCGAACTCCCACGTCGTGAAGACTCCGTGGAAGAAGATGACAGGGAGCTTCGATGATGGCTCGGCGAGGCCCAGCAGGACCACTGCACTCGACAGAAGCAAGGACAGGGAGCGAACCATGACGAAAAGTGGCCAAGAACTTGGGGTGGTGAAAGTGACATTAGGGCACAACAGCCCATGGGCAAGGTGACACAACGATTCGTAGAGGCAGGTGGCGGGCCAACGATATCTTGTGGTTGTTTGTACCTGACGCGTAAGCATGGTTTTGCGTAAACTAGCTAGCAACCTCCCAAGTCGGTAGGGCCTGGGATCGTTGCCAACTCAAGCAGGTAGAACCAGTGCCTTTGAGCGATTGCCGCCTTCATGGCACTCTTCGCTCATGACTAAAAACTTAGGCAGCCCATGGTGGCGAAAGCGTTGGGAGCTTCGGCGAGGTTAGTTGGGGGTCTTCATCGATGGCAATCTTCTTGCAATCGGTCACTTCAACTTGAGCCTGTTCTATGGTCGACACCCAGGCACACCACATTTACACAATTCTGCGCTGATCGTGCCAATCAGCAAGTCAAAGTCAATGGCGGCGGCAGCGGAAGCCGAGGCGGCCGAGGCCGCGGCCCCGGCCGGGCCACCGCGCACAGCTTCTCCCTCTGACGCAGACGCTTCGGGCCATGTGCTGGCCACTGTGAGCGTCCCCACGGACGCGCCGGCCGACTCGGACGAGGAGGAGGTGACCACGGCCGAGTTCTCCGTGGACCTGGCGGACGGCCAGACGTGGGCCATCAACTTCTACGAGTGCGCGGCCGAGGGCGACCTCGAGTGCCTTGAGGAGATCCTGGACAGCGGCCGCGTGGGCGTCAACGACGTGGACGTGGACGGCTTCACGGCCCTCATGGTGGCCGCGGCCGAGGGCCATCGCGACGTGGTGCGTGCACTGCTACGACGCGGCGCGGACGTGGGCGTCCGCACGCACGAGCTCCGGTCCACGGCCCTGCACTTCGCTGCAAAGGTAGAAAAAGCGTAATTGCTAGTGAAGATATGATGAAAAGAAAAGCTCATATTATATGATTTTTGTTGTAGAATGGGGACGCGGAGATCGTGGCCGCGCTGTGCGAGTGCGACGCGGCCGTGGTGGACTGCTGGAACGTGAACGCGGACACGCCGCTGATCTGGGCGTGCATTGAAGGGCGGGCTGAGGCCGTGAAGGTGTTGCTAAAGCACGGCGCGGACGTCAACATGCTGAATCAGTACGGCGCGTCGACGCTGCTGTGCGCTGTGATGATCGGAGAGGACCCGGAGCAGGACGCGGAGAGTGACAAACGGCGGGCTGAAATAGTGAGTATGCTGCTGGAGAAGAACGGCGAGCTCGTGAACTTCCAGGACAGGGAGGGGAGCACGGCCATGCACTTGGCCGCGTCCTGCGGATACCTGGAGTGCGTCAAGACGCTGCTGAAGTTTGGGGCCGATATCACGTTGAGAAATGCGATCGGCCAGACACCGCTAGAAGAAGCGCAGGACTCGGAGCTGCGTGAGAGCGGCCCGTGTGTGGAGCACCTTCGAGGCATCTGGAGACAGCTTGAAGAGGAGGCAGCGGCCCGTATGATGGCCATGCTAGAGATGGAGGAGGAGGCGGACAAAAATGCCGTCGGCGCGACTGGAACTGGCAATGCGACGGGTAGCAAGAAGAGCAAAAAGAAGAACAAGAAAGCCAAACGCAAGGCGGCGAAGCAGCAGCATCAACTGCAACAGCAGGAGCCTGAGCAGGATCAGGGCCCCGTCAATATTGACAAACCTGCTGAAGCGGAGGCTGCTATCGAGGAACCTAGCAGCGCCGAACCTGATCTCGGCATTTCAGCAGTGAGCAGTAACGCACCTGATGCGACGGCTGACGATGTAAGCGTAGCTAGTTCAGATGAGGAAGACGACGCGTCGATGCGTGCTTCATGCGTGTCCATCGTTCATAGCGACGAAGAGAAAGCGGAGACGACTCAAGCACCGGACACCAAAGATGCTGACCCGGATGAAGCTGCACCTTCGGCTGGTGCGTGGACGACGGTGGGCAAGAAGCATCGGTCTCCTGTTGCTGCAGTCCCCAGCAGCTCGCCCAAGGAAAACAACTCACCCAAGCAGGAAAAGGCCTCGCTACCGACACCTACTCGGCGGAAGTCGGCTGCTAGTTCTCCCCCGAAACCAGCCCCGCAAAATCCTCGGCGAAAGTTCAACCAACGACCGAGCAATGTTCGAGACCGACTTTCGATCGGTGGACGGACGAACCAGACGCCAGCAACGTCCGCTACATCTTCCACAGGAAAGGAAGTGCGTGCTGTTGCACACACATCCGCCAGGGCCCAAGAGGAACGCTGGGAAAAGTCTAGTGGCTTTATTCCCACTAGTCGTACTCCTCGGTCAATCGCGTCGTCGTCGCTACTGAACCCGAATGCGCTGGCGTTCCGCTCGCTGGGACTGTCCACTGTGTCAACTAGTGCGGCAAGTGTGTTGTCCTCGGCGACCACGATTACTTCGAGCGGGCTGCCGTTTTCGTCTGCATCCCCATGGCGACCGGGCTTTGGTTCTTCTCCTTCAATGGGCCCGTACGCTGCAGCTTCTTCATCGTCGGCTGGTCTGCATTACTCTTCGGCTGGACGACTCACCTGGAAGCAGCAGCGTGCCAGCGGTAACCACCAAGTAGCACGCGAGGCTCGGGATCGATGGGTGAGCAAGCTGCGGCTCAGCAACGAGAACGTGGCCGAGACGCTGGGGTATCTGGCCTGCGGTCTATGTGGTGAACTCGTGAACGATAACTTGCAGTGCAGTGGTGGTGCGTCCGGAAGTGCTGACGAGAACACCTCCTCCGCGTGTACACAACTGTACTGCGCGTCATGCCTGCAGTCTTCGGCGTTCCGGACGGCTGATTTGACCATGTTTAAGTGCGTCAGGTGCCACGAAGTGATCTCAAAGGAGTCCATGAAGCGCAATAGTCTAGCACAAGCTCAAGCCGCAGCTCTGGGTCTCTCCATGTCGAGCTCGGCTGCAAGTGGGGCACAGGACGAGTCGACTCGTTATTCCCTCGAGGACATGCAGTATGCCCTGGAAGCCTCGGAGCCTCGGGCCACTGCCGTAGACCTGCGTGCAGTCCACTTGGTTCCAGGGACGGACCTCAGCACGCTGAGCAACGGCCAGCTCGAAGTGCTGGAAAGCGCCCACCACCTTGCTCTCGCACAGATTGTGGAACAGCGTCTTGCAAACGCGCGTGCGCTCGAGCGTCTGCAAATGGAGGAATGGCTGAAGATGCAGCGAGACGTACTGCAGTTTGCCCCGCGGTGATGGCATAACATAGAATAGATAGATACTCTTTGCTTTGTATTGTATCTCTTTCCCCAAACAACAATCGATTCTACTGTAGTCTCTCAAGTAACAACACGAATGAGACCTCTTACGCACGGCGTGCTGGCGGGTAATCGTCATAGTACATGTCGTCACCGTCGCCGGTGAGGTAGTCGTCCTCTTCGTCTTCGCGACAGAGTTCCTGCAGCATGCGAAGCTGCCTCTCGGCCCGCTCACGCTGCATTGCGGCCGTCTTCTCGTGGACTTTGTCCAACAGGTACCGGAAGGCTACCACGAACCAGTCGCGCTGCTGCTCGTTGACGGCCTCAATGTCCAGTGTACGCAGCGCGGTCACGAGCGAGAAGCAGTGGGCCGCCTTGGCCGGCGACACCATTCCTGCTGCTCTCGCTCTTGCAAAGACCGGTGTGTGGTGGCCTTCCTGGACTGAAATGATCTCGTCAAGCTGCAGCGAATCTCCACTTCGCCCAAGCCACGACACCTCTCCGAAGCGGTCCACGAACACCCGAGTCTTGTGCGGCCGGCCCTTGCGGCCGTACTTCCACACGGGCAACGTCTCCATTCTCTTCATGATCGTGAGCTCCACTTGCTGCGCCACGCGTCGCTCGTGATCCCGCGCAAGGTCCACAAGAAACTCCAGGCTGCGCTGAAGCCACTCCCTCTCCTCGGCATTCTTGGCCTTCAAATCCAGCGTTCGCGTATGCGTCACCACCGACAGCGTACAGGTCGCGTCGTCCAGCACCAGCGTGCCTTTGTGCAGTGCCCGGGCCAAGACGCTCGTAGTTGGGCCGGAGGTGACGCGCAGGATACTGGCGAGAGGGATGGCGTTCTTGGCCTTGACGCGCTTCTTACCCATGGTCGTCGTAGCGGCCACGCCGTCCACCGCGATGTGCGTCGCGTGGGCCAGCAGCTTGGACGTCCACCGCAACGTGTCGCCGTTCTCCACGCACAAGTTTGTGGCGTGCGGCTTGCCCTTGCGTCCATACTTGACCACACTCGTGCCGGCCACACACTGCAGGGCCACGCGATACTCCGTCATCTTGCGTTGCAGCGTCAGATCCGATCTCTTCTGCTGCTCCAGGCGCGCGTGGGCCGCGCCCTGCACGTGAGCGCAGATGGCCCACTTGACCGAGATGGCCGTGCGCAGCGTGACGCGCTTCTGCTTGCGCGCGTTGTGCACGATCTGGAGGAAGTAGGCGGCCCACTTGGTTGCGCGGATCTCGAACTCGAGCGACGCGATGAGGCCGCGCATGTACCTCTTGGAGGCTTTGGGGCTCACCACGTTGCAGGTGACGCGCACGTCGGCCGTCAGGTCTCTCGGGAAGCACGACAGGAATTCATCCACGGAGCTCTCGCGCCACATCTCGCGCGGCTGGAAGCTGGACGGAGAGGACAAGGCGCTGGCCTCCTGGTAGGACGACTCCGAGTCGGTGGATGACGAGTCCAGCGACGACGACCGCCGTCGACGGGCCAGGTCGTCGTGGTCTCTGCTAATGGCCAGGCCGATGAAGTTCTGTCGGCGCTCCCGTCGGAGCGAGGACCCGGACGATCTCGAGCTGGAGGCGGACGACGACTCGGACGACGACCTGGTCGAGTACTGCAGCGACGACGAGCGCGACGAGCGCTGCGGGAACACGCCGACGCACGAGGGCGGCGACCCAGAGCCCGATCCTGAAGCTGAAGTTGCTGAGCTGGACGCGTCACGCGCGACTCGCACGGCCAGCTGGACGTTGGCCCGGCCGCCCGGGGACTGGCGTAGTCTCACATTGGCGTGCGGCGAGCCGGGCGCGTCGTCGCCGTCGTCGTTGTTGTCCTCCGCGCCGCTGAAGCTGCGACTGCGGCTGCGGCTCCTCTGCTTGGGCCGCTTGTGCTTGGTCTTGATGCGCAGGTGGCGCCGCTTGTCCTGCTGCTCGGGAACCTGCGCGTCCTGCTTCCTGTGCGAGAAGAAGGCCAGCAGCCGAGACGCTGACGAGGAAGAGGACGAAGACGACGAAGCGGCCGCCCCGGACTCGGCCGCCTTGGCCCGCCGGCTGAGGCCCATGAGAGCAGCTAGCTAGCTAGCTAGTGAATTACGATCACACTACACACGCGCGCACGTGCCCCCTGGAGCGCAAATGGCAGAGTGAACTGGGCCTGAAGCCTTCCAGTCAGCGTGTGTACGTTTCAGTCGCTGGCCCTTCCATGGAGCCCCGCCAAGTTCAGGGAGAGCGAGGGAGGAAACGGTGGCACTCACTTGGTGCATTAGTGTTCAGCGGCCTTGCGGCCTGGCCTGGTCTCTGCAGGATGCCATCGACCAGCCGGCCAGCACAATAATTGAGGAGTGAGCTGGTGGCAGGATTCTCCTGGCCGGAGCTGGCCACCTCGGGCGCCAGCGATAATAGACGAGGCCTCGGGCCGGCAATCGCGCAGCTCTCTCGATGCTCTCTCCATCGGGCCAGAATGGGATCCGTTGCCGGGTTCGAACAGGGTCGAACACGGGTCAAGGCCCAGTCGCTCGCCATCGGCCACGTTAGTTAACGCGGACGAGCTGTCAGCGAGCGACGGAAGAGCAAGCCTCGAAGGGGGCAGCTAAGTCGGTGGTGGCCTGCAACCCTATGCAGCACGTGACTCCCGACACCACCAAGGTCACACGCGTTTTGGTGCCTCAGTGGTTCGTTACGAGGGCCGCCCTACAACTTAAGTTGAACGGCCAGGTCCTGCGATGATGATGAAACGGCAAGGAGTTCCCCACCGACCGACTCCATAAGGACCCTCCCCAAACTACACCCCCACTCCGTCCATCAAGGGCGCGGAATGCCTGCCGGGCCGGCAGGGGTAGATGGCGAACGCTCCTCGGGTCGGGGCGATCCTGGCAGCGAACGGCCAGAGCCTGCAGGGCCGATCGGCTGTCGGCGCCGAGTGGGCCCTCTTTTGGCTGTCGAGGGAGAACCGCGTCCGCCGAGCGTGCACTCGAGTCATCTCCCACGTCTACTTCGAGCGGTTCATCCTCGCGTGCATCGCGCTCAACTCCATCGTGCTGGCGCTCGTGGACTTCTCGGTCGTGGACGACAAGCTCAATCCGGTGAGCCACGGCAAGAGATTCGAGGACGGCCAGGTCGTGGACGCGTACTCCATGGCCAACCACACGGTGGAGATCGTCGAGCACGTGCTCACGACCATCTTCACGACCGAGTGCATCCTGAAGGTCGTCGCGTTGGGCTTCACCGGCAAGGGGTCGTACTCTCGAGACACATGGAATGTCATCGCCTTCATCATGCTCTTCTCCAGGTAAGTAACTCGTATTTCCACCCTGATGTATCGAGGATATTCACCCTGGTATTTCTTCTTCTCGTAGCTTTGTCGCTGAGATCCCGGATATGCCGAATATCTCGGAGCTGCGGACGATTCGCGTCCTGCGCCCACTGCGATCGTTGTCGGCGTTTCCGGGGATGAGGCGCTTGGTGTCGGCTCTCCTCAACTCCCTCCCAGCTCTTCGCAGCGTGGTGGGTCTGCAGATTTTTGTCTTCGTCGTCTTTGGGATACTCGGAATTCAGCTTTTTGGTGGCCGATTGGGCCGCGTGTGTCGGTTAACCGAGTTCCCCGTCAAACTTCCAGCTGGCGACCCACTCGCGTGGCCTGTACCGAATGACTACCTCCAACAGGTTCTTGCTAACCCGTCAGCCTTTCGATGTCTCGACGCTCCGTTGCTGGACTACACCGACAGCACACCCGGGTACAGCAAGGAGACGTCTCCATGGCGAATACCTCAAGACTGCTTCTGGCCCGTTCATTACTCGGATGGTTTACTATGCGCTGACATGTACCACACCGGGGGACATCACTGCCCCGCAGGGTATACCTGTGGCTCCAACTACGACGCGTTCGGGAACCCTCGCTTCGTCAACGACAGAGCGATGCAAGACGCGTTGCATACCGATAGATTGAACTGGGGGTACACTACTTACGACAACATTGGAAGGGCGTTGCTGACTATTTTCCAGTGTGTCACGGAGGAAGGCTGGACGCTGGTGATGTACATGACGATGGATGCGTCGCACCCGATCGTCGGTGCGTGCTTTGCCGTCTCTCTCATCGTTTTCGCGTCCTACTTCGTGATGAACTTGACTATCGCTGTGATCAGTGACGAGTTCAAGAGTGACAAACCAGGAAGAAGGGCCTCTGTGAGCAGAGTGAGTCTAACGTGGAGTACGAAGAGACTTATTACCGATAGCGGAGCTCAGCTCGAAGCAGGAACACCGCTGTACCGCATCGTGACGCACAAATATTTCTCCGAGTTTATCACGGTTGTCATCTTTGCTAACACGGTGGTTCTGTCGCTCGATCACTATCCAATGTCCCATGCGATGGACACAAACCTTGAGCTGGCGCACTTTGTTTTTCTATGCATATTCGTGGTGGAGATGTTGCTGAAGCTTGGTGGACTTGGATTTCGGAAGTACATCCGAGACAAATTCAACATTTTCGACGCCATCATCGTGCTGGCAGATCTGATTGAGGCTGCGATTGTACCGCCTTCGTTCCTGCGCTCTACGCATACTACTTCACAGACGGGATCGATCTCACTATTGAGAGCTTTCCGCCTCTTTCGCATCTTTGAACTTGCTCGCGACTGGAAATCGCTGCGGAATCTGCTCCAAATGATCGCTACAACAGTGGCCAGTATCGGAAACTTCGGGGTGCTGCTTTTTCTATTCGTCTACATATTTGCACTGATGGGAATGCAGGTACAGTCGTACGATTTTCTTCTAAATAGCTATGAAGTTCTTCACGCTTGGTTTGTATGTGCAGTTTTTCGGCAACACCATGCGATTCGACAAGTTCGGATATCCTACACCTCGAAATGTTGATGACTTCTGGAGTGGAACGGTAAGTGATCTATCAACTACGTAGATTGTTTTTGATTATTTTATTTTATTTCTTTCACTATGCAGGTTCCTCGTAGCAACTTCGATACATTACCGTGGGCGATTGCAACGGTGTTTCAGATCATCACGGGGGATAGCTGGAGTACCGTCCTGTACGATACAATGCGCGGTAATGACATGGCGGCAAGTGTCTACTTCATCGTACTGGTAAGGAGTCTTCAGATTCTAGTAGTTCTTAGCCCTTCTCCCTCCTCATCAACGCGCAATGACTGACTGACCTAAAGCAGGTGATTCTGGGTGATTTCATCTTGATGAATCTGTTTCTAGCTCTGCTCTTAGACAACTTCGAAGCTGCGGCAGAAGGGGTCCTATTGCACGACGACAGAAAGAAACCCAGCCCCTTGGCCAAGACGCTATCGATTCGAACTGTAAAAGTGTCCCCCGCATCAACCAAGAGACGACCGTCCGGAACTCACGACATGCTGGCCCGGTCTCTCAAGTCAGCCACACGACGGCAGTCGACGCTTGAAGAAAGAGCTCTATGCGATCTCTCACCCGAGCAAGGCCCCGTGGAAGCTACACCGAGTCACGATGGGGATCAGAGCTCAAACCATGTGAGCGAGCCGAGCTACCGCCAATTGAAGAAGTTGCTGAGTGTACCCCTTCACTCATCGCATGGCCCCGATATCGATCACCTCAAGCCTGCAGAGCTGCCAAAGCTCCGAGTATTCTGTGAGAGATCACTCTACCTCTTTGGACCAAAGAGCAAGATCCGCCAGTGGGCTGCTCAACTCTCGACCCACCCAACCTTCCACGCCGTCATGTTTGCCTTCATCGCCGCGTCTTCCATCGTCCTAGCGCTGGAGAACCCTCTTCACGACCCCGAGTCGCTGCTGGCCAGAGTTCTGCTGACGCTCGACAAGGTGTTCGCGGTGGTCTTCCTCTTCGAGATGGCCGTCAAGGTCGTGTCGCTGGGCTTGGTCCTGAACGAGGGCGCGTACTTGAGAGATCCGTGGAATGCCATCGACGCGTTCGTCGCGGTCTCGTCGACCGTGGCGCTCTTTGCTCGGGTGTCGACGACCAACGGCAGTATCAAGGCGCTGCTGTCGCTGAGAGACCTGCGCTCGCTGCGTCCGCTGCGTATGATCAGCCGTCGGCCGGGTCTGAAGCTGGTCGTGAGCGCGCTGGTCGAGTCGATCCCGGCGGTGCTGAACGTGGTCTTCCTGTCCATGATCCTGTTCCTGCTCTTCAGCATCGCCGCCGTCAACTTCCTCAAGGGCACGTTCCGCGCGTGCAGCGGGGACGTGTTCAACGCGCTGTCGGCCGAGCAGAAGGCGCTTCTGGTGTCGCCCGCGCCTTGGGACGCGCTGTCGGACGTCCAACGCAGCTGGTTCAGCGGCTCCGTGTGCGAAGGCTTCCGGACCGAAGACCTGACGTCGCAGTACGTGTGCGAGTGCTGGGGGGCGACGTGGAAGCCCGTGCTGTCCAAGAACTTCGACAACGTGGGGTCGGCCATGCTGACGTTCTTCATCCTGTCGACCTCCGAGAACTGGTCGGAGATCATGAAGGCCGCGTGCGACGCCACGCGCCCCGGCATGCAGCCAATTGCCAACAATAATGAGCTGTGGATCGTCTTCTTCATCGTGTTCATGGTCGTGGGCAGCTTCTTCGTCATGAACGTCTTCGTGGGGGTCATCATCGACAACTTCAACACGATGAAGGCCAAGCTGGGCGGGGACTTCCTGCTCACGCCCGAGCAGAAGAAGTGGATGGAGGCGCAGAAGTCGGCCACGCGCATCGGGCCGATCCGCATCCTCAAACCGCCGCCGCTGAGCGTGCGCCGCCTGTGCTTCACGGTCGTGCGCACGCACTACTTCGAGGGGTTCATCATGAGCTGCATCCTGGTCAACACGCTGCTCATGGGGGCCCACCACTTCGGCGAGTCGACGTCGCAGCTGCGGGCCACGACCGTCGTGAGCGACCTGAGTACGAGCGTGTTCGCGGCCGAGGCGGCCATGAAGCTGCTGGCGTACGGCAGCGCGTACTTCGAGGACCGGTGGAACCAGTTCGACTTTGTCGTGGTGGTTGGGACGCTCGTGGGCACCATCGTGCAGGCGATCGCGTCAAGCTCCGTGTGGTCGCTCACGATGGTGGTGCGGCTCATCCGCGTGGCGCGCATCTTCCGGCTGGTGGAGTCTTCGAGCAGCATCCGCGCGATCCTGTCGACGCTGTACATTTCGCTGCCGGGGCTCAGCAACATCACGTCCATCCTGTTCCTGATCCTGTTCGTGTACTCGACCATGGGCGTGCATCTGTTCGCCAAGGTGGCCATGACGAGCAACATCGACGCGCACGCCAACTTCCAGAGCTTCGGGCGGGGCTTCCTCTTCCTGCTGCGCGCCGCGACGGGCGAGTCGTGGGACCACAGCATGTACGACCTGGCGGCCAGCAGTCCGGGCTGCGTGAGCGACCCGCCGTACGACCCGCGCATGTGCGGCTTCAGCGACGCCGAGGACTGCGTGCCGCTGAGCGGCTGCGGGAACCCCGTGGCGTACATTTTCTTCTGCTCGTTCACACTGATCGTGGCGTACGTGATGCTGAACCTGACGGTGGCGGTGGTGCTCGAGAGCTTCGCGACGTCGCAGGAAGAGGAGGAGGAGTCGATCCTCGTGCCCGAGCTGCTGGAGGGTTTCCAGTACAAGTGGGCGGCGCTGGACCCGACGGCCACGGGCTTCATCCGGGTGGACAAGATGCTGCCGCTGGTGCACGCGGTCATGCCGCCGCTGGGGTGGTTCGGCATCCCAATGACGATGTCCCATTTCTTCCGATACATGCGTACGCACTTCGAGTGTCTAGACTTGGAGTATGTTTGCATCCCGTACTGACACTTGCCCTCCTGTGTTGCTGGCTTTGGTGGGTTTAGGCGCACTGCAGTTGCCTCTGTATGAAGGCGAGGTGGTGCATTTCCGCGATGTCATGCTGGCCATGACAAGGGAAATGATGAACAAGGTTCGTGACTTGTGTCTGCTTTCTGAAGTACCAGCTTCTAATACGTGTTTCTTACTAGGAAGATGGGAGGACGTTCGCCAACAACGGCATGGATAGTTACGGTGATCTGCATGCTGGTAAATCCAAGTCGAAACGGTTTGCACACGAGTATTTTGCTGCGCGGCGCATTCAGCGAGGCGTGACGCAGTGGCTGCTGACCAAGCGGCGACTGGAAAAGGAGTACATGCTCGAGTACATTCGCAAGGTGAAAAGGCCCAACATCCGTCCAAAGAAGCAGTGCGGGGCACGCGTCCACACCATCATGGAAGAGGCCCCACCTACGCTGTCACATTTCGCTACAAAGTAGGCAGGCCCTTGCCACCGCTAACGAGAACTTCGAGCAGGGTGGCGAGGCAACAGCGAGTAGAGTACGCGAATGCACTCAATAATACTTACTCCTGTTATATACAACTAACCTATCCTTCAACACGAACACGTTCGTCATGAACGAACTGTTCAACGTATTCAACTCGCTGCGGAGGTGAAGGAATCGCTTCAAAGGAGGCACTTGGGCCTTCTCTCACCGCAGCGAGCACCAGGTTCCCGCTGTGCTTCTTTTTGAGTTTTCTTAATCGCTTCGTTGACCTTTTCAGCTTTCGGGCCGACTCCTTCGTTTTTGGCTGTCGCTGTCTCGCCAGCCAGTTCGACACGCGACGCTGCAGGTAGATGGCGGCAAAGTACTCGTGGCCGTAGAACCCCGTGAATCGGCGACTCGACGCTCCCCCAACTCTCTTCTTGTTGATATCGCTAAGTGGCTCCTCATCCAGAGTCCAGTTGTTTATCTAACGACAAGAAATAATAACTTAGCGACCAAGACTAACACTGCAGAATCGCGATCGGGTGAACGTACCACATTGATCATTTCCCTCGTCATGGCTAGTATCACATCGCGGAAATGCACCACCTCACCTTCATACAGAGGCAACTGCAGCGCACCTAGAACCACCAAAGCCAGCAACACAGGAGGGCAAGTGTCAGTACGGGATGCAAACATACTCCAAGTCTAGACACTCGAAGTGCGTACGCATGTATCGGAAGAAATGGGACATCGTCATTGGGATGCCGAACCACCCCAGCGGCGGCATGACCGCGTGCACCAGCGGCAGCATCTTGTCCACCCGGATGAAGCCCGTGGCCGTCGGGTCCAGCGCCGCCCACTTGTACTGGAAACCCTCCAGCAGCTCGGGCACGAGGATCGACTCCTCCTCCTCTTCCTGCGACGTCGCGAAGCTCTCGAGCACCACCGCCACCGTCAGGTTCAGCATCACGTACGCCACGATCAGTGTGAACGAGCAGAAGAAAATGTACGCCACGGGGTTCCCGCAGCCGCTCAGCGGCACGCAGTCCTCGGCGTCGCTGAAGCCGCACATGCGCGGGTCGTACGGCGGGTCGCTCACGCAGCCCGGACTGCTGGCCGCCAGGTCGTACATGCTGTGGTCCCACGACTCGCCCGTCGCGGCGCGCAGCAGGAAGAGGAAGCCCCGCCCGAAGCTCTGGAAGTTGGCGTGCGCGTCGATGTTGCTCGTCATGGCCACCTTGGCGAACAGATGCACGCCCATGGTCGAGTACACGAACAGGATCAGGAACAGGATGGACGTGATGTTGCTGAGCCCCGGCAGCGAAATGTACAGCGTCGACAGGATCGCGCGGATGCTGCTCGAAGACTCCACCAGCCGGAAGATGCGCGCCACGCGGATGAGCCGCACCACCATCGTGAGCGACCACACGGAGCTTGACGCGATCGCCTGCACGATGGTGCCCACGAGCGTCCCAACCACCACGACAAAGTCGAACTGGTTCCACCGGTCCTCGAAGTACGCGCTGCCGTACGCCAGCAGCTTCATGGCCGCCTCGGCCGCGAACACGCTCGTACTCAGGTCGCTCACGACGGTCGTGGCCCGCAGCTGCGACGTCGACTCGCCGAAGTGGTGGGCCCCCATGAGCAGCGTGTTGACCAGGATGCAGCTCATGATGAACCCCTCGAAGTAGTGCGTGCGCACGACCGTGAAGCACAGGCGGCGCACGCTCAGCGGCGGCGGTTTGAGGATGCGGATCGGCCCGATGCGCGTGGCCGACTTCTGCGCCTCCATCCACTTCTTCTGCTCGGGCGTGAGCAGGAAGTCCCCGCCCAGCTTGGCCTTCATCGTGTTGAAGTTGTCGATGATGACCCCCACGAAGACGTTCATGACGAAGAAGCTGCCCACGACCATGAACACGATGAAGAAGACGATCCACAGCTCATTATTGTTGGCAATTGGCTGCATGCCGGGGCGCGTGGCGTCGCACGCGGCCTTCATGATCTCCGACCAGTTCTCGGAGGTCGACAGGATGAAGAACGTCAGCATGGCCGACCCCACGTTGTCGAAGTTCTTGGACAGCACGGGCTTCCACGTCGCCCCCCAGCACTCGCACACGTACTGCGACGTCAGGTCTTCGGTCCGGAAGCCTTCGCACACGGAGCCGCTGAACCAGCTGCGTTGGACGTCCGACAGCGCGTCCCAAGGCGCGGGCGACACCAGAAGCGCCTTCTGCTCGGCCGACAGCGCGTTGAACACGTCCCCGCTGCACGCGCGGAACGTGCCCTTGAGGAAGTTGACGGCGGCGATGCTGAAGAGCAGGAACAGGATCATGGACAGGAAGACCACGTTCAGCACCGCCGGGATCGACTCGACCAGCGCGCTCACGACCAGCTTCAGACCCGGCCGACGGCTGATCATACGCAGCGGACGCAGCGAGCGCAGGTCTCTCAGCGACAGCAGCGCCTTGATACTGCCGTTGGTCGTCGACACCCGAGCAAAGAGCGCCACGGTCGACGAGACCGCGACGAACGCGTCGATGGCATTCCACGGATCTCTCAAGTACGCGCCCTCGTTCAGGACCAAGCCCAGCGACACGACCTTGACGGCCATCTCGAAGAGGAAGACCACCGCGAACACCTTGTCGAGCGTCAGCAGAACTCTGGCCAGCAGCGACTCGGGGTCGTGAAGAGGGTTCTCCAGCGCTAGGACAATGGAGGACGCGGCGATGAAGGCAAACATGACGGCGTGGAAGGTTGGGTGGGTCGAGAGTTGAGCAGCCCACTGGCGGATCTTGCTCCTCCGTCCGAAGACCTCCCTCGACGTGTTTGTAGTTTTCGCCGTGTAGTAAACTGGAAATTGTCGCTTGCTGGTTGTTTAACACGAGATGAGGCTTCTTCCGGTAGAGTGGGTGGGCCCATCTTCTCGTGCGAGTGGAGCCCGTCGAGGCTTCTGGAGGAGCCTAAGGCGTCATCCGGCTGAAATAATTGCATGGCCGACGCTCGGTTGGGTGAATGGCGTTGCAATTGCGCCTCTGACAGCTGACGTTGAGACGATATGGACGATAAATCCTCCCTTGAAGTGTTGAGTCTGTCGTCGCGCGGGGTTTGCCAGTGAACATCCGAAGCTCCTGTACGGGCCACAACCTTGCGACGGATTATTCTCTGCTTGTTTGCCTCAATCGGAGAGATCTTGGACCGCCTTTTAGTCAGCTGCATCGGCTTCTTGTTGGCTCCTTCTGAGGCGCTGCTTTCACTTCTAGTCGCGAAGTTGTCGAGCAGCAGGGCTAGGAACAAGCTCATCAGGACGAAGTCGCCGAGAACGACCTGCTTTAGGTGCGTTAGCGAGCTGATACTAGCCATCAAAGTTACAGATGCATAGGTTCTTACCAATAGGATAAAGTACAGGGATGCAAACATGCCATTACCGCGTACGGCGTCGTACATAATAGCGCTCCAGTTATCGCCCGTCACGACTTGAAACACCGTCGCGATCGACCAGGGCAGCGTATCAAAATTGCTCCGAGGAACCTGCACGGCCGTCAGACAAATGCCTATCAGTAGATTATCTCGTTTCCTTCGAAGCAACTACACGCTTACAGTTCCATTCCAGAACTCGTTCACATTCTGCCCATGTTCATCAAATCGCATAGTGTTGGCGAAAAACTTCACACCACGAGTGAGCGCCTGCTATTTTGCCGTAGTAACTGGATATGAACGTACCTGCATTCCCATCAGCGCGAATATGTAGAGAAACAGGAAGAGAAGCCCCCCAAAGTTCCCGATACTCGCCACAGCCTTAGCGATCATCCTCAGCAGATCTCGCAGCGACTTCCAGCGCCGCGCAAGTCGAAACACTCGGACAAGGCGGAACGCGCGCAGTAGCGAGATTGATCGTGCCCCCGATGCATCAAAGCCCACATCAGACGCCGAGAACGACTGCTGCAGCGCTATGACCTCGATCACGTCCGACACGACGACTACGGCGTCGAATACGTTGAATCTGTCGTAGAAGTACTGCCTCCAGCCGAGACCCGCGAGCTTCAGTAGCAGCTCCAGCACGAAAACACATAGGAAGACAAAGTGCGCCAGCTCGAGGTTGGATTCCATCGATCGAGCCATTGGGTAGTGGTCCAATGACAGCATTACCGTATTGGCGAAGACAAAGACCATGGTGACATCGGAAAAATATCTGTGAGTCACAATACAATAAAGAAACCGGGGAGGCTGGGCAGACGAACTGGTGGGGATCAGCCGTGCGTGTGCTGTTCCCCACATTGTCAAAGAGGACTTCCTTCTGGCTGGCCTCCTTCTTTCTGGTTTGTCGGCCTTGAACTCCTCGCTGATGACGGCGATCGTCAAGTTCATGACAAAGTGTGACGCGAAGATAATGAGAGCGATGGCGAAGCACGCACCGACCACCGGGTGCGACGCGTCCATCGTCATGTACATGATGAGCGTCCAGCCTTCCTCCGTGACGGACTGGAAGATGGTGAGCAGCGCGCGGCCGATGTGGTCGTAGGTGGTGAAGCCCCAGTTGAGCTTGGCCGTGTGCAGGGCCTCCTGCATGGCCTTGCTGTGTCGGAATCGGGGATTCCCGAACGCGTCGTAGTTGGAGCCACACGTGCTTCCGGCACGGCATCGGTAACCTCCCGGGTGTGAGGGCTCTGCGCATAGCTGCCGGACACTGTAGTCAAGCGGCCAGAAGCAGTCTTGCGGCGTCCTCCAGGGCGAAGTGTCTTTGCCGTAGTCGAAGGTGGCGTCGCTGAAGTCGAGCAACGGGGCCTCCAGACATCGGAAAGCGGACGCGTTAGCGACCACTCGCTCCAGATACGCGTCCGAGACCGGCCACGAGTTGGCCGCAGTCGCTGGCATCCGCACCGGGAACTCCGTCAAGCGACACACGTGGCCCATGCGGCCGCCGAATAGCTGGATGCCGAGGATGCCAAAGATGAGGAACGCGAACATCTGCAGCGCCACGACGCTCTGCAGGGCCGGGATGGCGTTGAGCAGAGCGGTGATGAGGCGCCGCATGCCTGGGAAGGCCGACAGGGACCGCAGTGGCCGCAGCACTCGAACGGCGCGGAACTCGGAGATGTTGGGCATGCCTGGAATCTCCGCGACAAAACTGCTAATAGTGACGTCAGGTCAACACGAACGATTGATAAAGTAGGTGAGGGGAGGACCGCACCTTGCGAAGAGCATGAAGAAGTCGACGACATTCCACGAGTCCTTCCAGTACGAGCCCTTGCCCTTGACCCCGAGCGCGACGAGTTTCAGGACGCACTCGAGCGTGAAAATCCCCGTGAGCACGAACTCGAAGATCTCCACGACGTGGTTGGCCATCGAGTACGCGTCGACGAGCGCGCCGTTCTGGAACTTCTTGCCGTGACTCGTCGGGTTCAGGCCCTCGTCGACGACGGAGAAGTCCACTATGGCTAATACGACGGTGTTAAGCACGATGCAGAATATAATAAAGCCGTCGAAATATCTGTGCGAGACCACGCGGATGCACCATCGGCGGACCCAGTTTTCTCTCGTAAGGAACCAAAAGAGGGCATAGTCGGCACCGATAACCTGAGCATTATGGTAGGAAAAGCCATTCGTTAGAGCCAAGGTAATAGCCCTAGCTTACTTTGGTTGAATCGTTGCCTACTTGACTTGAATCCTTAGTATTTCCTGTTTGATCGGGATAGCTCTGGCGCGGCTGCAACTGCTGCACCCTTGGTCCTTCGGGCGCCTCAGTTGTATCCGCATGTAGAGCTTTCATTGCTTTGACACGGTGTCGTCTGGCATCCGCCCCACACTTCGCAATGAGCGTACTGGTTCGTGGTTGTTATAATCTTAGCACTGTTTTTTATAAACCAGCTCTCCACTGTCGCATTCTTAGGCGCACTCAGCCGTATCCATGAAGAGATGTTGGAGACACTGCGCGCTATTTATTGCGTGTAGCTGCTTTTAGTAAACGCGCGAGCCCACAACACAAACGAACACTGCAATTCAGTATTTTCGTCATGGCGGACTAGCCACCGTATTCGCACAAGTTACGCCGTTAAACATTCAAAAAGTTCAACAGCGAGAACTCATGTGTCCTGATATAGGAATCAGGCACATCTATACCCGAAGAAGCTTTAAAAAAATAGTAGCGATGTGTGGTTCCCGCTTTTTCATCTAAAAATGAGAGATCGCTCGTGTTTCCTTAACTATTTTTCTAGTAACTTTGATAGTACTCTTTATATATCTTTTTAAAAATACTACTACTACTATAGAACAGTAATATAGTAATAATATCTAAAGTACACATCATGACTATTATCATTTAGGATATGCATAAGAAACTAAGATATTGCGATTCTTATTGTATTGCTAGTTTGCGACTAGTATAAATGTAATACGCTCTAATTTGGAGCTTTAGGCATGGGCTTTCTGTCGGTATGTAGCTTGCTAAGAAAATGAGAAAATATTGCGATCATACCATTCGAGGCATATTGAGGCTTCGAGAAGAGGGACTTGTATTATTGCATGAGAAAAGGCTCAAATATGAGCGAAGGCATTCCGTTGTCGAGTGATTGGCTAGTACTATTTGGTTTGGTGCGAGTACATATACTAACGTTATGGCACGAAGTCCGAGTTACAAATACAACTGCAATCCTCGATAAATGCTGTACATGTAGAAGGTGAACTTGGCATACTGTAAATGTAATAATAGTGTGTATTATAATGCGTTTCTCGCTTTTACAGACTAGGGCGCAAGAGCACAGGCGAGTCTAACCGTATACATGTACCTTATGGTTCGATGCTGTATTCCGATGAAACACACGACCTGGTGATGAGTCGGTTCAAGACTCAGGAACTCTACATGTATTATCCTAGGATTGTGCGTCCCATGGTGGCTGAGGCTCAGCCCGAGCGCCAGCCATGGACTACATCTATTCCGCAGCCTTCGCATCCAGTGGCGCTTTTACAGAAGCAGTGCATACTATATATGGTAGCATTAGACCAATACAAGCTGTGCATCGGCAGTCTCGCAAATCCTGCTAACATTACATGACAGTCTGTGAGTCATGTGGTGTGACAGGGTCCTGGCCACGTTCCTTGATAAGTGATCAATGTAAGGTCTTTCCCGAACGTGAAGGTCTTCGTTGTATCGCCGTTAGTATACACGTAATCGTCGATAACGACGCAGCAAATACCTTCCTTCGGGGAAAGCTGGACAGGAAACACATTGATCCTCATTCGCCAGTCTCGAATTTACTTCCCAGAAAGCACAAAGAAACCCGGCACCAGCCCCATGCAACTCGCTAAAGGACTCGTCGTCGCCGCCATTGCCGTTATGATGTGCTTTGTCCCTACCACCGCCACTGCCGACGTTGCCAAGGAAAACACGCCCAACGTGCGCAAGCTGTACTATTAATAGACGCTGGTACCGCCGGTGACTAAGAGCCCGTACAACCGCGCACCCTCACCTGGCCGCAGCAACTAAGTGGCACAGCGCAGTATTGCGTGATTGCTGAATAGCGACCCCAAGGTCATCAGAGTTGTTTCATGGATGCAGCAGTGGGAATACAGTTGATGTTGTTGGGTTTCATCGACCTTGCGTACTATTATCGGGTCATTCGTTATCTAGCGGATCTGGTGCGGCGTATGTGGTCAATGTTACTTTTAATGAAGCTGCCGTTTTACGCGTTGGAACCTACAGTAAGCATTGCCTAGCGCACATTTATTTACGTGTCTTCAAGGGAAAAACTGAATGAAACCTGAAGCAGGCGCCTACAGTTGTGCACAAATCAAGTACCTTTCTAGTAGAGTGCTGGCAGAACTATCAATTTTGCTTCTGATGTGTTTTGACGAAAGACTATACGTAGATAGAATCGAATCCTAACTTAGTAGTTGTACTAACTGAAGTCTAAGAACATCTTGATAAGAAAAGGGTTTTCAATGTCCAGAAAGCGTGGCGCTGTCCCGAAACGTGAAGCCGCTCACCAGAGCAGTAGTTTCTCGACTAAAATATCGGACAGACCCTACCTCGAAACGGGCACTAAGCCGAACGCCAAATCGGGCGCTTTACGTTTCCGCCCGGCTAAGGAATGCTATAGCAGAGATCACCTCGCGCGAGAGATGGGGGCCCCCATGCTGCGACCATTGTGGCGACCAACGGACCCGAGGAGCAACAAGTACAGCGACGCCGCAGCCGCTCCCAGGCTCCGGATAGTGACCAACCCAAAAATGTTATCCGGGTAGGATAGGGGACTTTCCACTAAGACTTTACCATTCGTTTCTGCGCATAAATTCCACCGAAGGATTTAAAGAGCTTCACTTGTGCTGTTGCGTAGGCGATCGGTGCCGACTATGCCCTCTTTTGGTTCCTTACGAGAGAAAACTGGGTCCGCCGATGGTGCATCCGCGTGGTCTCGCACAGATATTTCGACGGCTTTATTATATTCTGCATCGTGCTTAACACCGTCGTATTAGCCATAGTGGACTTCTCCGTCGTCGACGAGGGCCTGAACCCGACGAGTCACGGCAAGAAGTTCCAGAACGGCGCGCTCGTCGACGCGTACTCGATGGCCAACCACGTCGTGGAGATCTTCGAGTTCGTGCTCACGGGGATTTTCACGCTCGAGTGCGTCCTGAAACTCGTCGCGCTCGGGGTCAAGGGCAAGGGCTCGTACTGGAAGGACTCGTGGAATGTCGTCGACTTCTTCATGCTCTTCGCAAGGTGCGGTCCTCCCCTCACCTACTTTATCAATCGTTCGTGTTGACCTGACGTCACTATTAGCAGTTTTGTCGCGGAGATTCCAGGCATGCCCAACATCTCCGAGTTCCGCGCCGTTCGAGTGCTGCGGCCACTGCGGTCCCTGTCGGCCTTCCCAGGCATGCGGCGCCTCATCACCGCTCTGCTCAACGCCATCCCGGCCCTGCAGAGCGTCGTGGCGCTGCAGATGTTCGCGTTCCTCATCTTTGGCATCCTCGGCATCCAGCTATTCGGCGGCCGCATGGGCCACGTGTGTCGCTTGACGGAGTTCCCGGTGCGGATGCCAGCGACTGCGGCCAACTCGTGGCCGGTCTCGGACGCGTATCTGGAGCGAGTGATCGCTAACGCGTCCGCTTTCCGATGTCTGGAGGCCCCGTTGCTCGACTTCAGCGACGCCACCTTCGACTACGGCAAAGACACTTCGCCCTGGAGGACGCCGCAAGACTGCTTCTGGCCGCTTGACTACAGTGTCCGGCAGCTATGCGCAGAGCCCTCACACCCGGGAGGTTACCGATGCCGTGCCGGAAGCACGTGTGGCTCCAACTACGACGCGTTCGGGAATCCCCGATTCCGACACAGCAAGGCCATGCAGGAGGCCCTGCACACGGCCAAGCTCAACTGGGGCTTCACCACCTACGACCACATCGGCCGCGCGCTGCTCACCATCTTCCAGTCCGTCACGGAGGAAGGCTGGACGCTCATCATGTACATGACGATGGACGCGTCGCACCCGGTGGTCGGTGCGTGCTTCGCCATCGCTCTCATTATCTTCGCGTCATATTTCGTCATGAACTTGACGATCGCCGTCATCAGCGAGGAGTTCAAAGTGGACAAGGCCATGAATACCCGATCGAGGAGGAAGTCATCATTAATTACTTGGGATCCCCAGAAACAACTTGCCTTGCTGACAACGTTCCGATACGCGCGGGGTTGAACGAGTACACAAGATTGTGACTCACCGGTTCTTTTCGGAGGTCTCTATGGCTGCGGTGTTTGTAAACACGGTCGGTCGTGCTTTCGTTGGATCACTACCCGATTTCGCACTCGATGGAGCATAATCTAGAGCTGGCACACTTCGTCTTCTTGTGCATCTTTACTGTGGAGATGGCTTTGAAGATCGTTGGGCTGGGATGGAAGGGGTACATTCGTGACAAGTTCAACGCCTTCGATGCTGTCATTGTCGGTTCCGATATACTCGAGGCCGCCATGGAGCCGCCGTCGTTCCTTGTGTCAACGCACAGTGCCTTGGAGAGTGGAGGGGTATCCATTTTGCGAGCTTTCCGGCTCTTTCGAGTGTTTAGACTCGCGCGGCGATGGAAGTCTCTACGCGTTTTACTCTCGATGATTGGTCGAGCCTTTGCGAGTATCGGGAACTTTGGCGTGCTCCTTTTTCTTTTCATCTACATATTTGCACTACTGGGAATGCAGGTACGCACTCGAAGAAGGTTGACTACAACTGCAAGGTATAGATCTTCTAACGTATTCGAAAATTTTTCGGCAACACAATGCGCTTCGACGACCAAGGATACCCTACACCGCCCACCGTCGATGGGTTTTGGAGCGGAACGGTACGTGAGAGCATTATTTTCCCTCATAGAGGTGAACGAAACTGATCTAATATTCTTATGCACGGTCAGGTTCCTCGCAGCAACTTCGATACGTTGCCATGGGCAATAGCGACGGTATTCCAGGTCATCACGGGCGATAACTGGAGCGCTGTTCTGTACGATGCTATCCGAGGCAACGGCATGTTTGCCTCCGTCTACTTTACCATACTGGTAAGTACATCGTAATAAAAAAGTCTCGCCCCAGCCCCAACATTCTAACAGCCAAAAACTAACGAACCACAAGCAGGTAATGTTGGGCGACTTTGTCTTAATGAATCTCTTCCTAGCGTTACTGCTGGACAATTTCGCCGCTACGAGCGAGAGTAGCACATCGGAAACCCAGGCGAAAAGACCGAGCACGCTCATCAAGCGGCGATCCAAGATCTCCCCCATCGAAGCAAACAAGCAGCGAATCATACGTCGGATGGTGGTGGCTCGAACAGGTTCGTCCGATCTTCACTGGCAAACCCCACGAGAGGGCAGACACAACTCCGCGCGCTCTGCATCAGCATTGCAGCCACACGACTCAGCTACGCAGATCAATAGCTTTGCATCCAACCGGACACTGATCGGCCACGGTCTGCAGCACTTTGATACCGGTTCAAGTACGAACTCGATTACTACCACAGGGTCGATCCCGCACCATCGCGTGGAGAGACCAAGCTCGTATGAGGAGACACAAACTAGTGTAACCAGCCCAGCCCAGCCTTGAGAGAAGTCGCTGTATCTGTTTGGACCAACTCACCCTGTTCGTAAGTGGGCCGTTAAACTCTTCAGCGATTCCAGATTTGAGTCGGTGATGTTTCTATTGATCGTGATGTCATCCATCACGTTAGCTGTGGAAAACCCTCTTCACGATCCAGAGTCGACATTGGCCAAGTCACTCGTCAGATTCGACAAAATCTTCGCAGTGGTGTTTCTATTTGAAATGGTCACCAAAGTCATCGCGCTGGGACTCGTCCTGAATTCAGGGGCCTATTTACGTAGCCCGTGGAATGTCATCGACGCCTTCGTCGCGGTGTCCTCCGCAGTCCTGCTGCTTGCCAACATTTCGGACACTAACAGCGTCCTCCAGACGCTTCTACCTCTGCGAGATCTGCGAGCGCTTCGGCCACTGCGAATGATCAGTCGACGGCCGGGCCTGAAGCTGGTTGTGAGCGCGCTGATCGAGTCCATTCCTGCAGTGTTGAACGTGGTGTTTCTCTCCATGGCTCTGTTCCTATTGTTTAGTATTGCAGCAGTGCATTTTCTCAAGGGGAGGTTCCGAGCGTGCACTGGGGACGTTCTTGACTCGCTACCGACAGACCAGAAGGAATTTCTGGTCTCGCCCGCGCCTTGGGACGCGCTGTCGGACGTCCAGCGCAGCTGGTTCAGCGGCTCCGTGTGCGAAGGCTTCCCGACCGAAGAGCTCACGTCGCAGTACGTGTGCGAGTGCTGGGGGGCGACGTGGAAGCCCGTGCTGTCCAAGAACTTCGACAACTTGGGGTCGGCCATGCTGACGTTCTTCATCCTGTCGACCTCCGAGAACTGGTCGGAGATCATGAAGGCCGCGTGCGACGCCACGCGCCCCGGCATGCAGCCAATTGTCAACAATAATGAGCTGTGGATCGTCTTCTTCATCGTGTTCATGGTCGTGGGCAGCTTCTTCGTCATGAACGTCTTCGTGGGGGTCATCATCGAAAACTTCAACACGATGAAGGCCAAGCTGGGCGGGGACTTCCTGCTCACGCCCGAGCAGAAGAAGTGGATGGAGGCGCAGAAGTCGGCCACGCGCATCGGCCCCATCCGCATGGTCAATGCGCCGACACAAGTGCTTCGTCGTGTCTGCTTCAGCATAGTGAGAACGCGATTCTTTGAAGGCTTCGTCATGAGCTGCATACTCGTGAACACGCTGCTCATGGCGAGCCAGCACTTTGGTGAATCCCCGCAGCAGCTAAGCGCGACGTACTTCGTGAGTGAGTTGAGCACGGGGATATTAGCGATCGAGGCCGCGATGAAGATTTTGGGGTACGGCCGAGCGTACTTTGAGGACAACTGGAACCGGTTCGACTTTCTCATCGCGATCGGCACTGTGTTTGGCACCATCGCGCAGACCTTGGCTTCGAGTTCTCTATGGACACTTACGATGATGGTGCGGCTCATCCGCGTGGCGCGCATCTTCTGCCTCGTCGAGTCTTCAAACAGCATCCGAGCGATCCTGTCGACGGTGTACATCTCGCTACCTGGGCTCAGCAACATCACGTCCATTCTGTTCCTGATTCTTTTCGTGTACTCCACTATGGGTGTGCATTTGTTCGCCAAGGTGGCGTTAACCAGCGATATCGACCGCCATGCTAACTTCCAGAGCTTCGGCGTGGGCTTTCTCTTCCTCTTACGCGCCGCAACGGGCGAGTCGTGGGACCATTGTATGTACGACTTGGCCTCGAGCACTCTACGGTGTGTGAGTGACCCACAGTACGACCCGGGCATGTGTGGGTTCAACAACTCGGAGGACTGTACCCCGTTAAATGGTTGCGGGAATCCGGTCGCGTACTTTTTCTTCTGCTCGTTCACGCTGATCGTGTCGTACGTGATGCTGAATCTGACGGTGGCGGTGGTGCTGGAAGGGTTCGCCTCCTCCCAGCAAGAAGACGACGATGACGACGCCATATTCGTGCCGGAGTTGCTGGAGGAGTTCCAATAAAAGGGGGCTGAGCTCGATCCATTAGCCACGGGGTTCATTGGAGTGGACAAGATGCTGCAGTTCATCAACGCTGTCGCGCCTCCTCTCGGCTGGTTTGGCCTCCCATTGCCCATGCCCCAGTTCTTCCGCTACATGAGTACGTGCAGCATAGTATAGATGGATTCTTTTTATTTATTGTGCGATCGGTACTCATATGATATGATACTACAGATTCGCTCCACATACCGCTGTATGAAGGCGTGCTCGTGCATTTCCGAGATGTGATCATGGCTATGACTCGAGAAATGATCAAGGCGGTAAGTGGTAATATGCATGGGTGAAGCGTAAGGTGACTATGACTAACATACTCCTAAACTTGGGGTGCTGGGTAGACGAATAACTGGTCTCAGGATGATATTCCAAAGGATACCAGCACTAGCCATCGGACGCGAGGTTCTTCGCATCGGAAGTTTATTGGCTTTTATGCCCACGAGTACCTCGCTGCTCGCTACCTGCAGCGCAGGGTGGCGACGTGGCTGGTGAGGAAGCGGCAGCTCGAGACCAGGAAAACGAGGGACTTCATTCGCAAGATGAAAAAGTCGGGCAAGAAATCGCGAAAGGACAAGAAACCCGGCGAGACACTCGTGCTGCCGATGGTCAAGAGGGTGCCCAACTCCCTTCTGGACGCAAGTCGCCAGCAACCGCGGCACGAAGCTCAACCAACAACAACAACTGCTACTACAGTAGTACTTCTGACTACGACAACCCACGACTATAATAGATTCCTCATGGAACTCGGACGTAGTTATCTGTCGTAGTACCGTTGGCGATATTCATAAGTATTGCTCCTCGGTCAGCTGGTGTTGGTTTCGGCTCAGCAGTCAACCAGCTTCATTTTTAGGTTACGAGAGGTTACGAGCCTTAACCTAAAACTGGAAGACAACAGATAGACCACGAGGATGGACAGAGGCTCATTTCCAACATGAAAGAGCCACGTGCTGAGACCGTTGTTGCGGCAAACGGACCGGAACTGAGTCGTCTCAAGCGCTCAAAAGAACGGGATTATGACGATAGAGAAAAACCCCAAGGTTCGTGGCATGCTGAAGTGCTGTACTCACTTGTCAATAATACACTGACAACGTCACACATGCATGTCTTCTGTATCCAGCGTACCGGTGCAGATTACGTCGTCTTCAACTTGCTATCGAGAGAGAATTGGCTGCGTCGTCGCTGCATTCGTGTCGTATCTCACGCGCATTTCGATCGGTTCATCACCTTTTGCATTGTGCTCAACTCCACCGTGTTAGCGATTACCGATTTCTCGGTTGTAGACAGCAGACTGAAACCCGTCAGCTATGGCAAGAGGTTTGAGAACGACCAGCTCGTTGACGCGTATTCAGCAGCGAACCACGTGTCGGGGATATTCGAGTTTCTGCTCACGGGCATCTTTGCAGCCGAGTGCGTGCTGAAGATTATTGCGTTGGGAATAAAAGGCAGAAATTCATACTGGAGCGATCCTTGGAATTGTATCGACTTCCTTATGCTCTTCACTAGGTACACACATGGTATGTTTCAAATTTATTGCGTAATGGCGACTGACCTCAGGCGTAGCAGTTTTGTTGCTGAGATTCCAGGCATGCCCAACATCTCCGAGTTTCGGTCGATTCGAGTTCTGCGGCCTCTGAGGTCTCTGAAGATGTTCCCAGTCCGTGACAGGTCACTTTGGAGTGTCAACGGGAGGAAGTCGAACTGGAAACTCCGTCAGTCTGCACACTCGGCTCATCCGTCCACCGAACAGCTCAACGCCAAGGATCCCGAACATCAGAAAAGCGAACAATTGGAGCCCCACGACGCTGTGAAGAGCTGGGATCGCGTTCAACAGCGCGGAAATGAGTCTCCTCATCCCTTGAAAAAGCTAAGTAAAAGTGAGTGCATCAATGTAAGAGGGACTTTGTCCCCAAATAGATGCGAAAGGCATTTAGACAAACTGGTGTCATCTATCGAGTGCCAGTCTGGCACTGGCTTCATCGACCCCAGACTCAGAAGGATATGCTGCGGTTGCTGCACCCCAACCTTTAGCTTTCGAGTCAAATTTTGACACGACTTCTGACGCCACTCTTCGATTCTCCAACTCCCAGCAGCCGATGAATTTCACGCTGACGGCTGTGGAGCTGGTGTTGTTCGACCAGCGAGCGACCGGGGTGCTGCTGCACCTCGGGCCTCTCATCTCCACCTTCCTCGGGCCCTCGCGCTACCTATCGCTCAGCGAGGCCTGCAGGTTCGCCTCCATGCGGCTGGTCGAGTGGGCGTGGAGCCTCACGTGGGCGTCGGAGACTGAAGTCACGGGCTGGAGGCTCTCAAACTACCTCCGCTCAGAGCCACGCTACTACCACCGTCAATTCGAGGAGGCCATGATCTTAGCTGCCGAGCGCGGAGACTTGGTGCTTGTCAGGTGGCTTTTCGCCCACTTCTCCAGCAGCAAAGTGACTGTGCAGGTCGTGGAGGCGGCAGCCAAGAACGGGCGCCTGGCTGTCCTGCATTCCTGCTGGAGCACGACGCCAGTCGCGACAGGAGACACAGACACATTCCGAAGAAACCCGATGGAGAATTTCGCCCCGGAGAATGTTTTGTGCGTATTCCAGAACGGCTACCCGAGGGTGAGCACGTAGTCGTCTGGGGAGGAGCGAGCATCGTGAAAGCTGTTGAACACGGCCATCCAGAAGTCGCAAGATGGCTCTACATGAACGCACCACATGAGCTGAATGATCGAGAGCTTGCATGTGCGATCCAGGCTTCTCTGAACAAAGGCCACATCGGGTTCGCCAACTTCCTTCTACCACCGGGGCAACGCTTTGCGAACTATGTTGACTTCATGAGCTCGGCGGCGGACGCGGCTCACCGGCCGCAGATGATCGAGATGGCGCTGGATGCAGGACTCCTGCGCGAGGATGAGTGCAAGGCTGCAAAGGCTATTAGACGCCTGGGGGACACCGGGTGTCTGGATCTCATGCAGCGGATCATGCTGCTGCACTCCCCTCTTCGACCACCGAGATCACGCATTTGTAGCTGGGCAAGAACTTGGCGCACTACCACAATTGCTGCTTGTAAAGCTGGGAATATCGATGTAATCAAGTGGCTGGTGGGGCACCCCCTGGCCGCTGAGGGCGCTGTGCGCCAAGCGAAGAAGTACCCGCTATGGGCGGCATCTGAAGAGGGTCACTTAGCTGCTATGGGATTGGTGGCTGAAGAAGAGCCTTCTGTATTACTGGATTCGCTGCGCCGTGCAACGAGGTACGGTCACTTGGATGCAATGAAGTGGTTGATGGAGCGTTGCCCGTCCAGTTATCGAGAGCACGAAGAGTCTATTCTGATGGAACATGGACATTTGGCGGTTGTGGAGTATCTCACCAGTTTGAAAGCACCGCCAATGTCGACCCCCAAACTAATGGATCAAGCCGCTAGGTGCGGCCATTTGAGCACTGAAATGGCTGCACAGTCGTTGGGCGTGCTGTTGCTCGACCAAAGCCATGGATGACGTGGCAAAAAATGGGCATTTCGAGGTGGTGAAATGGTTGACGCACCAGCGAACCGAGGGTTGCACGACCAATGCGGTGGATGGTGCAGCAGGAAACGGGCATTTGGAGATCCTCAAGTGGCTCTATCGCTATCGATCGGAGGGCTGCTCAAGTAGAGCAATTATTCAAGCTGGGGGTCGCAATCATGTCCGCGTCGTCGGGTGGCTCCAAGATCACTACCCGGAATTTATTCTGCCTCGCGAGTTCGTTATCGCTCAATTCGAGATTCTGTGCGTGATTTCGCAACGCAAATGACACGGCGTAGCAAGAGGCGTCTATTTTTCTAGACAGCCAAAGGTCACTCTAGTTGACCCATAATTCTTGCATAAAGTCGTGCTGAGCACGAGAAAGCTCTGAAATTTCCAGTGCGACGTTGGCATGGCTAGAAAGCTACATCGTGAGAGGTAGCAACGATTGCAAGCAGAATAGTGTAGGAGGGCAACAGAACAGCAAAAACTAGTTATACTCACTACTGATTCGTGATACTGCACTAAGTCCTCGGGTTTGTCCGTCGTAGTCGCCTCTGCGGCAGTGGCGATAGTGTCATTCACTAGCGTGGTGCTGAGCATCGTGGCGCAATTGTTCTCCACGTAAGTGTTGATGGGGTTCTTGCACAGCGCCTCGAGGTCTTCTTGGGTGTGGATGTTGGCCGTCGCTGTGGGCCACGAGATGGATATTCTTGATGGACCCGTCCGCGTACTCCTCGCCCCTTTCCGGGTAAAGCCCGTAGCAGGAGTCGCAGTTGACCGAGTGGGCTGCGCTGTAGTGCGTGACCCCACCTTTGATCTGCGTGCGAGAGCCATGAGCATGAGCCTCGCAGCTGCTACGATGATATGCCCCAACACCCAGCTTTGGGTTACTCAGACCTTCGCAGAACGCGAGCATCTCCTCGACCACCATGTTCTCGCCAGGCCGACGCGCCCGATACGGCGCGTGGAGATGGCGCCATGGTGGACACGAAGGAGAAACGCTGCCCGGGCGCCTTGGCGCAGCCCACGGTATTGGGGTGCGCGGTTGACCTTGTTGACCTCGGCCTTGGATTGGGCTTGCGCCTGGAATTTTCAGGGGCTCGGACCCTACGGGATAAATAGGAAGTTGCATTTATCCCAAGAAAAACCCACGCCATAAATTACCGTATAAATTACTTACGGATGTGGGTTGCGCGAAGATGGACATTATTCACGTGGGTGATTCATAACGGCAAGAGGTATACGATATAACGGGTTTTACAAACTGCTCTGCATCGACTAGGGCTCCGCGAAGGCTGGGATAGGAGGATTTTGGTATAACCCCCTCTTTATTTTTTATTGACTATTTTTAATATTGGCTACGGTTATCTCCTGCGCCTGCTTCGCAGCCGCAGCATCTACCCGGAAATTGGCCTTAAAACTGTAGATGCCAGATATCAACCGGCAATGCTTTACAAAATTAAAAATGCGAACCTTGGCTGAGATCTGTGTGCAGCTTGTAGAAGTTTTATACTTTTTTAGTTTTGTGGTGAGGTACATTACAGTCGTTTAGTCTTGCTAACAACTCAGCCAATGTCCGTCCAGCAGAAGCCTACACATCTTCTGCCAGCTTGCTAACTACTTGTGGGTGCTAGCACATGCGCGCTTATCATGCACGCCTGCAAGTTTGACCGGCCCGTGGCATCTGCGTCGTCGCTTGGGGCCGGGTGTGTGGTTAACCATTGATCGATGTCCCCTGGAAGGAACTCCACAATGGGTAACCCGAGAGAAGGCAGTACCCCAAGGTCTGCCTCGAGAATCTGCGTACTGGTTCTGGTGTCCATGGCGATATTAGTCAGTGCATCAGCCATCTTATTGAACTGGCGCAGATGATGTGTCCATGAGGTGATCTGGAGTTGGCCAGCAAGAGCACGGCATTGCTCGTAGATGTCGCGGAAGTGCGGGGCCTTCGGCGGTCGTCTTCTGGAGAGGTGCGTGATGATCAGCTTGCTGTCGCCGACGACGTGCAGGCCACGGTGCCGGTAACGTGCAGCCTGGCGAAGCCCATTCAATAGCCCTCGGTATTCCGCAGCATTGTTCGTGGTGGATGCAGAAGCATACGATACGCTTGCCATCCACTCGATGACTGGAAACGCAGCGCCACCGCCGAGTCGTAGTATAATTGAGCCTGATCCCCCTGGCCCCGGATTACCCCGTGATCCGCCGTCGAAGAAGAGAACGTGCTGCGTAGTCGGACGTGTAGAGCTGATGGCGCACGGGGATTCAGTACCCGTCGCCGTAAGCGCGGCATATACCAGGTGCGCTGCTCGGTGAACATGAGGCGTTTGAGTTGCCTGTAGAAAACGGTCTCGTAGGGTGAGGTACCCACTGCGTAGGCGCCCTTGCAGTAGCAGCTCCGCTCGTCGTGCCGAATTGTCCAGTCTTGGGTCTTTACATCTGCAGCGCCTGCCCCAGATCGCCTGTAGAGTTAGTGTGATGCCGAGTGTCCAGCTCGCGTGTAACACGTCATGAACCTTCGACTTGACGCCGTCCAGCAAATTGCCCTCCAGCATTTCGTATACAAGACGGGTAGGTAGTCCCATACTCCCGACGGCACCACCGGAAGTGAGAGACCGAAAATCTGGGAAACGTAAGTCTTCACGTCAGTCAGCCCCAGGCGCTTCCACGGCCTGAAGAACGTCGTCCACAGTGCCCGAGCCGCCGGACACGTCTAGAAGTATTATACTTGAAAATGCAAACGCTTATTTCTAGTGCTATTACAGTCCGCCCCAATCGTTCTCTTTACGTCAATTCGTTCACTGCTCGAATTTACGTACTGAATCATACCAGTGTCGTCGGTTGCACACCGGTTGGACCTGCCCACGGCACCGGATTCATACCGGTGTGATAAGTATCCTACCGGCGCGATCTGCCCACGCCACTTTTGGAGGGCCAAGTACAGCACCGGAGTCGTACCGGTTTCAAGAAAATATACCAGTTAGATGTCAGGAGGGGGCATCGTTTGACTTGACGTACCACGGATATAATCCTATTTGGTCTGCGATAGCAGCACTAACGTTGCTTCCTATCCCAGTATAACTGCGTATTGTGTAGTCTTATCTATAAAATCTCCGGACAATCAGACCCTTTAAATTACGAAGCCTGTGTTTTTTTAACAAAAACATTATTTATGAAGTTTGAGAAATGGGTGACCCGTACAGCAGATGTAGCATTCAAGCAAAGAGCGTTTGCTATAGTCTAATATATTCAAACAGCGCGGAAAGTGGTATCACCGGTAGTGTAGTGGGCCTACTTTGGCTCACTACTTTAGCTTACACGTGTGCGCGTGTATGTGAGGAAGCGTAGCTTAGTTTAAATTAGAGTTAATTATACTCGGGCCTCCCAGTATAGATTAATCTAAATAAACGATCCAAATAATGTTTTTGGGTTAAAATGATAACTGCTATTTTTGTTTTATGTTTCTGACTTCCTCTAAATGTAATATTCTAAGATAGGAATCTGCCAACGGCTGGTTGGCAGAATTCCAATGCTATGCATGTCGCTCATTGGCTAAGAGATGCTGCTCTCAGCCAATAGGAATCCTAAGTCTCTATGGACCACCCGCCGTGGTGGTCGTAAATGTATGTAGCCTTTGGTGTGTCTACACCAAGGTCGAGAAAGTCTTTCGAACCTCTAACAGACGTCGTGTCTGTTAGAGTTACAAGTGACTGTAGCCACTTGTGCGTGTAACCCTGTTACACCATCCCCCCCTCAAGGTTAGACGCGCCGAGTCACGGCACGTCAATCAGGAAATTGACCATTCGTCAATTCTTCACGTTGGGAGAAAGAAAACTCGAGCTCATTCCGCAATGAGCTCGCCGCAGAAGAAGACCACCGCCGCAACAGAGGGTAACCTCTCTGTTGCTCAGTACCATGAGCGCCAGCAGGCAAAGCGCGATGCGCTCGCTGCAAAGGCTGCGGCGGGGACAACCCAGCCGGAGATTGTCCTCGAAGGTTCCTCAGTAGTCAACGACGCCGTTGACTACGAGGACGACGACGTGGAGATGGAAGAGGGCGAAGCCTCTTCTAGCAAGCGCAAGGAGTCTATCGACAGCGATAGTCTCGACCCGCATGCCGGGTCGAGACGCCCTCGTGAAGGAGACGACTCGGACGCTTCGAGCTCGAAGCGTTCGCGCGGCGAGAGCGACACTCCGCTCTCTGCTGCTGGGGCTTTAAGCTCCCCGCGTGAGGTGGCGCCTTCAAGCTCTCCGCGCGCTCTCTGAGCAGCGCGCGATCCGTGGATGCCGTCTGCGTCAGAGATCGCAGACCGTGTGGGCAACACCGTGCCTCCAAATGAAATTCTGCTGTACGTATGCAGCGGGATCCACGATGATGCTGTGGCGGAGGAGCAGCACTTTGATCCATCAACGAATCAAAGGCGCGATTACTATATCGGACTCTATCACGAGCTCCGATACTTCTCCAGCAAGAAGACCTCTTCTCGCAGCAAAATGCCTGAGTGGCAGGCACTTTGTCAAAGTTGGAATGCTTTTGTTGAGAACTTCAACAAGAAGCCGGCTGCTTATCGTGAGCGGGTTAAGCATGCCCGTGAGCGCTTCGAGACATTCTCGACGCGCGGGCGGCTGGAGCAGCCCCACAGATCCTCTGTGGACGCTGGAATTCCATGCGCTGTGCCCGAAGGCCAACAGTGCACGTTGTGTCTTTCGGGCGCGGCGCGCTTGAGCGACCGCGACCTAAACGGGTACACGACGATTCGTGTACCTGCAAGTCTCAAGGATCTCCGTGCCAAGTTCTTGGCACGTGAGGAACGCGACGATCGTGGGACCTCGGGCGCTGTAGGTGACCACAGCGCTCGCACTACCTTCACGTCGGCAGTGCGTGGTGAGCTGCGTACGCCCTCACCATTTCCGGAACGTCCTGCAGCAGGACGTCCCGTGGCTCCCATGTATCTTGGTGGGGCGAAAACCCTCTCCAACGAATACGATAACGAACCGGCTGCCGGTTCGTTTTCGGGATACTATGGTTCACAATACGCTCAACAATCCAGCGTGTTGAGCCGCGGGCGTCGCAGATCGGAGGCGGCGGTGGTGGGAACACGCCCCGGGTATGGTCAACCTGGGGTTGACCTTGGCCCGACGCTCGAGGAGCGGGTCGCTGCTGTGGAACAGCATCAGAGCCGGGAGTTCGCCGCTCTGAAGCAGGAGGTGGCGACCCTGAGGGCTCAAGTCGCTCAGGCTTCGCAGACCGCGTCGGACATCTCTGTCGACGTGGGAGGTCGCGTCGCACGCTTGGCCCAGCGCGTGAACGCGCTGGAGCAGAGGTTCGCTCCCGCTGGGGCTTCCGCTTCGGGCCAGCCGAGCTAGGTGGCTCGTGCTGCCGGTATGGCTTCAGCCGCCCGACGTAAAAGGTCGGATGGAGGCGCATGCTAGATGGAATATCTAGCGTGTAGGCGTTGCCATGCCGTGCCAACACCGTGAACGGCCCGATGAAGCGTGGAGCGAGCTTGCTCGCCCCGAAGTCGGAAACTGCATGTTTAGGCAGGTTTTGAGTTGCTAACAAAACCAATGAACCCTTCTTGAATTCCTTAGTGTTGCCCCTAGCAACATTGTCTGCGTTCAGCTTCTGTTGGTCGACAGAAGCTGCAATAGCGCATTGGACAAACCGAATGACGGCTTGTCTGCACGAAGTTGATTGCGACCGAGCTGAACTCGTTCAGCTCGTTTTTAGCAGTAGGCCCGGCCTCTGCGTTCGTCTTCGCGGTGTCTGTGCCCTGCACAGACCCGTTCTTCTTCTTCTTCTTACTCTTGTTGGCGTCTGTGCCCTGCACAGACGCGTGTTGCTTGTTCTTCTTGCGCGTAGTCGCGGCTGACACTGTGCAAGTGTCAGCGGCATTCTGCGGCTGCTGCGTTGCAGTCGTAGATCCTCCCCCACTTAACCCTTCTAGCCCCAGACCTTATTCTGTATCCTACAGAATAAGCATTAGACTTGATTAAAGTATACTTCAAAACCTGTCAAAGATTTGCTGTTGGAAGCCCTTTCGCATCTTGCGGTCAAGCGCTGGGTACATTGTGCACAGAACATCTACGAAAGTGAAGAAAACATGCTCAATGTATCCACCATATGCCGAAATGGCAAACTTCTATTGGTCGTGGCGAGCGTAGAGCACGCTCAAAACCTGCTACATGGTAATACCTTGCAAGGCTGCTAAGGCAGCATACTTCGGCTCCAGCCACCCATCTTCGGCACGTCGCGATAAACGCGGTGGAAGAAATCGCCCTGTTCCTAACTGACGTAGTGAGGAGGAACTGGGCGAATTCTTCCTTGTGCTTGACATTAGCGCATCATTAGATTTCTTTAGCCCACCTAACAAGCTTGTTACTATTGTCTCTCTAACAACACCAGGGAGCTTGCATGCTCAATAGCCCGTAATGACACGTACTACACACGGTTCCTCTTGTACGAAACAGGACAATATATGATATTCATGCCAACGTCTACTTCTTCCTTTACATGCGCACGCTCTTCAATGTTCGCGCCAGCCGTGGGTCATCTTCGCCATTTTGGCAGCCTCCGCTTTGCTCTGTAGCCTCCGGCACTGCCGCTCCATTCCTGCCGCTTTCATCGGTAGCCTCCGTCGTAGCCTCTGTCCCTTCTTCTGTAATCTCCGGTGTAACCTCATCATGCGGAGAGCTTCTTCTTCTGTAGCATCCGTCGTAGCATCTACCGCTTCTTCTGTAGTCTCCGGTGTAGCCACACCATGAGGAGCGCTTCTTCTGTAGCCTCTTGAGTAGCCACTGCATCAGCTACATATAGCGGTAGACCCGGCTGTAGCCGGCTTCGTAGGAACCGATGAGGTTGTGCGCTGACTCCGCAATCGATCTGACAATCGGGCCACACGCGAGAGCATAGCGTCGTCTGGGTCGGATCACCAGGTCTGGTAATCAACATCGCAACGTAGAATCAATATACCACTAGTACAATGTTACAGAGCAAAGTACACACTCTCGCTTACCTGTAGATCACAATGGCGCTCATCATGATCGTCTTCGGCCATGGTCCTGGGCCACTTGGGCGCGCTCGACGGGCCCCAACAAAGCTTGCAGTACGACGTCTTGAACAGCGCAGTTTCGGAATGAAGGAAAGTACGAGTGGCTGACACGCGGCGGTTTTAGGCTTCCACCCGAATTTTCAAACCTGTTGGTGGTTTATACTCATCCGTCTATTACCGCGGAATAAACCCTGTTTATCTTCCCATCGCTAATCTAACAGGAGGATGTGCACAATACTGGCTATACAAACATCCATATGCGAAGTTCGAAAGAGAGGACAAGTTTGCTGGATATTATGTCCTGTGACAATGCTTATTCTGTAGGATACAGAATACGGGGTTAGAGGGGTTAAGGAAGGAGTCACCATCCCGAGTAGGCCCGGGAGTCGTGGATGACTGATGGCATTCACGTAGAACGGTGTATGCCCGGTCGAGGCATGCACCGAGTTGTTGATGGCGAACTCCGCCATTGGCAGGCACTCGCTCCAGTGTTGGAACGAGTGAGCGTAGCTCTTAAGCACGTCTACGAGCACGCGGTCCACACGCTCGGTCTGCCCGTCCGTCTGCGGATGGTCCGCAGCCGACATCGAAAGTTGACTCCCAAGATGTGTAAACACTTCCTGCCAAAGGTGTGCAGTGAAGCGCGGGCCCCGATCCGACACAATGTCGATCGGCATGCCATGGTGTTTGAACACCATGTCAACGAACAGACGCGCCGTCTGCTTCGCAGTCACTTCAGCGGGTACCGCAGCAAGATGTACTATCTTGCTGAAGCGGTCAACAAAGACCACAACGCCCGTGTTCCCCTGGCTGTCCGGGGGAAGGCCGAACATGAATTCCAAAGACATGGACTGCCAACACTCCGACGGAGTCGGCAGTGACTGCAAGGGGGCGCGAAGGGCGCAGGCTTTACACGTTGATAAACCTCGCAAGCACGGACGTACTTGCGCACCCATTTGTACTGGTGGGCCCAGTAGAAGTCTCGCGTGAGAAGCAGGTATGTCTTCTCACGGCACGGATGCCCCGCAGTCGGTGCATCGTGATACTCGTACATGATCCTGAGTCGCAGGTCATGGTCGTTGGGCACAACAACGCGGTCCGCGTTGTCGTCGACTGCACTGTAGAGTAATAACCCGTCGTGCACCCGGTAACGGTGTGCACGAGCACGAAGATCCTTCGGCAGCTTCTGACGAGCTTGGTCAGAGGCGCTGAGCCGTAGGCCAGCAAGCGCTTCGCGTCCGCGTCGTGCGCGTACGCGACCTTCACGTCGTCCAACAGTGGCGACGTTGGGGTGCTCGATCGCATGGCGTCAATGGCATTGATGTCGGCATCAGTCGTGGCGTAGTCAGGTCGACGCGAGAGCGCGTCGGCCACCACATTGAGTCTTCCGGGTTTGTACTCAACCCGGAAGTTATACTCTGCGAAGAATGAGAGCCATCTCGCCATCCGTTGCGAGATGTGCGGCGACTTCACAGCCGTCCGCAGTGACGCGTGGTCCGTATAGACCACGAACGGTTTGCTTCCGAGTAGATACACTCGGAACTTCGCGAGTGCGTACTTCATGGCAAGGAGTTCCTTGTCATGTACCGGGTAGTTGCGCTCAGCTGGCTTCAGCTGACGCGATTGGTAGTAGACGACACGATCACGGTCCTCGTGATCGTGCTGCATCAACGCACATCCGATTGCGAAGTCGGATGCGTCACACACAACGTGGAATGGGCGATCTTGGTCGGCCACCGCCAAGATCGGCGCCTCAGTCAAGCCCCGCTTGACTGCATCGAAGGCCTGCTGACACTCAGCAGCCCAAACGCACTCGGCGTCCTTCTTCAGGAGCTGTGACAGCGGGCGTATCATACCCGCGTAGTCCTTCACGTACTTGCACAAGTACGTGGCCAAGCCAAGGAACTGCCGCAGTTCCTTGACGTTCGGCGGCGTCGGCCACTCATTGATCACTCTGACCTTCTCAGGGTCAGGGCGGACACCGTTCTTCCCGACGAGACACCCGAGCACGGGTATCTCGCTCGCCCCGAAGATGCACTTCTTCAGGTTCGCATAGAGCTTGTGCTTGCGCATGAGTGCAAGCAGCTTCCGGAGATGCACCTTGTGCATCTCAACATCGCTCATCCCGTCCGCAGCCCGGTTGTGGATGAACACATCGTCGAAGTAGCTCGGTGCGAAGTCGCGCACCGAGCGCAACAAGTGCGTCACGCACCTGTTGAAGGTCGCAGGGACGTTCTTCAGACCCTGCGGCATCACTAGCCACTCCCAGAGCATGCCGCTCGGTGTGCTCACAGCCGTGAGAGGGATATCGCTCTCGCGCATGGGGATCTGATAGAATCCATCGCGCAGATCAAGAGCACTGTAGATAGTGCTCCTGGCCATCGAATCGATGATGACATCTTTTCGCGGTATCGGTCTCTGCGCCGGTATCGTCCCATCGTTCAGCTTGTTGTATGCATGAACGATGCGCCAACCGCCCTGTGGCTTCTTGACACAGAACGCCGGAGCACTGTGCGGGGATTTCGATTCCCGCACTTGTCCAGCTTTGCGACAACTCTCAAAGAAGTCGTCGATCGCCTTGACCTGCTCTCGCGGCAGTGGCCACTCCCGCGTGACACAATACTTCGTCCCCGGCACGAGATCAATCTCGAGCTGGATTCCCTTGTCCTGCGGAAGCTCCGCAGGAATCTCTTCCGGAAGTACGTCCGCGTACTCCCGTAAGATCTCGTAGTAGGGACTCGTTTTCAACGAGTCCCAGCTCTGCTTCAGAGCGCTCCTTCTTCGTCTTCGCACTGAGAGTGTCCTCGCTCTCAGTGGTGGTCTCCATGAAGAACTGCCTCAGTTCTTCATTCTCGCTCTTCGTTCACTCGGCGTCCGAGAGAATGCATATTTGCTCGATGCGTCCATCGTGCAAGTCACGCGCGAAGCGCTTCCAGCTCATGGCTGGAAGCGGAGTCAACTCCGACGCTTGCGTCGGAGGGTTAGCGAGAGTCATCTCCCTGTACCGGAACCCGGCACAGGTACGCGTCAAGACGTTCAACGTCTCGACGTCCGGCTTCTCAGCCTCCGTCTGCCCGGCAGACATTCCTTGTAGCGTCTCGGCCCGAGGCCGAGACTTGCGCAGCGATCTTCGCATGCGCCGTCTTCTTTTTTTGCGGAGCCCGGCTCCGCTTGGTTTTTGACCTCGTCCAGGCCCAGCCGTGGACGGGTGTTCTTCTTTAGTACCGCCGGCGGGTTCATCCCGCGGGCGAGCGACTTCAAGCCCGGCTTGGTCGCCCGGCGCTTCGTCGTGCAACCCGGCTGCACGACAGCATGCAAGTTTTTCCGGTGCGGGACGATTGCAACCGTCCGCACCGCCTGCAGCGTCGGCTCCCGGAGCCGACACGCCATCTTCACCTCGACGCCTGTTATTGGCGGAGCCCTCCATTACGGAGGGTGCGTTGGCTCCCCGGGCCGACGAATCAAATTCGTCCTAGCTATCGACTCCCGGAGTCGACACGCCATCCTTACCTCGACGCCTGTTATTGGCGGAGCCCTCCATTACGGAGGGTGCGTCGGCTCCCCGAGCCGACGAATCAAATCCACCCAAGCCATCGACTCCCGGAGTCGACGGCGTCTCGTCACCTTGGCTCTTATTATTGGCCAAAACTGATCCAATCAGATTCGCGTCAGCCTCCACGGCTGAGGCGTGTGACTCGCCTGCGTCATCCGTGCCCCTTGAGGCCGGAGACTCTTCTTGATTCGCTGAAAAGCAGGTGTCAGCCTCCGAGGCCAACACATTTCCTTCATTAGCTGTCAGCGGCAACGCCGACGCTAGTTGCTCTTGCGCGCGTGTTCGCGAGCGCCCAGGGCGCTTCGGGACAGCGGCATATCTCGAGTGGGGAGTCGCGCGCACCTGTCGGTGCATGCGTAGCGGCAACAGGGCCATCGCTCACTGTTCCGCTGTCGCGACCGAAGCGCACGAGAGTGCGCATCTCCCAGTCGATGACCGGATCATGCCGTGCAAGCCACGGCATGTCCAATATAATGTCAAACTTATCGTCCAGATCCAGGACGATAAAGGTCTCGACAAACTCTTGATCTTCATACGTGAAGCGCACGCGTACCATGCACTTCTCGGTCTTCACGACGACACCCGTTGCCAGTCGTACTTCCAACGTACTTCGAGGTATCTTTAAATCCTCGAAGTCATGCCTAGATAGACTTCGCAGTCGAACCAAGTTTTTCGACGCGCCAGAATCTACCAAAACACGGAGACAGCCGCTTGCTCTCAATGAGTTCACGTTCAGGATGATAAGGTCAGGCTTGTCATCTTGGTTCTTGCAGTGAGAATGAACCTCACTGGGCGCTGCAGTCCTCAGTGTCGCGTGTCCAAGGTCGACACACGGAACTGCATTACCAGTAGGGCGCCCCGCGCCTACTGGCGTCCCGCGTTTTTTGTTTGGTTGCGACGGTGCCCGGCACCGCCGCGATAGCCACCATGCTGGTGCACTCCCGAGCAAAGTGACCGACTCTACCGCAACGGCAGCATCGCACATTGGTTCCCTGCGACTGCTGGGGTCAAGCAGTTGCAGCACTCGAGAGGTCCATGGGTTCTGGGCCTCCCGTCCTCACTACCGGGCGTGGCTGTTGCCTCGGCGCATTCGCATGCAGCTTAGCCTGTCGCAGGCTAAACTCCTCCTGCATTGCAAGAGTATTTGCAGCTTCGAGAGTACTCGGATACTCACGGAAGAGATAGGTCTTCACAGGCCCATCTCTAAGTCCTTTCATGAACGTGACGACCTTGTTCGCCTCGTCTATCGGGTTGGTCACAATGTTCGAGACCAAGTACCGTGCTCTCTGAGCGTAAGCATGGACATCATGCTTGCCCTGCTGCAGGTCGAGGAACTCCGCCATCGACCGGAACTCGTTTTGCGGGGGCTCAAACGCTTGTCTAAGCTCTTCCTTGAAACCGTCGTACGTGCTAAAGTACGTAGGATCCGAGAGTCGGCGTCCATACGCCCAACGTCTTGCACGTCCGCCAAGACATGACATGGCGAACGCGACCTTCGACAACGGGTCGACGATGCGTCGAGCCGCAATGGCAGTGTCGAGTTCGACAAGCCAACGGAGGAGAGGCTCGCCCTCTCTTCCAACGTAATTGCTCACGCTGAGCTTCAGCGATTGTGCGCGCGGTGTCGTCCCCGACGACACCGTGGTAGACGAAGCAGCATCTCGCTGCTCCCTCATGATGAATCCCAGAGCAACACCATGTTGCTCTGTCGGCGTTAGCGTACGCAGCATCGTAGCTACAGCCGCCTCACGAATGACTGTTGACAGTCGTTGGAGAGCTTCCCACTCTGGGTCCGACAGGTGGGGACAGTCAGCGCATGCAACGTGAGTTGCAGGCGTAATGGAGCTTTCCATGGACACCTCCGTATCCATGGGAAGGTTCTCAGCTCCGCGTTCGTACGGTGACGTACGAACTCAGGTAGTCGGTCGTTGGACGGACTACAAAGTGCTACCAGGTGTAATGGGCCTGTTTTGGCCCACTACTTTAGCTTACACGTGTGCGCGTGTATGTGAGGAAGCGTAGCTTAGTTTAAATTAGAGTTAATTATACTCGGGCCTCCCAGTATAGATTAATCTAAATAAACGATCCAAATAATGTTTTTGGGTTAAAATGATAACTGCTATTTTTGTTTTATGTTTCTGACTTCCTCTAAATGTAATATTCTAAACTGGGAATCTGCCAACGGCTGGTTGGCAGAATTCCAACGCTATGCATGTCGCTCATTGGCTAAGAGATGCTGCTCTCAGCCAATAGGAATCCTAAGTCTCTGTGGACCACCCGCCGTGGTGGTCGTAAATGTATGTAGCCTTTGGTGTTTACACCAAGGTCGAGAAAGTCTTTCGAATCTCTAACAGACGTCGTGTCTGTTAGAGTTACAAGTGACTGTAGCCACTTGTGCGTGTAACCCTGTCACAGGTAGACTCTGAAATAAATTTCAGAGAACTCAATACTACTCTACCCTCCACGCGAAGTATGCGGTAATTGAATGTACATGTATTTTAATACACTATTAAAATAGTATGCTGCTCAACTTGCGCGGTAGAAACAGGTGGCAATAAAAGTGTTTGTTCACTGGTACACTTTGCTATCAATAAGTTGGATGGGTCAGTTTGTTATTTGAATCGAATCAAACTGATTAATGACCGTTTTTATCAGTTTGAATTGGCCTAAAGAGTTTTCTAACCATTAGAAATTGGCGTAAGTTGAAGTTGATGAGACCCCGAAAAGGGCATGGGCACACTTAGGATGCAGACCGCCGGCTTGCTCATTGCTATCATGCTGAAGGGTGTTCGCCCAAAAGACGCGGCGCTGTTAGCTGCGGCATGGATGCTGCTAAATCTCTTGTTCATCAAGTTCTAGCCCTTTCAAGGCAGTCTTTATGTGTCTTGTTCAACAAAAGGATGTCGTCGGGTTGCTCAGTAGGTACGAGAAATGGTGTGCGGTTGTCCGAGCATGTATAATAGGTGTCAAGTAAAAGCATGTGTGCTCTCTGGAGTAAGTCCCCGCCATGAAGAACTTCAACAGGAATGTCACCGCAATGAAATCGAATCTTATTATAGAAAAGCGTATCTAACGGTAGAAAAGCGTATCTGACGTTTTATCAGTTTGAAACGAAATTTTCTGAAAATGACCATTCCATTTCAATAAGTACCCTGCTACCCGCCTTCCAGTTACAACACACGTTCAGTTGGGGGCGTCAACGCCAGCTTGAATACCGTCTTGAGCGATAAACGAACGATTACGGCAGCTGCAAAAACAAACACACTTTCTGCGAGGCTGTGCACCACTTTCGACTGAAGGTGTGGCAGGGCTTTTTCGCCCAGGTTGCCTTCCCGCAAGGCATTCGGGACTCTATCACGGGGAGAACCAGCATGTTTCGGGGCTTTTTCGCTCTGTTTCTTCATCTTGCGAATGAAGTCCCTGGTACACTTGGATGACCATTTTAAAACGACTCAGTACATATTAATATATATGGGCTCTGTAAAAATTACAAACCGACGTTTACAGGAAATAAGATTTTCCTATTAATTGGGCGAAGCCCGCGCTTGATTGCAGCGTTTTCGGCGTCCCTGGCGGTACTTGTCTTTGCCTTGAAAGACTTCGGAGTTTTCGGGTCTCTTTCTTTCTGAGATAGTGACATGGGCTAGGGTCGGTCGCTAAACAGAGGATATGGGACCTGCGATCGGCCGTGGTGTCCCTCTTGGGTATGACTTTAAGAACATTTGCGAATATGGGTGTAGCCTTTCTAAACTCTTTCACTGTGGGTGTTCTTATTTTAATATGTCCTTAAACACCTCTCAATCTGGGATGGGAAGCATATATAGGTCTAGCTAGGATTGACGAGGCCGAATTGGAAATTAACTACCAACAGTGTTGCTAAACCCTATATTTCGTTTTCGCTTCACAACATCTCCCTGCTGCCGCCACCAACTTTCACATGAGCGGAGCATGGGGGCGAGTCCGATAGTGCACCGTACTAAGTACACTTCTCTCCAACAATATTTTGGTGGACGTCTAGTACCTTCCGCAAAACCTTCCGCGATACGGTACATTCCTCCTGGATCTCCACTAAGTACGATTTCAGAGGCACGATCAGTTTTCGCATGACACCTCAGTTTGACAACCCGTCTGTTGTCGCTCAAGTTCCGCGTTGCTCAACTCACACGTGTGAGTCACACGGGAACATGCCGCTATCGCACCGTTGCTGTACTGTAGCCCGCTCAGCGAGGTGACGAAACATCAGGGCCTAAATTTCGTGGACGTTCTGCCGGAAGAGGCCCGTCGCCAGAACTTCTAACAGGACAATTACCCAACAAATCTACTTGATTAAAATGAAATTTACGTATAGATTTCAGTCTGCTAATACTTAATTGGCCAACCTCCTGCTAACTGTTGCCGCTGTCCGTGCCACTTCCAGGACTGGGGTCCTGAATATCCATAACCAAAGCACCATTAGCACGTCTGGATACAGCACCGCGATCACTTGAGGTTCCTCTGCTACTTTGCGGCGGATAGAGACGAGCGAGCACTTTGTCCTGGTTCTCCGGCGCACGAGCCACTCGGAATATACAGAAGCACAATGCGATGACCAGCAGCACCACAGCGAAGGAGAAGACGGCAATCCCCGCGGAGCTCGCGAAGACCCACTTGAAAACGGCGTGGGCGAAGGTCTGATCTGTAAGTAGACTGCTGTCTGAGTCTGGATCAGACACCTCGAACTGCTCAGCAACAAGTTGGAACGAGGCTGTACTACTTGAGGTGTCAGCGAGCCGTCGGCGTACAGAGGTAGAAGCTCCCACGGTAAGTTGGGACGAAGTGCCAGTCGACGGGTAGTCTGTGTGAACAACCACCCAGAAATCCCCTGAGAACGAAGTCTTGGACACTTCCACGACTTGCGTTACCGACTCGGTCGCCATTGAGATGTACGTGAAGTCGTAGAGTGATCGTGGCAGCATTTCACTCACATACACATTAGGTGCAACGCCACCACTGGCTTGATCTGTCGACTGGAGTGTAAGTCGCAGGCCGATTCCCGCTCGAAGAGGCTCAGGGACCCGAAACATCAGCACCTGACCGCGTGTTAGTGTGACGTTTGCCATGCAACTGGAGCAGAGCAAGGAAACGTTTTCCATCGCGCTCCAAAGTTGCACCAACTCGAACCCAGTCGGAGAGTTGCACGAAAGTCCCGTCCAGCCGGTTGAACACTGACAAACAGGGGCTGAATCCTGCATAACACACTGTCCATGCCCGTGGCAATTGATTGAATCCCCGTCACTCCCGCATGCTCCGGCCACAGTAAGCGTACTAGATGTACTGGTGTGAACGACAGCTTTCAGCTGGAAACGAAGCGTGGCTCCAGAAGCAACTCGATTGTGCACAGCCACTTTATAGCACTCGCTTCCGGTTAATGCGAAGGAGCAGGCAGAGCCGACAGCAACAGCAACACGCTGAACCCCAGACCGTGACGCTACAGCTTCAAAATCTTGCTCCGAGCCCACAGCTAACGAAGGAAATCCGGCGTCACTTGGACCTCGTACAAGAAGCACGGGTCTCACGGGCGTATCTGCTTCAGTGATGTCGTTCTGGATTTCTAAGCTGAACTCGACCGCTTTTGCTGCAGTATCATTGATATCGAACGAATAATAAACCCACTCACCAACCGCTAGGGTCAAGTTGTTTGGAGACTCGTATGCTTGATACAAAGAGGGGCTGCTACCATTGATGGAAGTCTGCGATAGCACTACTCGGGTGGGCTGCAGAGAGCAAAACTGGCCGGCGTAGTTCGTTGTACACGTACACATCTGACTTGACAGTGCACTGCAGACGCCTCCATTTAAGCACACTCCCAAGCTGTCGCTGTCGTCTCCGACCGAGGCGCTAGCACTTGCGCTATCCGATTCCGACACATTAGTTGCCTTTAGGACGGCATTGAACGTAGACACTAGTGTCGAGGTTTTGCAGTCGCTTGCTGCATTCACCGTAAGGCGGTAACCCAGCGACCCACGAGCGTATTCACTGTTGTAAACACCAATGTAATACATCCCCGAGCTGAGTGTCGATGTTGAGTGAGATAGGACGATCTTACGCGCTGACGCGGCTGCAGCCCACCCGCCGACGTCCGCGAATTGAACCGAACTTGACGAGCTCGAGCCACTTGTGGAAATCTTCGGGAGGGTCTCGCGACGCACGAACAGCATCGCATCTCCATCAGGCGTGATTTGATCCAGGTTCACCACAAGAACTTCCCACTTTTTCTTGACGGTCAGCGTGTACAAGGCCCACTCTCCACGCTTGATCTGTAGATCGAGCAGACCGACTTCCATCCTGAACGGCCCCGTGAAGTGCTCGATGTACGCCACACCCGGTCGAAGAACCTGACAAAGTGCTTGGGCCGAGGTGGTTGGAGGGTCAAATGCAAACGCTTCGTCGCAGACACAAGCAGGCAGCGAGTTTCCTGTCACTTGACACACGCCATTCCCATAGCACTCGGACGTGCTTTGTAGAGGATTCACTCCGATCGACACCGACGCAATGGACTCGTTAGTTGAGGACACACTAGCTTCATCGGGCGAGCCTGTCCACAGCGTCGCATCGGTGCATGTCCCCAAGTCCTGGCAGTCGGGTCCGCAGTTTGAAATGCTGCAGTCGTCACCACTCCAGTAGCGATCGCAAGTGCAAACACCGGGGATATTCCTACCGCAAGTACCGTGGTCCGAACACGTAACACCACGGCATTTATCCGTCTCAACGCGGAAGTTGACAGTAGTAGATTCAGTTGAAAAGCCCAACAGCGACAGGTAAAAGTATCCTGGAGCTCCTTGGGTGTAGGCCTCGGTCGGTTTGCTGCAAATGCGTGAAGACGAGTTGATTCCTCGCGGGAAGACTCCCAGTGTCCCACATAAATTGATCTCGTCAGTCATTCCAGCTTCGTTGGTGCTAGCGAAGAGAATACTGCTAGCTGTCATCGCAGTAGGATACATTTCATCAAAAGACCCGTACAGATCCACGTCTTGTGCGCTTCCAGACGGATAGTCGACGATGAACGTGACATCGTAAGTGCTTGCATCCAATGAGAACTTGAAAAACTGGTACTCTTTTGCCTGGACCAACACGCTTAGACCAGCTTCAGGGAGTAGCGCCACCACTGGGGCAGTAGCTGTAGAGCAGTCTACGCCCGAGTACCCTGAAGAACATGTGCATGCACCAGACTCGCAGCTGCACTCTCCATGAGCGCCGCAAGATGAGCTTGTGCATCCTGGTACGCACTCGCAAGCATCTCCCGAGAATCCATTCTGACACGTGCATGCGCCGGTTTCGGCATCACAGGCTCCATTGCCAGAACATTGCGAGGAATTTTTGCCATCATCGACCATGGGGCAGAGCAGATCTGAGCAGCTAAGGCCTGTATATCCAGAAGCACAAACACACTGCCCCGAGCTGCGGTTACATTCACCGCGGGTACTTCCTCCACACTCAACTCCCCTACTGTTAGGACACTCAATACCAGAACAGTCATCCCCCGCAAATCCTGGGAAACACTCGCACGTTCCACTGGAGAGTAGAACACCGTTGCCAGAACATTTATCCTGTAGCAACTGGCAAAGCTGGGCGCTAGGTGGACACACAAGCTTGCCTTTATAGCCATACACCGTTATCTCACCCCCCTCGATCGGACACTGTACTTCCACCCCGCCAATTGATAGTGCAAGGCTTGTGGATGAGCACCCCACTACCTTGTAGCAGGTGGGACGTACTTCAGCTGAATCACTCGATGAACGACTGAGACTGGACTCGAAACATTTGCTTGAAGGCCCGACCTCCTCCATCAAGTTACTCGAGTCAATGAGCGTCGATGTACGGCCAATACCTCGACAGTCACCGTTGTTGTAGCCTCGATAGAACGGGCAGTAATCAGCAAATGTATCGCGGCCTCCGAAATAAGGATCCTCGAAATATTGAAAACCAGCAGGAATACTCGAACTGTAGCTGGCCACGTTGCAGTACCCCTTGACGTTATAGTCAGCCGTGCACCCGCGTTGGGAGCTTTCAGTGCAGATGTATCGGTCGCTCCACTGGGAGCACCTAGATTTTGCCATACCACAGCCTTCATGGTACCCCCACGCAAGCGGTTGAGCTTGATCAAAGCCTGTCACGTCGTACCAGCCGCTATCCGCAAACAGCGCTAGCGTTAGGGCTGAGTACACGGGGTCGTACGAGCTGATGGCACTCATGTACTCGTTCATCACGACACGCTTCTCCCAGTGCGAGCTGAATGAGGAGCTTCCTTCGCCTCCATTCTCCAACTCCAGCCCAGCGTCGACCCAGTCGAAGCAGTTGAAGTGTTGCTTAATTTGCTGCACAACTTGGGGCGTGATGATCTTGCTGACAGTAATTCCTCCCGTGCCTCGAGTCTGGGCGACAACGTTTTCGTACTTCCACAGCGCGCCGTTCCGTGGCTGGCGGAAGTTCACAAACAATCGCTGGGAAAACACCAGAGCGTGGGTCATCTCGTGCAGCGCAGTGCCAATTTGCTCGGTGCGGCTAGCACCAGTTGTGCCCGCTGGGTTCAAGCGTGATGGACTGAAGTTCGCCTGGCCGGAAATGGGGCGGCCGAACTGATCCAGGTTGCAGGGTAGAGCCCACGCTATTACAGACCCCGTTGTAGGACGCGCCGTCACATGCAACAAGTAGTCTGCGTTCTCCACGCCCACCGTGCGGTAGAATTCTGGCATCGAATTAGCGCAGCACGCCCAATCCGTGTCATTCGAGCACGACATCCCCGACACAATCAGGTTTCCAGCTATCCGTTGAACCGACAGTACGCTGCCAAAGTAGTCGGCGATGGTTTTGAGTAGGACAGTTGTGACGAACTCCTTCTTGGCTGGGGTCAGGACATCACCCTGTGAGCAAGTGTAGTCATCATTGTCCACTTGAATGACATCGCCTACTTTCTCACACATGTAGCCTGGATCCCTGTTCATTGCATGCCAACACAAACAGTTTAATTGGGTTATTGCTAAAAAAGTACTAGTCGCCTGCAACTTACGAGTAGAGTTTCGACACGTCAAAGGCGATTCGTAGCGGGTGAAAAGCGGTCGAAGTTGCCGTGGCTGCGAGGTTGCGTTGCGTAAACGCTCGCGAAATGCTAAGCTCGTCAAGAACACTGTCGATGAAATAATCCCGGGCTGGACTCTGAGCTGGAGTTTCATCTTCCACACGGAACTCTTGTGGGGTGACGAGGGAGTCCAGGTCCACTGTGCGCTCAAATTCGTCAACTTTTCTGTCGTGGATGCAGTCGTGGTGGTGATGCTGGTGTTGCACTTCAATCGATGTGGCTGGGGTGGCAAACAACATCAAGTTGATCACGATAACGTAAAATAGCAGACGCTGCCAAAGCATTCGCTGCCAGGCTACCACTGACAAATGCGCGATTCTCCTTGACCAACATGATGACTTCGTTTGCATTATCGAATCTGCTCAAGCACTGCAATCACTTTGTGCGCCGAAGAAGCATAGAGAGAGAAGGCATCGCGGAAGTTTCAGCGCTTGCATATCGACGAAAACCGTCGGTAAAAATAATGAGCGCGGCGGTTATTCAACGCATCAGTGCCGCTAGTGGATGTTCGTACTAATGCTGTCGTCCACCCAGCGAATACAGTTCCCTTCGGCATCCCCCGAAAACAATTGCCGCTGCTCTGGGCCCAGCGTGATGGCCGTCACCTTGGCACGATGGTCTAGAAGCAGCTTGAGGATGAATAGCTGGCAGGAAGGCACCACCTGCTTGCGTGCGCTTGACGACGCTCCTTGATTTTGAATCGATACGGGTGCGTTGGCCCCTTCATTTCGCCTTGAACTGCTGGGGGAGCTGCAGAACATTCCCGGAGTAACGGGAGCCTGGTTGTGTGGTGTCGAGGAAGCTGCCGGCTCGACTTCCAGGCTCTCCTTGCTTTGACGAGCGATGTCCGACGGGTACCGCAGCCCCCAAAGCGCGATTGCTCCGTTCGTGTGCCCGGTGACAGCGACGACTCCATTCTGCCACGCTTCACATCGCGTTGATATTGTGCACGTCTGAGCACATGGTGCACTGCAGTTAGATGCGTGATCAAGCAAGAAATCTGGCGAAGTTACTTACAATGGCTTGGAGGCCGAATGCAGACGAGCTCGAAGCTGCAAGAAGATCGCCATTGATACTCCAAAGCCGTACTTCGGAGTTTGTGGCGGTTAGCACGTTTCCATTCGCGCTGTTGATGGAGACGTGGGTGACTGTAGCCGAGTGGCCAGCCAGCTCCTGTAGCAAGGCGCGCGTCCGCAGATCCCACAGCAACACGCTGCGGTCTGCAGACGAGCTTGCAATTAAGTTGAACTCCTGGAAACAAGGTTCGCAACAATGTTAGCTCTAGATCAAACACAACACTAATAAGCACAGCCTACAATAGCAACTCACCTTGTTAATGGCAACACACAGTACAGCGTCGGTGTGTCCGATGAACTTTGCCATTTGTCTGAACACTCGCCGCCCATCCGCCGCCTTTGAGCACTCGATCAGGTTCACAACTGCGTCTTGGCCTCCCGTGACTAGTAATACCCCGTCGTCAGAAATGGCGGCGCAGTTGACAGCATCCTGATGTGCCCCCTCAATGACAGCGAGAACCTTGTTGGCTTCGCGGTATCGACTAGCGCCGGAGCTTTGTTGATGGATTCGCAGCTTCATAACTCCGCTGTTGTTCCCCCAATCCAGATACTTCGCGAACCGCGGTGGCATAAAGGTGCATCCAACGCCTTGACATTGCATCTTGTCGTGAGCAAATCTCACATCGCCTATAGCGGCTCCATTGACTTGTACTGCGACAACGGAGTGCTTCTTGAGGAAAACGTAGTCCTTCCCAATCGCGACCAGGGCGGGTGCCAAAGGTGTGTGCCATTTAACGTAGGTTTCGATCGCACTCAGTGTGATTCCGTCGTATTGGTGTCCCGCGGAGGGATTCATAGCCGGTATTGACAGAGCATCCGATACCGGTACATTTGTCGAGGGTTGCAGCGTCGGTACTTTGCGCTGGGGATGGGGACTAGAAAAGATTCGCGATGGCGTCTGACCGAAATTTTCGATCTGTGCAAGCGTCGCAGCGCGCATTACAGGGTCTTCGATCTGCTCAATATCCACAGTTCCTTCGTAGGTAAAATGCATGAAAACATTTTGGGCATCCACTGCTGCTCGTCCGGTTTGTTTGACTCCAAACACAAGATCAATCCATTCGGGTAGATGCTCCGATACATACTTCGACTCCAGTGCTCGACGGTTCAGTCTTACGAATTCACGCGGATCTCCGTGTGCCCAAGCAGGCAAAACCACATGGCACACTTCCTCTCCGCTCTGTGTAGTGCCGAACCTGCAGTTGTTGGCGTTGTAGAGAAACTCGGGTAGATAGAAAAACTCCGGAATGAGCTCGCGCACGTCCTGTAGATTCTCTCTGGAAGCTGACATCCATGACGATGGAATGCTACGAAATAGGCGATCTGGATGGTCAAAGACGCCTCCCTGTAATTCCAACGCTAGAGCTGTGAATGGCTCTAGTCGAATGAGGTAGTTGATCACGTAGGCGGAGCACGAATAGTGAGTTCCATAGTGAAACGCGGGTGTCTCCATGGATCCGTCCGCGTCCATGTCCTGGTTTAAAGCCGCGTATCGTTCACAAAACTGAGCTGCGCGAGTCTCACCAATTGCCCCCATGGGTTTGGATAAATCTCGAAAAGTGTCTCGCGCGTTCAAATCTAGAAACTCGCTCGAGTAGTCTGCGATCACCCAGGGGAAAACCGGATACTGCGTGATGTCATTGAAGCTCCGTCCTGCCAAAGTGTTCAAGTGGATAAGGTACTCAAAGTTAGAGATCGATCCACGCAACCACCGCTTTGTCACCGCCTGACGTATTCGCTTGATCGATGGTGCCAAAGCCCCCGTGCGAAGAACAGGACTCCAGAAGATGCTGTTGACCAGCGGCATTTGAAAGAGTAGCTTGACAACTTCCTCGCGATCAACAAGCGTCTCTAACTGGAGGAAATACGTAGAGCCGAATGTATCAAAGAGCTCAATACCGACGGGGCGCAGTTGATACTTGATTCGGCAGAACTGCTTTACATTCGAGTATTTGATGCTCCAACGGGAAGACGTGGCTAATGGTGTTGAACATGGCCCACGACCAGGCTCTCCAGGTTGTAGAGTTGCGTCCAGCATTGGTACAACGGTGAAGAACTGCTCTCCGCCTGCTTTGGGCTGGCCAAATGGCACACCCAGATCGTTCAGCGCCGCTCGCAAGAGCCTTTTAGTCGTTTTCCTCCTCCCACCTGCGGGAGTATTTGTAGATTTACCAACCTCCAAGCTAAAACCTTGTGCTGCATTACTGGATGCATCTCCCGTCCTGTAATTCACACTCTGGCTGTTGTAAAGCTTTGTATAGCCACCGACAAAGTACAACCCAAGCCGGGAAATCACCAATAGACCTGGAATCTTGCCCATACCCACGATGTGCGCCGCACTGAAACTTTTAATCGGGGGATAGTCGTCTCGGTGAATAAAGCGAGCAATGGATCCATACACGGCATCGCTGGAGGTATCAACCTCCTTTCCGGCATGACTTAGTTCCGACTTTGGTGATGTAGGCTCCAGAGGCGAAAGCTCTGGTGTGATACGTACGTTGTTATCACCCTCAATTAAGTTATCCTCCGCAGTAGGGGTTGAAGCATCATTCAAGGTAACTTCGCCATCGGAGTCACCACTTCCTCCGTCATCCAACGGAATGTTAGAGACTAGTGACGTATCCTCGTCGACCTCATCTTCTGATCCTTCGCGCTCCGCCCCCACTTGGTCGTCGGGGTGGATGCCAACGGGTACTGACCGAAGACTTTGGTGTTGTACCGCACAGAGCGCGTATTGGGTGGCCTCCACATCCGCTGCGTCAAAGAGTGCAAATGGCAGAGCGGCCGCATCTGTCTTCTCCTCTGCGTCACTGATGATGCGACCAATCTCCGTAATCAGGGAGGGTGATATTCCCATGCTTTGTTTGCTGCCACCTTCTTCCTCACCCCCCAAAAATGAGTTGTACACTTTCCGAGCCATCGCCACGACCTCATCTGGGCCAGATGTTTTGTCGGTTGTATTGGCATCTCCGATATCTGCAAAAATACTGCGGGTAGAGTCCATTTTGCACTGGGCTAAAATGTGTCGAAGGCTTAGAGCGTCGTTGTATCTACTCGTACTCCGCCTGTAAACAACCTCACGGAAAACTTCCACAGCATCGTGGAATTCCAGGCTTCGCTTGAATGGTTCGTTGTCGATAGTTGCTGGATTAGCGTCAACCGCAGTCTGCTGGTCAGCCTTAGGTTTTAGCAGGGTTTCATTTTGTGCACTCTCTTCTGAGACGTAGTCCCGTACAAGTCGCACTCGCATTCGCTGTGGACCCTCAGTAGTATCCAGACAGTAGCCAACTGCCCTTTGTTGGAACACACTTTGTTGATCCTGCGATTTGATCTCTGCTCCACCTCCACAGTCACCAAGTTGCCATTTTCCGGTCTGCCAAATATTCCGTGTGTAGGCAAGACGAGTTGACATGTCACGCCATCGAGATAACCCGTCGCTCATAGCATCCAGCGCGCTATCTCGAAGACTTGAGAATTTAACGAGAGCCTTCTTTGCAATCAAGTCACGCCGCTCCAGCTCATTTTCATCGGCGAAATTGTTCACGATTCCGACGCTTCTGATATCGATTCGTACCGGAAAGTCGGTTTCAAGACTTAGGTTCTGGGCGCCCGCTCTACCAGACTCCATCCGGAGGCAAATACACGACTGAAGAACTTCAAGACCATGTCGATAAATCGTTTCCGTTCTTGCAATTATGAGATCGACCAGCAGCGCATGATTCTCGGCAAGCCAAAGCTGAAATTGACACCAGATTTCTTGGTTTATCGATATCTCCGAGGTTTCCGTTCCAGTATGTGAGGTGTCTCCATCTTCATCGGGCGTATGCAGCGCGTATAGTAGTCGATCAAATCCGCCGTGAAACACATCGACAGCAGCCTCTTTCTTCGTTGATGTTATTGTGTGCAGGAGCGACGTACGCGGTTCGGCAATTAGTAGCTCCTTCAACACATTAAAGCGCCGATCAATGATGAACTGCCAGAGGACAATTGCGGCATGGCGCGCCATGTTCGAATCATTCATCAACATTCGGAACAAGAGGGCTGCTAAAGAGAGGATAAAGGTACGATCTGACTCGGCGCCGAGACCGAACTCCTTGTGAGCATTTGCGCTAAGACTTCGGATTCGGTGCATCCGGCGAGGACGGCCTCCTGCCGACAATACGTTAGTGGATTCAGCACCGCCGCTAGCCTCATTTGTGGTACTTCGGGTTAGAATACCACATTCAATCAGGCCGTCCCAGCTAGGTTGTTGCAGCAAAATGTGTTTGTTTTGTAGCAATAACGTCAAAAATGGGGCTGACGGGACGACATCTCGATGAGCACCACCAAGCTCATTCAACACAACCATCTGGGTACAGTAAATGAACGATCCGTAAAAGAACTGTTGCTCATCAACACCAACCGTTTCCGCAATGACCGGAAGCGAGCACTTTTCGCAGCAATCCAGCAAAAACACCAGTATCTCCTCGCCAATGCATGGCGCTATTTGTGATCCAGAAGTCTCTGTACCTGTGATGTGATGGTTATCGATATCCGCCATATACCGAGACAGCGCCACGCACACGGTGCAGATATTCTTCATGGAACCCAAGGTAATGTTACTCGTCAGAGCCTGCTCTTGTTGAATAATATGTTCCAATAGCTTTAACCAGCAACGTTGGCCACCCGCTTGTGACAGGGGTGGTCCTCCTTGCTTTGCGATTATGTCTTCAAGGGTTTCCAGCGCCAGCATCATCAGCGATCCAAACTCATCACCTCCGTATAGTGCTCGGATCATTATAACTCGAAGAAGATACAAACACGCGTCACCAATGGACTCTGTTGCAGTCGTCTCGGTATTCTCAAGCTGTACACCACTTGCCAATCGTTGCAGAATATCCTCCAAACGGTTTATTAGTGTTTCTTTGTTCTCGGAGCATTTTTCCAAACTCCCGATCGCAGTTACACCAATTTTATCCTCGCGAGAGCTCAGTAGGCACTGCACTAAGACTCGAAAAATCGTGCCACTGGACTGGCACACTCCAGCAAAGAACGAGGGGCTTGTTTCCACCCGAAAGGCGATTTTGCCCAGCACGACCACACTTATCTCTCTTGCGACCTTGGTGTCGCCTTGGTTATTTTTCAGAAGTAGCTCGCCAATTATATCCCATACCTGATCAGCACACTTGTTGGCGGGGTGCGGCACGGAAACTTGCTCTGTAGCTGAGAGCGTGTCAAGATCATGGTAATTGGTATCCCGGATAGGGATGCAGGAAATATACGCCAGCAAAGGAATGTACGCACAGTAGTCACTGCTATACTTTCCCAATACTCGCTTCAGCTTGGATGCCAATACAAAGTTGCTAAGCAAATGTTCCGCAAAAGCGGGGTGGTCTTGTGCGAGCGACAGTAAAACACGAATCGCTAGCAATGCCTCTGTAGATACCCAGCAACCGCTGTCGGCATCTTGGTCAATAACATCTAGGAGTATGTTTGCAAACCCATCCACAGGATAATACGAGAAAAAGCTTTTGCCGAGCTTGGAAGAGTTTTCGGCGGGTGGGGAGCTCAATAATACTGCATCCTGGTTACCACCATTCTCGACACGCCTTTCTTCTCGCTTTTTCGTGCCAGAAATTGGCCCTTCAAGATTTAGAATCGATTCGACGATAGTATTAGAAATTCGTTGTGCAGTATGTTCAGCCGTGTTATCTGATTCCACGACCTTCTCACCATTTCGCGAGTCGTTCTCAATTTCATGCAGTATAAATTGAAGTAGAATCGCGCGAATAGGATTGTTTCTAGCGTGCATCTCCATACTTGCCATCGAGAGAAGCACGATTTCACTGATACCACGAAAGTCATCCACGTGATTTTCCACGCGCAAAAATGCTCGAAGTAGAGATAGCACATACTGCAAGATGGCCTCAAACATCGGTTCAACAAACTTGGGAAAACACCATCGCATCTCAAGTGCAATAGATTGGCTCATTTGACACTTCTCATTGCCGAGATCCGATAAGTAAGTCAGAATCCACTGGAAAAGTCCTGATCTTCGTAACTGGCGAGCATTGAATAATGCATTCGGGTTCTTCAATACGACCAAATCCATCAACAGTGATACGAGCTGGCACTGTAGGTGCTCTGGCAATTTCTTGCGTAACTCAACATTCAGGACTACTTGTGCAAGAGCGGTTGCGTCCACAATCGTCGGATGTGCTAACTGCCTCCCGGTAGTCGTTTCGGAGTTGGCATAAAGCACTAAGTTTCCTGCAACCGCTAGCCGTACGATTGATGTGAGCATTTTCTCATCGATCAAGTCTACACGTGTACACAGGATCACAGAAATAAGGTTGTAACCATTGCAGCCAATACACTCGGCTAAGCAAGCCGTGTTTCGACGTAACACGTCAACCAGCATCTCAAACACGATTCTGAAGTCACATTGCCGTCGCGCATTATCAAGCAGTGGGAAAATGACTTGGCAAATTCCTCCCACGGAAGGCAGAGACCGAGCTAAATCCAGGCGGGACGATAGCGCGGTGTTGATGTAGTGCACTTGAGTGTGCGCCAGAACTGGTGTGCTTGATCGATCACTGCACGATGTATTCAGTGAAAAAAGAATAGAGTCTTCCGGGAGCTTGCAATTACCGAGAAGAATCTCAATCTCAACGCCAAATGAGCTTGGATCACAACCATAGCTGACGAAACTTCGAAACGCTGCCACCTTGTTGGACTCCTTTCGTGAAATTCCGCCAGCTGCTCCAGCCGCTATCCTCAATCCTTCAGTTAGCTCTTCCTTTTTTGCGATCACCGACTCCGCAATTAAGGCAGCACCGGTCGTAACCGCATCAGCCGTCATAATCTCGCGCCACTGTCGCTGACATGCCTGCCCCAACTTAGTGAGTTGTAAGCGTCGTGTGAATTGGGCAACTTCGATCCCGCGGTCAGCTGCACGGGCCAAATATGAACTGGCAAGCGCCTCTGGCCAATCTCCCACAGAGCGGTAAGAGTTACCACTAAACTCTTGGGTGAACGTTGGCCCAAGAGAGAACATACCTGCTATTGTTTTGCTTGGTAGCACTTCATCTGAGAGCCACGCTGGTCCAATTTTCCACGATAACGCCGAGTGGGGACTACAAACTTGCGCGTCGCTTCCAACAAATGCTTGAAAAGATCCCGCCGATGGAGCTGAAGGAAAGTTGAGTTTCTTTGTTGACACTTCTTGGCCATCGATGTACATCGTGATCAAAGAGCTCCCAACCACCGCTCTTCGGTGAGTAAAAGCGAAGTGATGCCAATCACGCGGCCGTTCTGACCCGCCTCTAGTACACCCATCACCAGGATCAACGATGTTGTGAGGTGGGCTAGTAGGGCGAAGGTCATCAATTGCCACAGCGTCAAATACAATGGAAGTACGCTTCGGATTCGGATTCATGGTGGGACCCGTGGTGGCAGAGCCCGTGTGAAAACGAAGGAAACCAGTAGAATGCTCGAAGAAAACGCGCACAAAACAAGCCGAGGATTCCAGCGAATATATCGAGAGAATACAAGCTGATCCCTCCTCTTTGTCCCTGACCATGTTGCCCTGCCGGCTGGGTTCAGGTACATTTCCGTTACTTGAATAACCGAATGAACTTAGCAGAGAGTCGCTTGAGGCGAAATTCGAATCCATGCTGGTTTCACTTTGCACAGCGCTATTGCTCAAGTTTCCGGACAGCTCCATTGCTCGCCACCACATCGTCATACTGTCGTCATCTGCGCAAGTCGCTCGAAAAAGAGTCGTGTCAACCCGAAATGACCATTCTAATGGTCCTGATCGCGTAACGTGTCTAATGACCAGCACAGCGGTGGGCTCCACATTCTGAGCGGCACATTCCCCCGACGTGAATAGCTTCAACGTTCTATTCACCAATACGCCATACGCATCAACAGGATCCACATTCTCTCCATCTCGCGTCACACGGAGGTTACCTTCACAAAGGGTAACAGACATTGTAGAGCTGACAGAGTCGATGGGCTTCTCTAGATCAGCCACCTTGTCTGATTGGGTGTCGGCTACTGCCAGTGCTGGGAATCGTAGCCAGCAAGAAAACGAATATCCCGATGATGGAGGCCACACCCGGTCGGCGCTATTTACAATGTGCACATATCTTCCAGTCAGTTCCACTCCCTGAGGCTTTCCCACTGAAACATGCCGAATTGCCTCGTTTCTCAATACATCTCGTAACAGCAACAGCCCGGCTTCTGGGTTTTCACAGGTCGGTGAAGACTCTTCAAGTGGATGGCGCTGGGGTCTCAAGAGTATTGGCATCGTCTTGCCTACTAGTCTGAAGAAGTCGTGCAAACAAGGAACAGCAAGGGATTCTTCAATCACAACTGTTACAATCCACCTTGTCAACAGCGGGTGCAGTGGATCATCCACTTTCATAACCTTCGACACAATGTCCGGATCACACATCCACCGAAACACTCCAGCACGTACCACACGGACAACTTGCTCACTCTTAGATAGAGTAGCAGTATTATCAGGCGACTCGAGCATCGAGAGCAACTTCTCCATCGTCTTAACCGCTTCGCTTGTAGGTAAAACCGGTAGAAGACGGAAAATTATCTGGGCAGCTTCACCATTGTGCATTGATTTATGCAGACTGTCGCCGGAGATCAGGTCGAAAACTCGATTCAAGACTTCTTCTCGTTTGGAGGTTTCAAGAACACCCGATGTGAGTATACAGCTTGCAACCGTCGAATAACCATAGATTGATCTGAAATACTCGGCGTTGTAGTGGCCGCCATGCCGCGAATCAAGCGTGACACTTAGCACCTTTAACACCAGTTCCATCATATGGAACGCGTGCCCATGGGAATCACTGCTAGCGAAATCAAATGAAGATAGCAGCGCAACCAATATTTCATAGCCCTGACACGCCTTCAATAAAGGAGATACTTCAAGTCCGCCAGCACCGAGCATTTCAACCAAAATGTACAGCACTAGGATTTGTCGCCATACAGCCCCACGAAATCGTTGGAGAGACTCCAGAATACAACTCAAATCCGATTCTACTCCAGCTCGTAGCAGTGATACACTTGACGTGTCGATCTCGTCGATGGCAAGACCGGGATGACTTTGTAAGTTTCCTGCCAGTTCCGCAAACGCCGCCATGACAGAAAACTGGTTCTCACTTAAATGGAATTCATCTGTCACGTCAAACGGAGTGGCCAAAATATCACCCGCTATCATGACATCAGTTATCACATAGAGTGATTGGTGCGCTCGCATCTCTCGAAACCGGAGACACTCGTGCACGTTGTTTCTAAGCATCAAGCACAGCATCCTGCCATACATTTCGAGATTAGGCTTGAGTGCAGTCATAAGTTCATGTATCTTGGATGTTTCCGTGAGTGGCACTTCATTGAAGCACGTAGCAATCTGGTCTAGCCACAGATATATTCCACGGTCCATCAACCCAAATCCACTCAGCTTTTGCTTGTACACGTCAGATTCGCAATCCCGTAACACTTTGATTAAACACTCACACATCAGCGTTGAAAGCGTTGAGGTCGACCCCTCTCCAAATGCACTCATCACCAATTCTGAAGAGATTGGTCTTGACGAGGACATCGAACTTTCAGCGCTCGTCGAGTTGACCAAATGTAGAGTTGGCTGAGAACTGAGCGGGCTACACGCGACCAGAAGTCCGCATACGATGGATAATATTTCGTGAGCGAGGGAATCTTCGGGTTGAGCAGCACAACAAACATACTCAACGATACGTAGAATAATAACTTGTGCATCGTAAAACGTTGTCAGCGGCAACTTCATCAGCAGTAACGCCAGCGTTCGCGTCCTGGGCTCGAGAAATGCGAAATTGTCATAGTCACTTGTGTATATGTGCAAAACCTGAGTGAGTAATTGGAGAACAAGATGTTCATCTCGACGTTGCTTATCGGAACTAAGCACATCTTGCCCGGTCACGTACTTAAGCAGCAGGTCTCTCATCGCGGCGAAAGCATGCTCATTTCGAGCTCCAAACATACTTTCGACAACTCGTTCTGCTCCATCGGAAGTCTCGGTCGAACATACTCCAAGGGGTATCAGAGCAGTGAGCATGTCGAGAAAAGCAGGGATTTCGTCCTCAGTGCAAGTGTCCAGCAAGCGCAGTAGCAACGTATACCCACCAGAGGTCTGGAATTCATCTAGGAGCACCAGCGTAAAGCGGAACGTTTTTCCCAGGACATAGAGTATGGATTTAATGCCCACTCGAACATCGTAAGAAGATAAACAGAATGACTCGACCATAGTTGGAGACTCTGTATCTTTGCGGCACTGTGGTTCTTGACGTGGCAGAGCAAAGGGAGACGACAACGGCGTTGAAGCATCTCCACGGTCAATTGATCCTCCCATATTTCGCGTCAGCCCAAGCGCCTCACTAACCGCAGCAGCCGCTGCTTCTGCTGACGAGTGATCATTGCCATTCACGGAAGGACCATGCATGAATTTATCTGGCAGCTTTCTTGCGTAAATCTCCAAGACTCGCACTGCCGTATCAGCCGTAGTAGCAGTCGCGAGGGTATAATTAGTCATCAATCCGACCGTCTTGACAACAACGTTGCAGTCCATCAAATACCACGCCAGCGCGGCGCTAAAATTGCGATCAGGAACCACCATCAACGCCCGACTGCACCCGTCACGAATAAAAATCGCAGCTGGTGGATACTCCTCTGCTGTAAGAGCAATCATGTTGGGTAATTCGCACCGATAGGTTTCCATCAACGTTCCATTCGAGGCGATTGACACGACGCAATTCATCAGAAGCTCGAGTGACGGAACAATGGAGGCAAATATGCCAGTTTCCTCTTCTTCAGAAGTAGTAGGCACATCCATGCCTGAATCACAGCCCTCTCCTTCACGATGAGGTTCCTTGATCCCAGCACCTCCACCACTTTTCACCATGCTGGCCAGCTCCTCCTTCATCGCGAGAACGCGCATCTTAGCCACAAAATCCAACACAAGCGATGGGAACGCAGTCTGCTCGCACAATGCGACCCCCACTGAGGACGAGAAGTAACTCTTCAGCAGCTCCAGCGTCATTTCACCTGAAATAGCCAAACGAACGAACACGCAGCACCCAGGTCAGCACTTCTTTACCCTGTCTTAACCGGCATCTTCAGATCACAGACATGACTGCTGCTGTAGCTTGTCCACCGCTTGGGTCACAAACTCTCGAAACTTGTTCAACTCTTCGTCCGGCTCTTCCCCCTCCAGCAGCTTCGCTATCCTGCGTCCAGAGCTCGGCGTCAGCCTCTACCCACCCGTTAATTTAATAACACCTTCCTCCTGCTCCTCCCACTTACGCTGCTTTCACGTGCGCAGCTACCCCACGAATGGCCGCATCCACATGGCGCAGCACCTCCTGCACGTATAACGTTAAATATAACGTTATAAATGAATTATTCTTGCACATATTTAGTAATTATATGTGTACAGACTTGATCGGCGGCGGCCGGGGGCTGCGCAGACGCAGCCGAGGGCAGCAGGAACGCGCCCCAGCGCTTGGAGGATGGAGCAGACGCCTCTGCTTCGACTGTACGAGGCGTCCCCGCCGCCCGCGGACTCTCGACGGACGGGGAGCGCGCGAAGATGCCGCCCAGGAGCCTCTTCATGTGTTGCTGGATGGTCGCGAGTGCGGAACTGAAGTTGAAGGTGCTGGGTGGTGTTGCTCACACGAGTTTGGTGTGCGGTACCTGGATGTATCCATGCCAGCCACAGACATGGCTGATTTATTTGGCTGCCATTGCACTGCACCTGCACTTTTGCACTTTGCAGGTCGGACGGAGTGTATCAACGCGACCCACACGCAACTCCAGTCGTGACTACTGTAATGGCGGACGAGACGGAGGTGGAGACGGTCACGCGCATCCAGGCCGTCGACATCCGGGACTTGTACCCGGAGCTGGCACCGGAAGACGCGACCTCGCGCGTGTGTCTGCTGTGCGGCGCCAAGCTCAAGGACAAGACGCACAACCTCACGCGGCATCTGGAGCGACACCACGCCGGGGCGCTCCTGCAGCTGCTGGAGCAGCGCAACCAGGCGTCGCCCAGTGTTTTGGCCACCAGGACCAGGCGCGCGCAGCAGGAGAAGACAGCGGCGGCCGCGGCCAGGCAGTCCGCGGGGCCAGTGGAGGACGCTCTGCTCAAGGCTGGAGACGCCAAGCTGGCGCTGGCGAGATGGCTTGCCCAGGAGCAGCTACCCGTCGACCTGATCGAGAAATCCGGCTTCCGCGAGTTCATCGAGGCGCTGAATGGGCAGTTCAGCCCGCCCAAGCAGGAGGAGCTCCGCCAGCTGCTGGAGACGCTGGTGGCGGGGCAGCACGACACGAAGCTGTTGGTCGACAGCAACGGCGCGATCACGGACGTTCGAGGTGGTGACAACCTGGCATCAGCTGTGGAGATGATGGCGCTGCGAGCGACATGTCGATGCAGTGAGGACTCCCCGATGGTGACATACAGTCGAGTTGCGTGCGACATCGTCGAAAATGGAGAAGCCAAAGTGCGGGTCTTGAGAGCAGCCGCGTCGCTCTTCGATGCGCAGACTTGTCGTGGCAGCGTGCTAGGCAAGAACGGAGTGCTCGGTAGGTCTTTCGTCGGGGTCGTCACTGAGTTGCAGACCCAACCGTCCGATGTCAGTGTGGCAGGAGCTAATCCAGTCCAGTTGCACACCAAGGTCGTGGCGTCGCCGTACATCACTTCAGCGCCAGATACCCCACTGAAGCAGGAACAGAACCACCAGCCAAACGACGCAGGGGCTTCTCTCCAGAGCAGCAGCCGCAGTTCCTCCTGTCTCGGCGTTAGTGCGTCCAGCGGCGCGCTCGCCGACTACATCGTGCTGCCAGTCTCCAATCTGTGCGCGGTGCCGCCCGCCGTGCCTGACGACTTGGCTCTTCTAGCAGACGATGTTGCTGTCGTCCTCTCGATCGTCAGCGAGTTGCAGCGGCGGCACGTGACCAACGTCGCCATTTTGTCTGACGGCCCGTCGACGATCCTCTCCTCCTTGTTGACGCGATACCTGCACCAAGATCTGCAAGCCCCCGCCCAAAACCTGCACGTCTTCTCCACGTCGACAACAGGCAGCTCCGCGTGGTCCCCGCACGCCTCCTACACCTCTCTAGATATTTATCAGCCGGCAGCCGTAGCTCACGTGCTCTCGCAGCAGACCGAGCTGGCGCTGGAAGCCGTCGTGGACCTCATCGGCTTCGAGGCCTCCGCTGAGTTGGCCACGTCGCTGGTGCAGTCCATGGGCTGCGTCGTGCTCGTGGACCGCTCGAGGCTGGAGCTGCATTCGCGCGCCAGCGTCGCCATGGACATGAACGCCGTCGTGGTGCGCGAGCTGGAGGTCGTGAGCGTGCCCGACTGTCGCAGCTACTTACGCGCCGCGCTCGAGTACCTGGCGGCACAGGCTCAGAGTCAGCAGAGCGCCACCGAGTTGCGCGCGTTCCTGCTGGACGGCGTGGCGCTCTCGCAGGCGCTGCCCGAGCTCCAGACGATCGCGGAGCACGCCGTCACCGAGCGGTATCTTCAAGTGGTCCCGTAGCAACAGCGACAGTGTACAAAAAATGAACGGCCATGACGAGTGATGGAAGCGATGGAAGTGCGCTACACGTTCGACTCGTCGTAAGTTAACTTCCTCCGGGTCTTTGACAAAGCATCGCGTATTTTGTCACGGCATGTAGTATGCATCAGTTGGGGCTGCTTGGCAATGTCTGCGCTGCGCGGCTTACAGACGCGAGCGGAAGCGCTTGAACGAGTCCTGCAGCCCTTCGCCGCTCTTGACGGCGGCCGCGACCTTGTTGTCCTGCTCTTCGATGACTTCCGCCTTGGCAGCGACCTCCGCCGCGCGCTCGACAGGCACGACAATGACCCCGTTGATGTCGCCGCGGACGATGTCGCCGCTCCGCACGACGCACTCTCCCACCACGACGGGGCAGTTGACGTCCACGACCGTCGTGGCGCCCTGCTGCCCGTGCACCGACGTGCCCTTCGAGAAGGCTGGAAAGCCCATCGAACATAGCTCCTGCACGTCGCGTACGCGTCCGTCCGTCACGACGCCAGCCGCGCCGCGGGCCTTGGAGGCCGTCGCCAACAGGCCGCCGAAGACACCCGACGTGCTACCGCTGGGCGCGCTAATAACGATGACCTGGCCCCGCTCGGTCTTGTCCACGTAGTGGGACGGCAGCTTCTTGACGGCGGGGCCCGTGGCAGGCACCACTTGCACTGTGAAGGCCGATCCGCAGATCTCCGTTGTTAGAGGGGCGTCGAAGCCGCGCACGAGGCTCACGTCCACGAGGTGGCCCTGGATCTTGAGCTTCGCCATGGCGTCCGCGATCGCGCACAAGGAGAGCTTGGCCAGGCGCTGCTGCGCGTCCGGGTTTGAAGGCGAGGGGGTCGTCATGGCTTCCGAGAGAGCTTCGTGCGCTCGCTCGTATCGCCCGTCAGTCGGGGACACACGGCAGGTTTTCGATTGCGTTTTAGGAACCCTCGGTGTTGAAGAGAGCAATCAGGTTAGACGGGGATTCTCTGAGCAACTTGAGCGTCAAGTGGAGCTGCTCGAGCTGGGCACTAGTAGATAGTCTAAAGCAAACGAGATCACAAGTAGGCTTGAAAACGCACTTCCATGTTTGCTGCCTCCTCGGAACGCTGTGAGACGTAGGGCGTCAACAAGCCCGCTGCCTAATGCTTCGATTCCTCGTTTTCTTCCTCTCCTTCTTGATCGCGCCTTGGTGGACAGTTCCACAGTCCTCCAGGGCGCGGATCCAGCGCCGGTACCACCGTTCCCGAGAGGTCCTTCACCACACAGAGCTGGGCCACAGGCAGCACCCTTGTCAGCTCCTCCAACCGGAAGATTTTTAAATGGATCTTATTCAGAACAGGTCTTGGATTTGGTCAGAGCGTACTTTTTCTATGATCTCGTGATTGGATCACATTTGCCATCTTTCGGCAATCCTACCGGTACCTCACTACACGAGTTTACGGGTGAGCAAAGCACCCTCGAGAGATTTCAAGTTCTACCCGCCCAACACGTCATGCACTGAGCCTCCTCCCCATCCATGCCACCAACTACAACACCTTCTCGCGACGAGCCGGGCCGACAACAGAAGCTCAACGCGAGCGGTGCTCTAGCGTCTACTACGGCCTGCCAGCGGTGGCTAGCGAGGAGATGACCCACTGCCTCGCCGCATGCAAGCTCCTGAGCAGAGGCATGGACTCCTGCTACTCCGCGTCGGTGCTCCAGCGCAGCGTTGCTGTATTGTCCGCTACGACGGCCACGGCGTTACATACTGTGACAACGGGGATGGACAACAAGAACGCCAAGTCCAGACGGATGTCGGCGTGCCCACGCCCACGCTCCGCCCCAGACCCGACCTCCAACTGATGGTGTCAAGCCTGCCCCACGCTACGAGCTCGTGGAAGTGGACACATGAACAGCGGCATGGTGCAGTTTGTTACGTCTAACAGCGGTGCCGAGAAGACCTTCCAGCTGTTCGTCATGCGCCAGGACAAGGAGACCTGCATTGGAGGTGGCGAGGTGGGCGAGCCTGGCGAAGCGCAGCAGACTGAGGAAAGGATCAGGGGTGCAGGAGTCGGTGGATCAAGCTCTTCAAACCGAGACGAAAGCTGCGGCGGAGCCGGACCCTTGTGCGACTAAGGTTTCCTCAATGGCCGAAGCTCTGGCGCACGCACTAGAGTCCACAGAAGCGAAGGTGCCTAAGGACGTCGAAGCTGCCGAGGTTGCCCTAAAGAAGGTGCCTGAGGTGTGGGTGGGGCGACGGAGCAGCCGACACTGTCAAGACTCTGGTACAGTGCAGGCTACATCGACATCAAGTTGAGCCCAGTGCGCAACTCACCGCGTGCGCTACAATGAAGGAGCTAGGCAACCTCGGATCCATGGCGCCCTGCAGACCTTGCAAGGGCACATTGGGGGTGCACCATGGGTCATCACTCGAGACAGCGGCTCACAACGTAGTCTTTCTCGAGTATTTTAGTCTTACATGCATCCAGACAGGAAGGGAAACAACTAAGTAATACTAGACACAAAACTATTCATGTATTGATACTCATTAACTCTCTTACTTCGAAGTACCTTACATATGAAAGTCAATGCCGCCTTGGTCAAAGCATTATACTCGGTTGTTGGCGTGCTAATAATATAGCACGACCTGAGTCTATGCCAACGACTCCTTGGCCCAGACGTTGTAGTTTTTGCGCTGTTTTCAAGGAATACGTAGTCTCCATAAACGCACATACATATAAGGATGAGCAGCATGTGAGGTCTTACTCTGGCGAGCAGCTATAATGTATAGGTACAGGTGATAGCTTACTACTACTAACGACTAAGGGGGTGATAGTGAGACAGTGGTGGGCTTCTACGTAGTATTTGGCCCTGCAGAATGTCTCCTCGTCCAAATAGTCGGCCCACATGAACAGCTTTCACATTGCCAGCACTCAGTAGGGCAAAAAGTTGAACTGATAAGGTATCCAAGAAGACAAGTTGAGCCATGATCCCCAGTGGGCGCCTTCCAAACCCTCACCAAAAGTCGCGCATAAAAGTTTAATCACAGGGAATTGTTTGATGAGACCAAAAAGTGGTCTCATCAAACAATTCTAATGCGACTCTTAACTAGCAACGTGATTAAACAAGTGACTGAACTCCACTATACTCGAAGGTCGCGTTCCAGCAACCGTTTTGGGGCGCATTAAACGCTTCGGTAATTTAAAATAAATTACGGATTAATCTGATCAAACGGTTTTATATGGGTTTTGGAAGGTGCCCACTGTTGCGGTTGTTTGATCCAGGTCTTACGATTCGGTCATATAATCAGCATGTTCAAATCCTGGACCTGATCTGCATAAGAATCAAAACCCTCCAACCGCGATCACATGCTGGATCCAAGGGTGATAGTTCAGGTCATGGAGTCTCACGAGGGCCCGAGAATACTCATGGCTCATCCCGCGCAGCACAGTTGTGCCGACCGTAGTGGTGGTGGGGGGGGTTCGCACCGGCAAAGTAGGCTACTCAGAATTTTTATTGAGTTTTCTCTCAAGATCGTCGTCAAATGTTGAGATAGGTTCCCACTGGTAAACGCGACCTTTCGGATTGAGGTCTTCCGAAGCTGAAGAACCCCCTCGGAGATGCATGCAAGCTAAGCAGAGATGAAGAAGCAACAGGGACCGCGGCACGGATAGTGGTGATAAACACTTCATTTAACACTACCAGGAACTAGGATGGAAGCGGTGAAGCAGCAGACCATCGCTGTGAGCGACTGCAGCACTCGTTGGTTCGTACCGGTACGTGAACCGCTGCACCAGCACCCTCGCGGCCAGCGGCGGCGGCGCCGCACGCACCAGGAAACAGCAGTACCCACGTCTCAGCGCACGCGACGAACTTGCCGTAGACGTCGCCGTACTTCGTGCTCCGCAAAATGCAGCACCGTACTGGCTGTGAAGGGGGGAATCTTCCTCTCTTTGTCTGCTTGGTCGAACGCGTGACGTATTCCTTCATATACGCGGCTTTGCTGCGATTGTTACAAAGCGCAAGCTCTCCTACCGTGTGTCATACCTTAGCGTGTCGCCATCGCTCCGTTCTGATGGCGACCAAGAGCGAGCTTGTGCTTCATGTGCTGCCGCCGCAGCTCCGTCGTTATGGCCCACAAGCTTCTCCACCTCGCCGATCTTGAGTTGCCTACTGAAGACTTTTGCAGTAGCGATTTTGCTACTGCAAATTCTCGACTCGTCTGCCGTGTTCTTGAGTAGGCATGTATTGATTTAGGTTGGGCTTTCTACTGAAGATTCACCGGTGCGAACCCCCCCCACCCCACCCCTAAAGGGGGGGGGGGTCGCACCGGTCCGAGCGTAGGCCAGCAGCGCGTATTTGAACGCGTCCTCCGTCAGGGGCTCTGGTAAAGGAAAAGGTGGTGGAGGCACGGCAGCGTCTCCACCTGCAGCTTGCTTGTCCATGGCCTTGATCGCCGTGACGAACTCGGGCGAGTACTTCCACCCGAAGATCAAGTCGACCCGGAGCTCTCTGGCGTCGTCGTTGAACATGTCGTCCGGTAGGCTTCTCCTTTCGTTTACGATGCGTTTCCAAGTGTGATGAGCTTCTCACTGCCGTAGTTTGTTTGCCAGTCGAAGTACTCGCTGTCGCCAAGCTGGTGGTATCAGCGGGCGCAAACAGGCAAAGGCAACGATGCGTCGGCGAAGCAAACCGACGGAACCTCGCGTCATCAGTGTGTACGCCGCAAGTCCTATCATCTACGGGGTCCTGGCCAGTGCTACCCCACCGCCCTAGCTGCAGGCTTTCTAGTCGAGCGCTCTACGCATACACGGACAAGCTCTCGATTACTTGGTTTTGCGTAGGTCGTCTTCGACTTGGCTGGGAACACCTGTGGTATAAAACGCTGGTGCTGGTACCGGTGGTGATTGCCGTGATAAGGGAGAACTGTGGCCCGCGTGATTCAGTTCACTTTCTGAAGCTGCTGTATGGGGCTGTTGATGTCGATGTGCATTTCCTGCCTCAGTCTGAAAGTTGCCGTTGAACCTGCTCGGTCGACATCCTTCTGGCTCGTGTAGCACGAAGGTTGCGCAGTTACGCGTTACGACCACGCAATTAATTTGTTGGGAGCTGTCCACCCCCTCATTCTTCGGGATTCCCAGTATAACCCCTCTAACCCCGTATTCTGTATCCTACAGAATAAGCATTGTCACAGGACATAGTATCCAGCAAACTTGTCCTCTCTTTCGAACTTCGCATATGGATGTTTGTATTGCCAGTATTGTGCACATCCTCCTGTTAGATTAGCGATGGGAAGATAAACGGGGTTTATTCCGCGGTAATAGACGGACGAGTATAAACCACCAACAGGTTTGAAAATTCGGGTGGAAGCCTAAAACCGTTGCGTGTCAGCCACTCGTACTTTCCTTCATTCCGAAACTGCGCTGTTCAAGACGTCGTAATGCAAGCTTTGTTGGGGCCCGTCGAGCGCGCCCAAGTGGCCAAGGACCATGGCCGAAGACGATCATGATGAGCGCCATTGTGATCTACAGGTAAGCGAGAGTGTGTACTTTGCTCTGTAACATTGTACTAGTGGTATATTGATTCTACGTTGCGATGTTGATTACCAGACCTGGTGATCCGACCCAGACGACGCTATGCTCTCGCGTGTGGCCCGATTGTCAGATCGATTGCGGAGTCAGCGCACAACTTCATCGGTTCCTACGAAGCCGGCTACAGCCGGGTCTACCGCTATATGTAGCTGATGCAGTGGCTACTCAAGAGGCTACAGAAGAAGCGCTCCTCATGGTGTGGCTACACCGGAGACTACAGAAGAAGCGGTAGATGCTACGACGGATGCTACAGAAGAAGAAGCTCTCCGCATGATGAGGTTACACCGGAGA